AGGGTTTCAGCTGAGCCATCTGAGGTGATTCCAATGTGCTTGTCTTTGTATGTATGTCGGCATTTTTCTCTTAATCTTTCAAGTCTTTCAAGTCTTATTTAAGTTTTCTGGGCTAGACAATCAACTAAAATGTGTCCTAAAGAGGTTCATTTCTGGTGTATATTTGTGGTTGCAAATGCCATATTTTCCCCAAAATTTGGAAAATGTTCTATAATTCTATCCAATAGATTGCTCTATGCCTGTAGTTTATATCAGATTTTGTCTGTCTTCTAGGGTTCTTCAAAGATTGTGACCATGCTTGTTTTATTCCTTATTGCTTTCTGTGTATAACATTTCCTCAATCCTTTCTTCAATTTCTGATGTCTCTGAGTCCTGGTGATGCTTTCTGCCGTGTTTTTCTCTGATTTATTGAGCTTTTCATTTCCAGCTTTTCTGCTCTGGCTTGTGATTGGCATTCTCCACCAAAGTAGATTTCTGTCTATACATTTGAGTCCCAGATCCAGCTCAGGTCCCACATTCATACACATTCTTGGGATGGTTGTTTGCTTGGCCAATGATGGAGGGAAGGTTTGGGCTGTTAAAAGATATAAAACTGCATAATCCTCGGCTCTCCCCAGCTGAGGGGTAAATCTTTAAGATCTCTCCTGAGATGATGTCAACCAAGCTGAGGAATGCTGGGGGTCCCTTCTCCAGCATCTGCTTGCTGGAGCACACCAATCACCTGACTTACATTTTATTCATTCGTAGAGTGACAGCTGTTTGTACTCAGCTTTGTGTTATGGGCTCTCTCAAGGAGGCTTACCTATTCCCTTTTGCCTAAAGGTCCATTGTAGGGACTGTCCCTCTTCCCTACAATTTTACTTAGCATTCTGTGCTAAGGCCCTTTTTCTGTTCTCTGTCTGCTGTTTACTGCTGCCATCCTTGGCCTTTCCACGTCACCAACCTCTCTCTAGAGCCACATAACTAAGGTTTGTTTTCAGATTTGCAGAGAGGCAGAAAAGTGTTGGGTGTCTCTATTTTTGTCCCTAATCTTCTTATGTCTCCTCATCATTTATTATGTTAAACTTGTACTTCTCACACAGTGTTATTCCTCTCTCCTGATTAGACTGTGATGCCATGCATTATTGTGAGAAGATTTGGGGCTGATGCACCTTGGATTCGTGTTTAAAATATGCTACTTCTTGCTTCACAGGTTTTGGATTCTGAAGTCTCTCTCTGGATTCAGTCTCTCTCTGAATGCAGTAGAGTACTACATCAGAACTTTCTTTAAAATATGGCCATGAATTCTGTGTGCCTTCTTCTACATAGAGGCAAATGGGTTTTCCTATCCCTTGAACTTAGGTCATTGTAAATGTCATTGTAAATGATGCCACTTGAGGAGATGGAGGGACCCCCGGTCAAACCTCACCACCAGCTGCCAGGTACATCAAGCTGTCAGCCACCTGGGGCCTACCAACTGAGTCCGAAATTGAGTACGTTTATGTACCTGTTGGGCCCACTACAGAATGAGTCCACTCGCTGTTGCTGCTATAAGCAAATATGTTTGGGGATGGATGATTATGTAACAGCTAATGACCCCTCCCCATGACCAAGTAATTCTGCTAATTTCTTCACTGCCCAATAAATTCATTTGAGGAAAATACTTAAGAACAACTTCTTCTGACAGACTCCCTCCAATCGCAGAAGCACAAGGTAAAGGAGAAACTGCTTCTTTATTGCTCGTCTCATAGCTCCTTCCTGGAGTAAATACGAGGCTATGCACAGAGTGGCTTAAGTAGCAATATTTAAAATGGAAAACTGAAGACATAAAATAAGCATGAAGAAACAAGTCCAATGTTAACAGACTCCAATCAACTTACAGAGTCCATTGAAAGGCAAGGAAGGCTGGGTGCCAGGGGCAAATGCCTATAATCCTAGCTACTGGGGAAGCTGAGATCTGAGGATTGCCATTGGATGCCAGCCCAGGCAGGAAAGTCCATGAGACTTTTATCTCCCGTTTAGCTACCAAAAACCAAACGTGGGGCTGTGGCGTAAAGTGGTAGAGTGCTAGCCTTGAGCAAAAGAAGCTCAGGGACAGAACTTGAGTTCAAGCCCAGGACTCAAATGAAGAGGAGAAGGAAGAGAAGGAAGAAGAGGAGGAAGAAGAGGAGGAGGAAGAGAAGGAGGAAGAGGAGGAAGAAGAGGAGGAGGAAGAGGAGGAGGAAGAAGAGGAGGAGGAGGAAGTATCGGCTGAGTACAAGTAGTGCATACCTATAATCCTAGCTATTCAGGAGGCTAAGATTTAATGATCGCTGTTCAAAGCCAGACAGAGCAGGAAAGTCTGTGAGACCTTTATCTACAGTTAACCACAAAAAAGCCAGAAATAAATACCAGTTATGCACAAACTGTAGCAGAAAAACAGGAGAGGTGGCAACATTTCTTAACTTGTTTCATAAAGTCTCCATGCCTCTGATATCAAAGCCAGGTAAAAATATTTCAGCATAAGCAAACTTCAAAACCATGTTTTCCCTGAACTCAATATAATACTGAGGAAAAGACAAAAGTAGATAAATCTAGTGGCATATAAAAAAAGGGTAATACAAAATGATTAAATAGGGTTTATGCCAGAAATATAAAGCTGAGTTAACATTTAAAACTTATTGGCTGAGTGGCAGTGGCTCATGCCTGAAATCCTAGCTCCAGGGGGCTAAGATCTGAGGGCTACAGCCCAAAGCCAGCCCACACAGGAAAGTCTATGAGACTGTAATCTCCAAGTAACACCAAAAGCCAAAAGTGGAGGTGTGGCTCAAGTAGTAGAGCCCTAGTCTTGAGAGATTAAAAAAAAAAAAGAAGGGAAAAAGAAAAAGGAAAAGAAAAGGGCTCTGACTGATAGAATCAATTATCAGAGAGGTCCCTTTTGAGCTTCGCATGCTGTGGGGAGTTTAGCTCAAATCAGACTCTAACAATGTTTTAATGCATGTGACATGATATATCTACTATCAGACTTTAATCTTGGGTAAGCCAGTGTGTAACATTGCCTGGGGAACACACACTGAAAATGGGGTACATCTGAACTCTACACTGTCAGCTGGTTTTAATTCCATCACACACTTCCTAGGGTGCCAGTAGATTCAAAGGCTAACTATAATGCTGAAAGTATAGAAGCCACAAAATATTCTTAATGTGGATTTTTTTTCTTCTCCCCTAACCCCAGAACGTTTCCTTTATAATTTAAAATGTATCTCTGCGTATTATCAAAACTGCTATCAGTATTAAGACTATAATTTTTTAAGTGTTAGAAGATGAGAAAAGCAGCTGGGCACCAGTGGCTCATGCCTATAATCCTAGCTACTCAGGAGGCTGAGATCTGAGGATTAAGGTTCAAAGCCAGCCCGGGCAAGAAAGTCCATGAGCCTCTTATCTCCAATTAACCACCAGGGAACCAGAAGTGGTGCTGTGGCTCATGTGGTAGAGTGCTCGCCTTGAGCTGAAGACCTGAGGGACAGCGCCCAGGCCCAGAGTTCAACACCCACAACCGACAAAAAGAGAGAGAGAGAGAGAGAGAAGCATAGCAGTTAGGAATACATTGTTCTTTTTCTTTTAGCAGTATGGAGTCTGAACGCAGGGCCACCCCCTGCTCTGTAGGCAGTGGCTCTGTAACTTGAACCATGCCCTCAGCCCTTTTCTGCTTTAGGTTGTTGTTGTTGCGGCTGCTGCTTTTAGATAGTATCTCATGGATTTGTCCAGGCTGGCCTCAGACACCAGTCCTCCTACCTAGGCCTCCCACATAGCTGAGATTATTTATGTAACTACCACATTCCGCTTGTATGCTGATATGTGATCTTACTAACTTAGCCTTGAATCACAGTCCTCCTGATGCCGCCTGAATAGCTAGATTACAGGCCTACACTACTATACCTGGCCCCAGAAAATTGTTTAAACAAAAAGTTAAATAACAATAAAATTTGGCAAGTAGTAAATGTACGGATGAAGTCTATGTAGAGCATATACATTCCAAAGAGCAAATCACAATACCCCCTGTCCTATGACTATAAGACAATATTTTACTTTTGACACACCAGTCCAATCAACCAGTCATTGTGCGGTTAGCAGGTAGGATTAGCAGACAGGTAGGAGTACACTGTGAAATCTGGCTGTCTGGATTTGAACCCAGGTCCCTCTATGTCCAAGCTATTCGACATTCCCTTTGGATTACTAAAGATAGTTCCACCTATCTTAAGGGAGATTTGAGGATTCAATGACTATAAAGTGGAAGTAGCACTGCTTACCATGTAGTAATCTCCCTTTTACTGTTAAATAAACAAAAATACATAGTTATGTGGTCAGTGATAGAAGGCTTCAAAAGTCATTTGCAATGGCAATGCCAGAGTTCACTTTACACACACATGCATATATATATATATACATGCATAACTATGTATGCCTGTTTAACAATAAAAGATTAATAAGTGGTAAGCATATATGTGGGTGACATATATATATATATATATATATATATGTCATATATGTCAATCATCATCATCATCTCATTCATGGAATAAAATTTATTCAATACATAGTATTTTAACCAGGTACCAGGTTAGTGAGTAAGACCTTTTCTTTCCCTTGAATGTCTACAGGAAATATAAAAAGTAGATGCACACAAGTCAGGGTATTAAAATGTTCACAATGCCATGTTGGGAAATTGCCCTGGTCTATTCCAGGTTTATCCAACAACTATCACACAACTGCCAGGTGCCAGGGATTATTCCAATTTAGATATTGTAAACCTAGTCCTGAAAAGGGATTAAGCTACCTCAGAAGAAAGATTTCTGCAGCTGCCATTTGAAACACACATGATGCTGCATAGTTCTTTGGGGGAGAGGAAGGAATATATTACTTAGGCTATTGAGGGAAACTGACCAAATGAAGCCTCTTTTTCCTTGAAAGCCAAGAACAGAAAGGAAAACTAAACACAGTAAAAATATGATCTCTGACAGTCATCAAAGAATTATCCTTACCAGGAATACAAGATGGTCCCAACCACAGATGTGAGTTTACTGTTTTCTTGTTTCTGCTTTGCCAGGCCAAAGTCAGCTACAATTCACAAAACAAAGCAATGTGTGATGGTTATTCTCCAGAATTAACATTGTTCTCTCAAGTCTGACACTCCACAGTACAGCTATTACACTTGGCAGCATAGCTCTCCTCCCTCTCCCTCTCCCCCTCCCTCTCTCTCTCCTATCCCTTCCCCCCATCCCCATTTGAACTCAGGGCCTTTGTGTGGCTAGGCAGGACCTCTAGCATGTGAGCCACATCTCTAACTTGGCATTGCCATTCTAAAGGCGAGAAACAAGCAACAAAAAGAACTGGTCTCTCTGGGGCTGGGAAGGTGGCTCAGTGGTAGAGCGCTTGCCTTGCATGCCTGAGGCCCTGGGTTCGATTCCTCAGCACCACATAAGCAAAAAGAAAAAAGCCGGAAGTGGCACTGTGGCTCAAGTGGTAGAGTGCTAGCCTTGAGCTGAAGAGCTGAGGGACAGTGCCCAGGCCCAGAGTTCAGGCCCCACGACCAGACCCAAAAAAAAATAACAATAAATAAAAATAAAAAAAAAAAAGAACTGGTCTCAAGTGAGTCCAGAGTCTAACCATGGAAAAAGTTCAAGCTGGACTGAGATCTAAGGATTGTGGTTCAAAGCCAGCCCAGGTAGGAAAGTCCATGAGACTCTTATCTCTAATTAACTACCCCAAATCCAGAAATGGTCCTGTGGCTTAAAGGTGTAAAGCACTAGCCTTGAGCACTAAAGCTCCGGGATGGTGCCCAAACAAGCAAATTAAGGTAAGCCCTCCCTGTGTTCTTACTCTGTCATTTACTGTCTCTGGAATGGCACATACCACTCAGCTGCTCTGGCCTTTTCCAAAATGGACTTGACACAGGGTGTTGCAAAGGGGCTACTCCAACATGACAACAGAGGAAAAGTACTTCAACTGCTGAACAGAGGTGAGGGATTCTGGACCTACAGAAAGAACTCAGCTCGTCCTAAGCATCTGTCACCACCCATAGGCCAGGAACTCTCAAATTCACAGCCAGACATAAGGTCCCAGCCTTGGTCTGGGATTTGGGCCTTCTGTTCTTTGAAGTAATAATAATAATGATGATAATGATGATAACTTAATTCATTAAAAATTAGTTTAGAAGTGGAAAAGGACACAAGGAAAGTGGATGGAGGAGGTGGAATCCAACCGAAGTACATTATAGGAATGTACGCAAGTGCCCCATTGAAACCTTGTACAATTCATATATGCCAATTAAAAAGAATAAGAATAAATCTGACTGAAAAAATGAAGGGAAAGGAGTCCACTCGCTGTTCGGTCATCCGAGCTAGCCTGTCTAGGCAGGTGGCCAGCCATCTTCTGTGTTTCCTGGGCCTGAGGTTGCTGCCTTTTCTCTTTAAGCAATTTCCAGTCCCTGTCCAGCTCTTGTGCTCAAATCTCCCTTCTGATCTCTACGACTGCAGTCTCAGTGTTCTGGAAGCCCAGGCTCCCCTGCTCCTAAAGGCTTTTCCTTCTAGTCCATTCCACTGGGCACTTTGCAGTGGACCCCGCCCCCTCCACCCTGCCTTCATTACAGCAGATCCCCAAAGAAGCATAACAAGGTCTCCTGATGGCTTTTTTCTTTTGGTAAATAGATTTTCCAGGTGCCTCATCTCCCTTTAAGATTGCCATTAATACATTCAGTTGTCTAACACCAAAGATTTAGGTTCTAGGCAGGAAAGCTAAGACAATAACCACGTTAGAAGCCAACTGTATTGACACACACCTTAGGAAGTAGTGGCACAAATAAATATTAAGTGAAAATTATATGTAATTATAAGAAATTATACATAATCATGGTAAAAATATATATACAGCTTGATAACCTCTCTAAGGGACAGGCAGACATATGTGTTACACAGAGGGCGGGGGGAGGGGGACACCGATGAAGAAAAGACTGGTAAATAGTAACTGAGTTAATCATTTCAGGATGAGAAAAATTATCTAGGTAGCCAGGAGCCCATGGCTCATGCCTGTAGTCCAAGCTACTTAAGTGGCTAAGATTTGAGGGTGGCGGTTTGACATCAGACTGGGTAGGAAAGTGTGAGATTCTTTTTTGTTTGTTTGTTTTGTTTTGTTTTGTTTGGAGGGGGTCAGGTCGTGGAGCCTGAACTCTGGGCCTGGGCGCTGTCCCTCAGCTCTTCAGTTCAAGGCTAGCACTCTACCACTTGAGCCACAGCACCACTTCCAGCTTTTTTCTTTTTGCTTATGGTGCTGAGGAATTGAACCCAGGGCTTCTCGGGCATGCAAGGCAAGCACTCTACCACTGAGCCACCTTCCCAGCCCAAGTGTGAGATTCTTATCTCTAATTAACCACCAAAAAGCCAGAAGTGGAACTGTTGTTCAAATGGTAGAGTATCAGCACTGAGCATAAAAAACTAAGGGACAAGTTGGGTGCTGGTGGCTCATGCCTGTAATCCTAGCTACTCAGGAGGTGGAGATCTGAGGATCATGGTTTAAAGCCAGCCAGGGCAGGAAAGTCCGTGAGCCTCTTATCTCCAATTAACCACCAGAAAACCAGAAGTGGTGCTGTGGCTCAAGTGATAGAGCTCTCGCCTTGAGCTGAAGAGCTCAGAGACAGAGCCCAGGCCCAGAGTTCAAGCCCACGACTGACCAAAAAAATAAATAAATAAAATAAATAAAAGTATGGCTGGGGAAGTTGGCTCAGTGGTAGAGCGCCTGCTTTGCATGCCTGAGGCCCTGGGTTTGATTCCTCAGCACCACATAAACAAAAAGAAAAAAGCCAGAAGTGGTGCTGTGGCTCAAGTGTTAGAGCGCTAGCCTTGAGCTGAAGAGCTGAGGGATAGCGCCCAGGCCCAGAGTTCAGGCCCCACGACTGACAAAAAAAAAAAAGTAGCTAGAAGAGACCTCCAGGAAAATAAACTTGTATGTGCAAAAGCCCTGTGGTCAAATGAACACAATCCACTGAAGAAATGAGAGGAGGACAGTACTGCAGAGTGTAGGGAATAGGTGGTATTGCCAGACCACGCAAAACCCTGCCACCATGTTCACACGGCTCATCTCTGACTTGCCCAACTTAAAATCCCCACTCCAAACAAGCTGTCTGACCTCACTGAACTGTGTCAGTATCTGCAAAGTACTGGGCGACATAGCGGATGGACACACTTCTATCCCATAATAAACACTCCAGAGCTCCAGTGAGAGGTGGTGCTCCTTTCCTCCAAAGCAGAGCTCAAATGCAAGCAGGGAACACCTTTGACAACTTCGAGGAGCCAGCAGTCAAAAATCCCTCTAATGTCAGATGATGACAATACTGCAGAGCAGGCCAGAGGGCGAGCTGCACCCTGCCACACACCGGCTCCTTCTACAGCTTTGCTGTTTCCCCACTGGCTCCATTCTGGGTATCCATGGCAACAGGATCATCAGAAACATCATCTCCACAGGACTCCAAGAAAAATGCTCAGACTTCTCCCAATACAGCTCTGTGCCATCCAGGCTTCCTCCTGGAAGATTGCTCACATTTCTCATCTCCACCCTTGACTTCCTTCCAGACCTTCCCACAGGTGAAGTCAAGTGATTTTTGGGTGGGTTATTTTTAGTGATCATATTGTTTGTAATTTAACAAACAGCAGCTTACTTAACAATCAGGCAAAGGGGTCTGGAGCAACAGGAAGCCCTTCCAGAGCTATGCCACTTTCCCTATTCTGCAGCCTCCAAACCCAGTGCAGACACGACCCTAATCCAAGGCATCTCTCCTTCCCTACGATGTGGGTATTTCCTCACTTAACTGGCGGGGAGCTTTTGGGTAGAAAAAGTGAACGCTTTCTGGCTTCTGGATAACTCCATGTCTGTGGAACACAAACACCACCACTTTCTAGGACATCTGTCAGAATTCTTGGGCTCTGCAATGATCCCTCAGGCCTTTGAGAAAAGCTACATCAAATGAACCGTGTCCTTAACATTACTACTGCAGTATAGTCAGGCATCACCGCACAGATCAACACACATATGAGCCAGGCTCCAGCGATCCTCGCTGCAATTCTAGCTACTCCAGAGGCTGAGATCTGAGGATCATGATTCACTCTTATCTCCAATTAACCACCAAAAAGGTCAAAGTGAAGCTGTGACTCAAGTCATAGAGCACTAGCCTTGACCACAAAAGCTCAGGCATAGCACTCAGGCTCTGAATTTAAGCTCCAGAATCAACACACACACACACACACACACACACACACACACACACACACACACACACACACACACACACTGACCTCATGAATCATACACACAAGCACACGTCCAAAACCATCATTTATAATTTAGTGCCATTTGTGTCTTCTTTTCTTTCTCTTTTGTTTGGTATCAGAAAAGGCAAGGAAAGAGGAAAGTTTTTCATTTGAATGTGGATACTGGAAAGGCCGAGAAATGTGAATCAGTGGGCTTGAGGGAGAGTTCATTTCACTCAGTTCCTTCTGGCCATTTTGTAGGGTCGAGACACCGTGTGGATGTCACGTGGCAGTGGCATCGGTGGGCAAGGACTCTGTGACAGAGTCCGGCTCTCCTCCCTTGTAGGAAGTCTGCACGTAAGTGCAGAAGTGAGACCTGAACAGGTGTCTGGCCATACTTAGACACTAGGAATAGACAGCAATTGACGAACCACACATATAACACGTTAGGAATTTCCCACTCTGCTTCCTCACTGGAGGAAGCGTCAGCCAGCATGTTTATTACAAATAATTGCAAGTCAATCTCAACACTTAATGCACCTACATTGAGGAAAAGGGGAAAGGAAAGAAACATTTTGTTTCCTCAAGTTTTCTTTTTCTCTTTTCAGGTCTCATTTTTCAATAAACTTTGTCCCATGTATTTCAAACAAGTCTGGTGCTTCTTTTCTGGAAGGAAGTAGACCTTCGAGTCCAGGAAAAGAAAAAGAAAAAAAAAAAAAAACATGATAGTGCTGCCCCCTTGTGGTAGCACACTTTACAACCCCCTCAGCTGGCCTGGTTTATGGGCTTGAAGGATTGCAGCTGTACTTCAGACTCCCAAAACATAGGAATTTTATGGACTTATTCTCAGTTTTACACACTTATTTCATGCTGTAAGCTTTTAATTTAACCATAATCTCTTTTGAAATGACCACATTTTATCAATAGTGCTAGATACTGAAAACTATTCAGCACTATCATATCCAAAGTTTTTTTTAAAGAATGATATAAAAAATCTCAGTGAATTACCTTCCTACTCATAAAACCATTTTATACTTATTTTAAAATGATGGTATCACACTTAGGTCATACAAATGCCTTAGAGGAAAAGACCTAGTCAAGGCAGTGGAAGAAGAAAATATCAAGTTTCCACATAAAAACATTCATAGAGCCAGGGGCACTGGTGGCTCATATCTGTAATCCCAGCTACCCAGGAGGCTGAGATCTAAGGATCACAGTTTGAAGCCACCCTGAGCAAACCAACTTGAGACTCTTGTCTTTAATTAACCAGTAAAAAGCCAGAACTGGAGAAGAGGCTTAAGTGCACCAGCCTTATGGGAAAAAGGTAAACAAGAGCATGAGGCCCTGAGTTCAAATCCCAATATCAGCACAGGAAAAAGGACTTCTCTACTTACTAACGGTTACTTTGTCCTTATCCCCCAACATAATGTTGTTTGGTGTCAGATCTCTATGGACAATCCTCTTCTCCTTGTGTAAATACCGAAGTGCTAAACACAGCTTGAAAGAAGAAGGAAAATCAAAGTTTATTGCCTCTAATATATGTGTAACCAATTGTGACGATCATACCTCTTTAAGAGATCAGCTGAGAACTTGACTAGATTATGAAAAGCTGGATGGAGACAAAAGCATACCTGTATAAATATTTTCCATAGCCTTTCTTCGGTGAAATGGTGTTGTTTCTCCTTCAAAGAACTGAAATGCTCCCCCAGGGGGACTCCTTCAATAAGCTCCATAACTATATATAATCGGTCATCTATGGAAAACACACAAGACAGGTCAGAGAAATTTAAATTTAATATAGAATCAAGATAGTTTATAAATTACTCTGAGTTTTCAATGTGTTTGTAGAGAACAACAGTGAAGAGTTAGAAATTTGCTACCCTGGAGGTCACTCAACCCAGAAGTGGGAGCGGGGTGCAGGGGTCTTGGGACAATCAGAGCCCAGAAACAATTGCTCCTGAGTATAGGAAGCTTTTAAGTTTATTCTGGCAAATGCCACTACAAAATGGAATGACTGGAAGTTACCAAAGAGAACAAGCAAATGTCCCAAGTTGAAGGATTGAAGAGCATGCAAACCCACCTTTCTGCTGTCCATATCTGCGTGTGTGTGTGTGTGTGTGTGTGTGTGTGTGCGTGTATGCGCACGCACATGCACACACACACACACACACACACACACACACACACACACAAGCATCCTGGTACTGGGGCTCAAACTTGGGGCCTCACATTCTCGTTTGGCTTTATTTGCGCAAGGCTGGAATTCTTCTACTTGAGCAACACCTCCAGTTCCAGCTTTTGCTGGCTAATTGGAGATAAGAGTCCTCCTCTGGACTTTCCTGCCTGGGATGGCTTTGAACCACAATCCTCAGGTCTCAGACTCCTGAGTAGCTAGGATTACGGGTGTGAGCCATCAGTGGCTTGTTCCACCTTTCCTTTTGACAGCCTAAAATGTACCCTCAGATTAAATCAGATATTCAGAAAACTGCATTTTAAATTATATTTTTTATAGTAGGACCTTATGGGAATTTACTCTGGAATCACGCTATAATCTTATAATGACACAGTTGGAAATTCCACCCATGGGAGAAAATTCCTTGTTCCTCAAGAAAAGCCGAGTTTGTCCTGGTTTTTATCTTTTGGACTCGGGGACTCTCATTAACTGATTGTGTTTCTTTTCATTGGATGCCAAGAAAAAGAAACCAAAATTCTTTTCCTCTCCTAAAAGCAGTATGAAATTATTAACAGTGGTTTGCAGTAGGGGTGTTTTGTGACATTTAGATGTGCATAAAATAGATAGGCATATGATATTTACAAAAGACAGAATCCACTACTGAACAGCTTTTCATAAGCACAGAGGCTAGTAACCATGGCACTACACAATCTATATATTATAATATATAATGATTATTCTCCTATATATAGACATTTTATATTTTTATAATTCTTGGAAATATTTGTATATGCTAAGCTGATGTGTAACTCTAGATGTCATTTTCTTACCTTATATTCCTCTCTATTACAAATTCCGATTCTCTTCTAGCATACTTTACATATTTTAAATTACCTCGGATGATTTTGGAGACTTCCAGGTTGTAAACAAATTTTCTTTGGTTTTTTATAGTAAGACAAGTTGTGCAGTATGGTCAATTCTTTGCACACTAACAACTAATAGCTAGGGGTGGGGTGGAAGGGAAAAGGCAAAACCACACCAAATGCAAAGCACAAAATGTTTCTAAAGGATCGCTCTGACATGAGGAACCCCCAACAATGACCGTCATGTATGTCTTTAAATGGAGATGTTTGGAAGTTCCATACATGTCACAGATCAGATTTCACCCAGGCTTATTCCCTTCTACAGTTCTGTTTGTGCAAATCACGTGACTAAACGTTCCTTTATATCCCCTGTTTTGGTTTTGACTCAGGTCTTTTTGCTCTTTTAAGAACCTGAATCTGCCTGTATAATCAGCCGGGGCTCCACCGCCACCTGGTGGCATGTACTTGAATTTCATGCAAAAGAAATCAAGGTGAGTCCACTTCAATTTGTTTGGAAGTATCTGATTCCACAATGTATTAACAATTTTTCATAAAGAAACCATAATCATTGAGCATAGTTTCCTTTTCTCTTGATCTAAATAAGTGTGCTTTTTGTATATAGGAAACGTAGCACAAGTGATTTTTATTTAGTAGCTCTTTCGCTAAGGAAATCTACATATTTTGTAACATCTTCAGGTCATGGATCATAACAGAGCCTCACAGGTCAAGAAAGTGATGCCTTCTTTTCCTCCACTGATAAAATTTAAAGCAAACAACTTAGAGGGTATATTTTGTGACACTCTAATGTAAACCTATGTAAGAAACAAAGAATTTCCTTAAGTAGAAATATTAGCCAGGTGCTGGTGCTACTCAGGAGGCTGATATCTGAGGATTGTGGTTCAAAGCCATCTTAGGAAGGAAAGTCCATGGGACTCTTATCTCCAATTACTTATCAAAAAAATAAAAATCCAGAATCAGAGCTGTAGCTCAAGAAGTAAAGCACTATCATCAAGCTGAAAAAGCTCAGGGATAGCACTCAGCCCTAGATACAATCTCTAAGTTCAAGCCCCAGGACTAGCACAAGTATAAAGAAAAAGAAAAAAGAAATCCCACTGAAACTCGTACTTACTTTCCAGGAATGTCTTGTAATAACGAACAACATTGGGGTGATAGAGCTATGAGGAAATAAATAACATTCATTATATTGCATCAAAATCAAAACTGTCTCTATAGTGCATTCGTTTGAATTTCTATATACTTATTTATAAAACTAAGAATTCCAGGGCTGGGGGCACAGCTCAGATGGTGGGCACTTGTCTAGCAAGTCTCAACCTGAAACTGTGAAACAAAATTTAAAACTGTGTTGTATTACCTATCTGAATGAACATAGAGAACTGGAGAACAAAGATTTTATTTAGTACTCTGCCCAACACAGACTTCATAAAGGCCAAAACCGACACGAAGTTATCTATGTTGAATACATCTGCTCTGTCTCTTTCTACTGCCTCACTACCTGTAAATACTGTCTGTGTCTGCTCACGCTACTTCTGCCTTCCTATGCTCTCCATGATGATGAGCAGGAAGCTGAAATCCTCTGAGGAGCAACTACTAGTTGACAAGATGCTCCTCCTTACAGCCAAACTTTAGTCTGGCTCCCGTTCCCTTGTGCTGGCTCAGCCTTGTGCTTGGTTTGCTTGTGTTTTAGCAAGGACCCTGCTACGCCGCTTACCTCTTCCTATCCAGTCAAGGGCCTTCCCCGCTCTCTGACATCTGGCCAAGTCGCTCTTGGCAATTCCCCATCCACCCGTGCCCTCTCACTGGGGCCCCTGGATATCGGCTGCTCACCCAGTCCTTGTGGAATTCAGAGTTGCATTCAGTCTGTCTATTGCAACATGCTAACTCCTGTTGCAACAGCTCTGAATAAAGTCTTCCTGCCATTTTTTTTAAGTGCCTGGCAATTTCTCCCAACTGTTTCCTTAAGGATATGAATGGATGAGTCTTTCCTACAAATGAAAATTACTAAAACGTGTTGTGATTAGCTATTTTATAATGCAACTTGAAGTTGAAATGCCTCGGATTTCAGAAGAATGACTATTATTTGGGGTTTTCTTCCTGCTCTTTTGAGGGAGGAACTGCTCATTGCCCACCAAAAGCCTGCTCTCTTGGCAGTAGACATGGCTTGCTGATCAAAAGTCACTTCTCAGTCTGTCCCTCGGTTCTGGTGGCTGCGTGTGAGGGAAACGTGTGAACCCTCCGCTCTGGGCAGTGTTCCCCCTGATTTTCCCTCCGTGGCCATGAACACGTGTGTCTATGCACAGTCCAACCCAAGATAGCCCCGGAGCTAGCACAGTCCCTAGAGGGCTAGGTGGAGCAGATAGAAAACAGGGCCACCTGCTCTCGGATCATCACACGAAGGCAGGGGCCCTGCCCTGTCGGGTTCTTCTTTAAGCCCCTGTGTTCTGCATCCTCTGAGTCACCACAAATCCATTCTCACAATCTAGCTCCATGTTGAGGGATTCTGGAGTCCACACGGCCCTGCTGGAACCTGCTTTTCTTACAACGTGTGCCAGAAGAGACCGGCAGCCTCGTCGGCGAGCAAGTGGCCACCGACTCTGAAACCATCATAGGGCACAGAGAACAACCCAACTGGCACTGGATCTAGCACACTGTACAAAGGTACAGCTCCATTGGGGTCCAGTAAAGACCTGGGCTTTGTGCTAGAAGAAACTCTGGATAGATTTCCCTACTTCTGAGCAAATAACTTTGTTAAATCTAATTTATGAGTATATAAAAGTCACCTACAAAATCAACTATTAATGATGCAATTGACTCTAAAGTATAAAATGGTTCAGGAGAGTGGGTTTGGGCAAATAAAGCTCACACCTGTGGTATTTCTTGTACACAGTGTCTGGGCTAGACACTGCAGATATGATGGCAGAGAATGAACAGCAAGGTCAATGGCTCTCCACGAGACAGCTCTCTATCAGTAAGGCACTAGTGGTTCCACCTGCAATCTTAGCTACTCAGGGAGCTGAGATTTGAAGATTATGGTTCAAAGTCCAGGAAGGAAAGTTCATGAGATTCTCATCTCCAATTAATGGCCAAAAAGTCAGCAGTGGAGCTAAAGCTCAAGTAGTAGAGTACCAGTTTTAAGCAAAACAAAGCTAAGGGACAGCACCCAGGGTGAGTTCAAACCCCACTACTCCTAGCAAAAAAAAGTCGGGGGGGGGGGGGGAATTACCCATAGCAGTTACAAAAACTGTGCTTGTAATGGTTTCTGGAAAACCAGAAAAGAAAACAGTGTGCTTTTAGATTGCAAAAAGAAACCTATTTCTCTCTGATATGTCGATTCAACTTTTCCACACAAAATTGTGTAATGACAGCTAGTTGAGCTATTAGTATAATGTTCTGCTCATGTGAATAAATAATAACCCATCTTGAAAGTGCACACTGTAAGCTGTATTTGAGGAATGTTAGCAGACTGGTTCCACTTCCAAAGTCAGGAAAGTCTTAGTCATATTCTTATACATGTCACTAAGTAACCGAACACTCTATAATATAATGAGCAAGAAATAGATGTGTTTGCAGAGAAGGCATTTCTATGGCTCAGTGTCAAGCCTTAGGAAAAATACTGGTAAAAATATGACTTCCCTATGCTCATTCCTGCACATTCCATTAGTTCCTAAGCAGCATGGAGAAAAATAGTACACAAACTCTATTTCAATGGCATTCACTTAAGGAAACCATCTTTAAAGACAAGGAAAAAAACATTTACCTGCTCTTTAATTATTGTTAATTCAGAAACAATATTCTTTACACTGCTGTCTCGATCTTTTTTATCCTTTCCAAATGCTGGGTTATGCAAATTCACCTCTTTCATTGCTAAAAGATTTTGCCCACTCCGCTTTCTAACCTAAGGGAAGTAAAAGAAAAGGATAGGATGAGAGATAAAAAAGTAAAAGGAGAATAGATTAACAAAAGTCACATGGCTGCTCCAGTCACCAAAATAAGCCACAGCGCTTACAATTCTACCTCAAAAATGTGTTAGGATAGAAAATAATTCTACCCTGACAGAGTTAATATGTATATATTTGTATGTGAGTATGTACTATCAGATAGAAATGGAATGTTTTCTAATAGCTCATCTGAAATATATGTTTTTAGATGTATTATTTTCTGGGCCAGTTTGCAATATTTACTATGATTTTTTTGCCTAAATACAGGAAAACTGATATGAATTAGAGAATTATCATGCATTGGAGACAAGATATTTGGGGTATTCTTGAGAGATTAAAGATGGTTTTTTTGGTTTTTGGTTTTTGGGGTTTTTTTTGGTGCCAGTCCTGGGGCTTGAACTCAGGACCTGGGTTGCTGTCCCCAAGTTTCTTCAGCTCAAGGCTAGTGTTCTACCACTTGAGCCACAGCTCCACTTCTAGTTTTTCTGGTGGTTCATTGGAGATAAGAGTCTCACAAACATCCATGCCTAGATTGGCTTCAAACTGTGATCCTCAGATCTCAGCCTCCTGATTAGCTACAATTACAAGCATGAACCATCTATGCCCTGCCAAAGATGTCTTTTTAAGAAGTCAGCAGCCAATTAATTACTAGAGCTGACAGTAGGTCAAAGTCAGTGCAATTCTCTCTAAGCCTTTGGGTGAGAAAACTATTATAATGTTTCTATTGATTTATTCCTACTATTCCATGATAAGGACAGCAATTGCAATAAGTATTGGTATTCAAATGAGCTGTCCCATTTCTTTAGGAATGTCAGAAATGATCCCCAAGGAAAAAGTCACCTTATAAACACAGCCAAAAGCCCCACTTCCAAGATGATCCAGAATCGCATAGTTGCCTATGTATTTTGAAGGAGCTTTGTTCTGATTAATGCTCTCAATATTCTCAGCAATTTGCTTCAGTTCATCTTCCTAAACAAATAATCAGAAGGAAAATGAGTTGTTTCAGCAATGCTATCCCGGCCATGCACCCACCCAGACACGGAAGACTTGGGACTCACCGCTAACACATTCAGCTTCAATACCACTTTTTCATAAGCGCTGATATCACGAACATAATGACCTATGTCAATGAAGGCCTCAAACAGGTCAGTGGGGAAGAGTCTGCGGGGAAGAATACACAGCGAAGAACTTGGAACTGTTGTTTATTATTTTCCTTTCGGATGAAGCTCACTCCCATATGAAACAATATTAATTTTCTTAGATTCCCAACAAAGTGGAGGGGTTAATACTTTCCAACTTCTTTTTTTTTTTTTTGTGAACACACCGTACAGAGGGGTTACAATTACATGGGCAGGTTAATGCGTACATTTCTTATCAAGCATTGCAGCCTCCTCCTTTGTTTACCCTTCACCTCCCTTCCCAGCCTCCCCCCCACCCCCCCACCCAATCCTCCCCACTTCCCCCCCCCCCACCAACATTGTAAAGCTCGTTTTCGACATGACAACTTGTACTTCTCATTGTTGCAACAGGTCCACCTAATACTTTCCAACTTCTATTGTAAAATTATGCAATAGAGTATTTGAAAATGAAGATAAAAGCAAATGGAGAAGAATTTCTAAAGACTTGCTGCTCACCTGGGGTACTGATGGCTCACACCTGTAATCCTACCTACTCAGGAGACTGAGATAAAAGATCATGGTTCAAAGTCAGCCTCGGCAGGAAAGTTCATAACACTCTTATCTCCAATTAACCAGAAAAAAAATGCCAAGATTGGAGCTGTGACTAAAGTAGTAGAGTGCTAGTCTTGAGCAAAAGAGTTAAGGGACAGCACCCAGGTCCTGAGTTCAAGCCTCTGTATACATGTGTGTATCATTTCATAATATTTTCTATATTATATTTATAAATAATATATGATATAATATGAATGTTATATAATATGTTATATTATATATTATATTACTATATTATAGAATATATTTATACTATATTGTATATTGTATATTATATCATATATGATGTATACTTATATACACTATATATAAATTTATATATAATTTTAATGTTTTATGGAAATAAAAATACAGATAAGTTTAAAAATTGAGAGAATTTTGCATCATTTCCAAGATGCTGAGACATGATCATGGTAGTTTCATTATCTCTGTGACATCTAAGAAGTCCGAAAAGAAGCTGGGCACCAGTGCCTCACATTTGTAACCCTAGTTTCTCTCAGGAGACTGAGATCTGAGGATTGGGGTTCAAATCCAGCCCAGGCAGAAAAATCTGTGAGACTCTTACTTCCAATTAACCACAAAAAAGTTGAAGTAGAGCTATGGCTCAAGTAGTAGAGAATTAGCTTTGAGAAAAAAACAAAAACAAAAACAAAAAAAAAGGCCAGGCATAACACCCAGGCCCTGAATTAAGTTCCAGTATTGGCACAAAAAAAAAAAAAAAGAAAAAGAAAAAGAAAGAAAAGAAAAGAAAAAAAGAGAAAGAAAGGGAAAGAAAAGACGGAAGGAGGGAGGGAGGGAAGGGGAAGGAAGGGAAAGTATGAAGAGACACGGTCTGCACACAGCGGTTCTCTTCTTGATGCTTCTAGGTCAGATGTGAGCACAGCTCAATCCAACAGTCCCCCAGATCCAAAGGTCTTACCTGGCTCCTAGCTCCTACCTTTTAAACAGGGGTCTGTTTCTTTCCATACTGAAGAGGAACCTCAAGGCTCTGAAAGCGTAACACTAGAAAATAAAGCGAGTATGATTCTTAAATGGGAGTTTGGCCACCTAAACCATCTTCAGGACAGAAATGCCATGACATGGACAGTAAAGGGACCTTGTTGTGAGCCCAAAACTGAACACAAAATTTTCCCATGCTGGGGACAGCTCTTGTATTTAAACAGTCCTGATGTTCCTGCTCAGCCTTGTATTTGTCATCAATTCCTTTCTAGAAAGTACAAGTGAATACAGAGACGAGACATCACTATGCTGGCAAACCAGATTTCCCAAGATTTCCAGGAGCTCAAGATTTATTTCGTTCCCAGCCTTCTATGAGTGCCTGAGTATTGAGGTTTATATGAGAAAATAAACACTAGAAATGATGACATATAAAAATAGCCACAAGCCTACTGAATTCAAACCTGACAAATTGGTCTCCTGAGGAAACAGTCTTTGGCATTCTCCAAATAGAACAATCCAAAGTAACTCCCTAGGACACTCCAGACAGCTAGGGAGGCATAATAGAGAAAAACAAACTTCTGACATTTTGCAATGCTGAATGAGAAGCAAAGTAACAGCGAAAGAAAGAAAGAAGGAAAGAAAGAAAGAGAGAGAGAGAAAGAAAGAAAGAAAGAAAGAAAGAAAGAAAGAAAGAAAGAAAGAAAGAAAGAAAGAAAGAAAGAAAGAAAGAAAGAAAAGAAAGAAAGAAAGAGAAAGAAAGAAGAAAGGAAGGAAGGAAGGAAGAGAAAGAGAGAAAGAACGAGAAAGAAAGAAAGAAAGAAAGAAAGGAAGAAAGGAAGGAAGGAAGGGAGAAAGAAAGAGAGAGAGAGAGAAAGAAAGAAAGATACAATGCTTGATAAGAAATGTACTCATTATCTTGCCCATGTAATTGTAACTCCTCTGTACAGCATTTTCGCAATAAAAAAGAAAAAAGAAAGAGAAAAAAGAAGAAACAGAGATGGACTGACAGACAGAAAGAGAGGGGAGGGGAGGGAAAGGGAAGGGAGGAGAGGGGAGGAGAGGTTTAAAAAACAGGAGAGGAGGGCAGAGGAGAAAAGGGGGAAGAGGGAAGGGGAACGAAGGAGGGGAGGGGAAGGGGGCAGCAGAAGGGAAGAGAGGGGATGGGAAAGAAGAGAGGGGAAGGGAGGGGAGGGGAGAGAGGAGGAGATGCAGAGACAGAGACAGGAAGGCAGGACAAAGAGTAGATGGAGGGAAGAACATTGAGAGAGAGGTAAGAGAGAGACAGAGTAAGGGGGACAGAGAGAGCGCACCCTACCAAATCTGACCTGGAATCATTTTGTGAAATTGGTGATCTCGAAGCTGGGTGCCAATGGCTCACACCTCTAATTCTAGCTACTCAGAAGACTGAGATCCGAGGATTGCGGTTCCATGCCAGCCCAGGCAGGAAAAGTCCATGAGACTCTTATCCCCAATGAACCATCAGAAAACTGGAAGTAGAGCTGTGGCTCCAAGTTGTAGAGTGCTCACCTTGAGCAAAAAGAGCTCAGGGATGGTGCCCAGGCCCCCAGTTCAAGCCTCACAACCAAAAAAAAAAGTTATTGATCTGAAAATAGAAGCCACATAAAATTGCCCAGAGGTCCAGGTGGAAACAAAATGGGCTCGAAGAGGAGATAATGGCCAAGCAGAGTTGATGTGAGAAAGTGGAGAGTTTCTTAAAACCCCTTTCTAATTGGATTTTAAAAATAAATAAATAAATCTCTCTCTGGCCAGGCGCTGAGAACACCCCTGTAACCTTAGCTCCTTGAGAAGTTAAGAGCGGCCTCTATAAATCTTATGTATCCTGCCTGTCAGCACAGACTTTAAGATTCAAAACAAAAAAAAAAAAAAAATCACAAAGTATTTTATCAAAGTTTCCCCAGATTTCAGTAGCTTTAACATTAAAGAGCAATGGCTATGCTTATTACCTGTAATAGATTCGTTTTTGCTGCGTTCTTTTGTTTATTTGGTAAAATTAGTTTCGCGATAGTATATACACCATTTTCCTGGAAAAATAAAGGAGCCATGTTATCAGTGACCATGACAATGTCACAGAGATGCACATGCATATAAAAAGCAACAAGCTGGGCACTGTTGGCTCAGGCCTATAATCCTAGCTACTCAGGAGGCTGAGATAGGAGGATTGAACTTCAAAGCCAGCCTGGATAGAAATGTTCCCGTGAGACTCTTATCTCCAATTAACCACTCAAAAACCAGCAGTGGAACTGTGGCTCAAAGTGGTAGAGTGCTAGCCTTGAGCAAAAGAGCTCAGGGACAGCACCCAGGCCCTGAGTTCAATCCCCATGACTGAAAAGAAAAAAAAAACGGCAAGACTTGTTAAAAATCATTTGGAATTTTAAATATTACAGGCCATTACAATATAAAGCCATAAGCTAAAAGTTCCATGGTCTGTCTAGACTCCAGATAATTATTGTACACATTATGTAATTCTGAAGTGGTTTAACTATTTTTAAATGGAGAATGAGAAATTAAGAAGCCCAGAAATAAGGATTCAATTACCTTTATGCTTTTAATTTAAGTATCTAACTATGAAATATGTCTCCCTTTCTGTTTTTCATAAGTAAGCAATGCATATAGATCAATCATTGTATACTTGTTTTGTTTTTAAAAGAGAGAAAGAGAAGAAGAAGACTTTCACAGGCATGGCATCTCATGCCTGTAATTCCAGCTTCTTGGGAGGTAAAGATCATGAGGATTGAGGTTCCAGGCATGACTCAAGTGGTAGAGCTTCTACCCAGCAAGCAAGTGCTACCAAAACTTAATTAAATAATTAAGTTAATTAAAAGGCTAGGTTTGCTACTACATGCCTATAATCCCAGCACCTGGAAAGCTGAGGCAGGAGGTTCACAAGTTCAAAGACAGCCCTCAATGAGCTGCATAATGTGACTTTATCTCAAAAATCCAACGGCTGAGGACATAGCATAGTTAGCAGGGTGTTTACTAAACGTGTGCAACGCCCTGGGTTTGGGCATCACGACAACAAAAATAACTAAAAAGGTTTTAAAAATCAAAGAAAGAATGAAAAGTCAAAGAAAGCAAACAAAAGTAGTATGTGAAAACACCGTCAATGTCTTTTCAGTCTTGTTTTTTTCATATCAAACAATTTATTGCAGTGGGTTTTTTTTTCAGATTTAACTCTAATACAAAAATACACAGGGAAGAAGAACTTTCAAAGTACCTTCTTAGTGCTATTTCTCTATGTCCTTCGGACATCATCTATGTGTGGGCATTTGCATCAAATTGAGATTTCCCTGTTATGGCTACTCTGTAAATTATTCTAGAATTTCCCTCTTCCATACATGAAAAGCCAAAAATGTAGGCTGTCATGTTTATCCAGGAGTCAAGCCAGTAAATGATGCCGGGAGCTGCTCCTCTAGGTGGCCAACGCCAAATGTCTGGCTCTGCCAACTTCCCCAGATGCAGCCCCCCCCTTATAACTTTACCAACTCACTAACTTGAGAAGTCTGAAGTGTAACTTGGAAACACGGATGTTAACCCTCCAGAAATGTTCCTCCACAAACTTCAATAAATAGGAGGTCAAAGCCTGGCGCTGGTGGCTCACGCCTGTAATCCTAGCTACTCAGGAGGCTGAGATCTGAGGATCGCGGTTCAAAGCCAGCCCGGGCAGGAGAGTCCGTGAGACTCCTATCTCCAATAAACCACCAGAAAACCGGAAGTGGCGCTGTAGCTCAAGTGGTAGAGCGCTCGCCTTGAGCTGAAGAGCTGAGGGACAGCGCCCTGGCCCAGAGTTCAAGCCCCACGACCGACAAAATAAATAAATAAATAGGAGGTCACTGTTGCAACAGAAGCACAAGCCAGGGTTGTACACATGGCGTGGAGGGGAGCAGGGAGGTGTATATGTGTGTGCATATGTGTGTGCTCACACCTATAACTATTCGTACTGGATCAACTGATTAATGAGTTATAGCTTGTGAAATCAGGTTTTCAACAGTAAATATTTTTTAGTGTCTCAATTGACCCAATATGAAGTTCTTAAACACGACTGCTATCTATCCCTCAACTATATGAAATGCTTAAAATAGTCTAAGCCAGCCACTGATGGCTCACACCTGGCTAATCAGGAAACTGAGATCTGAGGATCGTGGTTCAAAGCCAGCCTGAGCAGCAAAGTCACTAAGACTCTTATCTCTGTTGAACCACCAAACAGCCAGAAGTAAAGTTGTGGCTCAACTGGCAGAACATTAGCCTTGAGCGCACATACACACACACACAATAATAATAATAATAATAATAATAACAAGCTAAGGGACAGTGCAAAGTCCCTGAGTCCAAGCCCCAGGACCACCACCCAAGAACATAAATAAACAAACAAACAAATAATAAAAAATATTTTTAAAGTGCCTGGTGTGGTCCCACAGCCTGCGGGCTCAGCAGGATGTGGTTAAGGAAGCCAGACCAGGTGGGTTTCTCACCTGAACCACCTGGTGGGCGTTGGTGTCATTCAGCACCAGTTCTGTGAGGGCCGCGCAGCAGGCTGGAAGGAAACAATCAACAGCATGGTGGTCACCTCTGTCTGGGTCACCACGGTGTGTGTCACCTCCCTGCCTGCCACCCCAGGGGATGTGACTACGAAGTCTTTCTCCAAGACACACCAACTGCCATTCCGCACATCTCTGAGGGAGGGAAGCTGGCTTCTAATGGCTCCATCCCTCCCCTCCCACATGGGCAGGTGCATCCAGCACACACCATGGTGTGCTTTACTTTTCTTTTGGCACTGAGGTATGAAATAAGTTGTGTGTGTGTGTGTGTGTGTGTGTGTGTGCGCGCGCGGGCGCATGCGTGTGTACACACTGGTCCTGGGGCTTGAGCTTGGTCAAGGCCTGGGCGCCATTATTCCTTGAGCTTTTGTGCTCATGGCTAGTGCTCTACCACTCACGCCGCAGCACCGCTTCCAACTATGTTAAGCCCCTTTTCAGTGTACAGCTCAAGTACCCCACCTAAATGGGCACTGCCTGGGGCCCCCAAAGCTCCCTCGTGCCCCTCCCTAGGCATCAGCCCTCCTTCAACCCCACCCGTCCAGCTGACCCCTTTTCTTGTTTCTATCACCATCATCCTACCTACTCTTTGAGAGAGACTGGAAACCAGAGCTCTGAAATCCTGCTGGGTTTAGACTTTTGGGGTACCCTTCAAACAGGGAACCCCGAATGCTAGCCATACTGAGACAGAAGCCTTTCAGAATGAGTAGAAACTGGAGGGCAGGGGGCGGAGGGGGGATCTCCACTTCTCTGTCCTCACACATTTCTGAAAACTTGTCTCCATTCTCCAGGAAATAGCAGGGAACAAAGAAAGCCGGCCTTGTCCTACCCCAGCACCCCTTTCTCCCTCCTGGGCCCCCTCCTACCATCCACCCTGACCTACTGTGCCTCTGCTCTGCCTGCAGTCCCCACTCCTCTCCCAAAGGCCAGGAACTGCAAACCGGGCTGGAACTGCACGACTGCTCAAGGGAGCTCAGCCAAGAAAGGGCTCCTGCATGGCTACTCCTGCTTGTGGAGTGAAAACACCCACATAGAGCGGCATGCTCCTCAGCTGAGAGGAGGCTGCTCCCCGGTGCCTGGTAAGATGGGTACATGCATTGGAGGTTCTCCCTTTCCAAAATCCATCTCTCCCATCTGTATGCGCGTCTCCCCTAGTTCAGTGGAAAGAGGAGGAAACACTAGCAACCAAGAAGTTTTTGCTCTCCATCCGGAGTTAACTTCACTTTTGCAACTACATTAATGGTCTCTAATTCACACCATCGTGCTAATCTTGTCACGGGGAATACCATTGCAACTGTCTCAATTGTAAAGGAACAAATAAAAACCTGATGGTATCACATCAATACCTGCTTGAAGGGAGAAAGTATTTTCCTGTATTTCCCGAGGGCTTAAATTGTCTGACAAATGAAGCTGCTGGATCCGGCCTGCAGCATTTGCACTAGACAGGCTGCCGATGGAGGAGCGGTCAGAAACAAAATTTCTGTCCCTGAAAACAAGAAAAGTTGATGCTCACGCGGTTTGTTGGATTTTCCTTTCCATCCACCCTTTCTGTGTCCTGGTGAAAACCTGTTTGACCTCCGCTAGGTCAGAAAGTTTTCTTCTACGTTATCTTTAGTGTTGCACTTCCCAGCCCAACTAGTGTTTTACTTGGTATGTGGTGGAATACCTTCCTTCTTTCCCTTCCCCTCCCCCCCTCCTTTCCCCTTCCCTCGCCTTTCTTCTCTTCTCTTTTTCTTCTCCTCTCCTCTTTCCTTCCCTCCCTCCAATCCTCTTCTCTCTCCTTCTCCTTTCTCTTCCTCCTCCCCCCTCTTTCCTTTCCTTCCCTTCTCTCTCCTCCCTCCCTTTCCCTTTTCTTTACTTACTTTCCCCTCCATCACCTTGGATTACTGAAATGACTCTGCCCTATTTATTGGAAAGGTCATCCCTCCTCCCTACTTCTCGTGGCTGTCTGTTCCTTGAACTCTGTATTTCACTGCAATTAACTCACTTGAATACAGCTCAATCCACATCATTCTAAGTTTTCTTTTCTTCGCTGAAACTGTAATCCTCCTTTATTTTAGGAAAGTTGTCTTCTAACGTGTCTTTGGACTCTTTTGTCCCTGTTTATTTGCTGTCTACCTCCATGATCCCAGCCTCCAAGGGGGCACCCTATCTTTTCCTGACTAGACCTTCCATCTTCCACCTCCACTCATCCCGTCGTCCCTCTCCTCCGTGTAATCCGTGACTTTGCTGTGCTTGTTTTCCATTGTGCTGTTTTGAGGTCTGGTAGCCCTTGGTTATTGTTCCACGCTCCTCTTCTGTCCAGCTCCACAAATTCCTTCCTTTGGCTGCCCTATTTTCTCATCTAGAATCTCATTTCATAAACCCATGTTCTGCCTAAGAATCTAAAAAGCTAACCTATTTGTTTATTTAATACACCATTTTGCACAATAAATTCCTTATTGGTCTTTATTCTGCTTTGTTCTCTCAATTTATACATTTTGTCTGAGATAGTCTCACTGCACTGAGTCCAGGCCAGATTCGAACTTGAAATCCTGCCCCCTCAATCTCCTCAGTATTGGGAGTACAGGCTCACCACCACATCCCACTCATTTTTTTTATGGAAACATATCTATATGGATTTAATGTACCCACATATAATGTGAGGGATGTCTCCTTGACTTCTCCCTCATGCCATCATCTAGATCACACCTATCCTTCCTAAAATGGGCATGGGAAAGGTAGTTGGACTAGGGCAGGAGAGAGCTGCAGTTGATGGTCTTATCTGTCAACACAATTTTCTTAGAGATCACACTGAAAGGATCATTCTACCTAAGTAAGAATATGGATTTGCAGATGAACACAGTAGCTCCCAGCTACTCAGGAGGCAGAGAGATGGAGCAATTACATTGCAACATTCATCAAAAAAAAGTTTAATTTCAAACTATTTTAACAAGTCATCCCTTCTTCCAATCCTCCACGCTCATGGCTTAGAATGCCATTGAAATTCTATTTTTTTTAATGTGCTGAGGATCAGGCCTACAGTCTCAGGCATGCCAGGCAAGCATGAAAAGCTCAATGGAGCTGGGTGCTGGTGGCTCACGCCTGTAATCCTAGCTACTCAGGAGGCTGAGATCTGAGGATCGCGGTTCAAAGCCAGCCCGGGCAGGAGAGACCGTGAGACTCCTATCTCCAATAAACCACCAGAAAACCGGAAGTGGCGCTGTAGCTCAAGTGGTAGAGAGCTCACCTTGAGCTGAAGAGCTGAGGGACAGCGCCCTGGCCCAGAGTTCAAGCCCCACGACCGACCAAAAAAAAAGAAAAGCTCAATGGAAATTAGAGAAGCACAAAGAGACCAGGGTCAGTAATATGATCACCATTTTATGGTTAATATTTTCTCCTATTCTAAATTATACCTGAGGTGTACTAACATAGGCCGTGCTTTCTCTTTAAAGACAATTGATATTGCCTGGTACCTGGCTGGTGCCGATAATTCTAGCTACTCAGGAGCCTGAGATCTGAGAATCACTGTTCAAAGTCAGCCTGGGCAGGCAAATCTGTAAGACTGTATCTCCAATTAGCCAGCAAAGGCTTGGAAGTAAGTGATATGGTTCAAGTGGTGGAGTGTTAGCCAGGATTTAAAAAGCTGAGTGAGAGAGTCTAAGGCCCTGAGTTCAAGCCACAGTACTGCCACACACACACACACACACACACACACACACATACACATAATATATATTTTTTTTGATAAATATATATTTATACATTGTTAACATAGTTATATATCTGTCACATTTTATTTTAAGATATATTTTAACATATTTTAAAATAAAATTTTTAAATACTATTTATTAAAATCTAAATTAAAATAATTAAAATATGTATTATTTGTATTTATATACTTATATATGTGTGTGTGTGTGCACACGCACACACCATCACCATTTGTGGTGTGGGGCTGCTTCTGTTTTCTTAGCACAGTACCTGGATCTGGCCCCAGGAGTGTCAGGCAGGACCAGTGTCCTCCTTGGCCATCAGGGGAATTCCCTGCGGCCTATCTCTGCGCCCAGCCGCACTCCGCATCCTGCCCCGCACCGTGCAGGCGGGCCCTGCACACACACCTGCCAGGATTCCTAAGGGACTGCAAAGGTGAGGGCGACATGCCCAGGGCAAGAACGCGAACCACGGAAGACAGCCCAGCGGGCAGGGCAGCCTGGGGCGCCCGGACCCGGGGGTCGTCTGGGCCCCTAGCCCTGGGCCCCCCCCCCGCCCTTACCCGCGCAGAAGGTGAAGCAGCTGCTTGATGCCTCCCCAGGTGCGGATCTCCACGCTGGTCTCGGGGTCCTCGCAAACCTGGACCAGAATCCACACGACGCTCCAGAGCAGCTTTAGGTGGTCCGAGTGCAGCAGGCTGAGCAGGACCGGGATGCCCTCGTACAGCTTCACCTGCTCCTTCACCTGGGGCTCGGCGCACAGGAGGCGCAGCAACTCTGCCGTGAGTCTGGAGGGGGATGGAGGAGGGGGGGGTCACGGCGGCTGGCCCGATGGCCTGGCATGTCGATGGAACTCACACACCCAGGGCCCTCGCCACACAGTGTCGGGCCGGTCTGCTCAGCCAGGCTAAGGCCGAGAGCAACACCGCCTGAGAATTGTTCTTTAGTTACAGAAAAATGAGCAGTGGGCACATGTAGCCTGCTGACTGTGGCTTGGGGCCACCTAGCAGCTCAGCTAACAAATCCTACTGACCTAGCCCAGCAGCCCTGTAATCCTAGCTACTAAGGAGACTGAGACGTGAGGATCCTGGCTGGAAGCCCGAAAGTCCGTGAGACTCTTATCTCTCCAAATTAATGCCGGAAGCAGAGCTATGGTTCAAGTGGTACAGTGCCAGCCTTGAGCAAAACAGCTCAAGTGCCTAGGTCTGAGTTCAAGCCCCCTATTGGCACACACACATGCACGTGCACACACACACACACACACACACACACACACACACACACTCACCCTCTACTGGCAGCCCAAGCAGGAAATTCTATGAGATTCTTATCTCCAAGAAACCAGGAAAAAGCCAGGAATGCCAGCCTTAACAACAAAGCCAAGTGTGAGGCCCTGAGATTAAGCCCCAGCCCTAGCGCGCACACACACACACACACACACACACACACACACACACACACACATCCACACATCTCCAGTTAACCACCAAAAAGACAGAAGTGGAGCTGTGGCTCAAGTAGTCGAGTGCTAGCCTTGAGCAGAAAAAGCTCAGGGACAGCACCCAGGCCCTGAGATCAAAGTCAGAAGCAGCAGAGAACAAAAACAGAAACAAAAAGTAAATAAATGCAATAAATGAAAGTATTAATGATAGAATCCTAAGCCTAAAAGCAACACAAGCCTGAAGATAAATAAACACACTTCTCTGTGTGCCAGCGTCGTCAAGTTTAACAGGAAATACCTGCCAGGCAGACTCGTGATAGCCAGTTCACAGCACAAATAAAATGACATGGTAAATACAAGCATTTGCCTCAAATGTCAGACATGTTTTTCAAGTATTAACAACCCTACCTTTTGGAAAGCAAGTCGTACTCATGTAAAATCATCAACAGATTCTCTACAATGTTGAGTTCACTTATCTTCTCCCTACATTCTGGGCTGTAAATTTTAAAATGTTAGTATTTATTAAAAGCATATTTCATTGCATCCACTGATTTAATAGTCTAGCTGTCATATTATAACAGGAATCATATGCTATTCACAAACACACATATAATATACACACAAGCCATAATCTATTTATTGGCATTGAAGTATATTTATTTTATTTAAAATTGTGACAACTAGAAAGACATGGTTTCTAAACAACAACAAAAAACAGAAAGTTCACAATGCTTGAAAGTGTTCTGTAGGTTAAACCTTACACACAGGTAAGAATGAAAAAAAATAGAGGGAGATTCAAATGGCAAAGATACATTGTGGTAATTCTGAATGGAGAAGCAACTGAAGGCTGGGTAAAAAGACTTGGTTAAATTTTCAGGTAAGAAAGAAAAGGATACTGGTGGTACATGCCTATCATCCTAGCTACTCAAGAGGCTGAGATCTGAGGATCACCAGCCGAGGCAGACCAATTAACCAACAAAAGGGAGAAAGTAGAGATGTAGCTCAAGGGGTAGAGCACCAGCACTGAGTGAAAAGTCATTGAGGAAGGAAAGGAGGAAGGAAGGGCAGGTGGGGGGAGAGGGGCAGGGGGAGAGGGAGGGGTAGAGACAGAGACAGAGAGAGAGAGAGAAAGAAAGAGACCAAAGGAAGGAAGGAGGGAAGGAAGGAAGGAAGGGAGTGAGGGAGCGAGGGAGGGAGGAAAGGAAGAAATTCTAAATGGTTGTTTGCTTTTCCAAATTGAATTTTAAAATGATGCTTTTGCTCAACATTCTCTTCAAAAACAGGTAAGTGTTCATGCTTTTTAAAACCAGATGGCCATTCAAGGGGTTTGATCTGTCTCTCCTGCTGACCCGCTAGAACCGCAGAGCTAGAAGCATAGTAAGACACCTACCTTTCTGCTAAGCTAGCCAGGGCCAAAAGAGCACCCAGTAGGACGCTAGTGTCTCGAGCACCAAGCAAATTTACTAATGTCTGAAAAATGAAGAAAAACCGTTTAATTAGGTAAGTACAATGTGCTTCTCGAATGGTATAATGCTTCCTTACAAAGACATAGAGGCTTAGCCACTTTTTGTTCTTGGGATTTTTTTTGGAGGGGGGGTTGTTTGTTTGTTTTTGTTTGCTCAGGTTTAGTGGGTGTATTTGCATACCCATTACATATAAACACAATTCTCTAAGTAAAACCGAAATTTACTAAGGTGATTCTACTTAGCAAAAAGTTATTAGACAGGCTCTTTTCATTTAAAAAAAATGTAGTCAATATAGCGGCTTAATCTTAAGTTCAAAAAGTTTTGTTAAACATTCAAAACCTCAGGTTCTTGCTGGGTGCCAGTGGCTCACACTTGTAATCCTAGCTACTCAAAAGGCTGAGATCTGAGGATCATGTTCAAAGCCAACCCAGGCAGAAAAGTCAGTGACTCTTATCTCCAATTAGCCATCAAAAGATAGAAGTAGATGTGTGGCTCAAGGATGTGAGGGTGATCTGGCTGCGACATCTGTCACCCCATTGATGGCCAGGGTTGATTTGGATATGTGGCTCAAGTAATAGAGCATCAACCTTGAGCCAAAAGGCTAAGGGACAGTGCCCAGGATCTGAGTTCAAGCCCAAGTTATTGGCACAAAATAAAAAACCCTTCTTTACAGAAGCCCAGTGCTCATTTCCTCTCCTGACAGAAGCACTTTGAAGCTGTTCCCTGCCCAGAACAAGAGACTACAAAGCCTGGAGAGACAGGACCGGCCACTGCTGTTCCTCCCTCCCTTTACTGCCACAGCACTTTGTCCAGCACTTGTGACCACCATTGCCCCAGCCTGGCTAAATGGAAGGTTATCATTCTGTTAGCACCTAGCCATTGAGAACTCACTCTGAGCTGAGAATTGTGCAAGGCTCATTCCAAATGACAGGGCTAGCAATGTGCCTCACGCTGTGGATGCTCTACTAGCTCTGGGATTCCTATCTGACTGTCCTCAGCATTATCCTAAATAATGCATCTTGAAATCTAGATTTTGCCTTCCTTGAATTGTCATGAATGCAAACTCTCTTCTCTACAATTTCTAGAGGATGCCTCCAAACATGTTCAAGCCAGAGCTACAGCCTGTATGATGACGGCTAGAATGATTTTTTGGTTTCCAACAAATGGGCTTTTTTTTTTTTTTTTTGGAGTACTGGGATTTGAACTCAAGGCCTTGAGCTTGCCTGGGTGAAACTCTACTACTTAAGCTGTGACTCTAGCCCTGCTTTCTGCTGGTTCTTTGGGGGATGGAGTCTAGAGAACTTTTCTGATGGGACTGGCCTCAAAATCTCAGCCTCCTCATTAGCTAGGATTCCTAGAGTGAACCACCAGTTCCCAGATATTTCTGCTGCTTGCTTTCCTTCCTTCCTTCCTTCCCTCCCTCCTTCCTTCCTTCCTTCCTTCCTTCCTCTCTTCCTTCCTCCCTTCCTTCTTCTCTCCCTTCCTTCCTTTCCTCCTTCCTTCCTCTTCCTTCCCCCTCTTTCTTCCTTCCTCCTCTTCCTCCTCCCCCTCCCCATCTTCTCATAATGCAGCTATCATTATTTCTCTGGCCACGTCCTTATTTTATTCTCTTACTTCTCTCCCTCTCACTCAGCCCACTTTCTGTCCTCTAACATGATGTTTTTGCGAACTCCAATCTCCGAAATAACTATTTTTACAACTTTGCCATGTCCACTTGATACCTCAGTGCTAACTATTCTTCACATTTTTTTGTGTGTGGCCAGTCCTGGAGCTTGAACTCAGAGCCTGGGCACAGTCCCTGAGCTTCATTTGCTCAAGGCTAGTACTCTACCACTTGAGCCACAGTGCCGCTTCTGGCTTTTTCTGTGTATGTGGTACTGAGGAATTGAACCCAGAGCTTCTTGCATGCTAGGCAAGCACTCTCCCACTAGGCCACATTCCCAGTTCCTATTCTTCACATCTTAAGTAATATCAATTAAATGAATGGCTGTTTCAATAAAGGGTTGGCACATGCAGTCAGCTACAACCATCCATCCGCTAGACCACAGGCAGCATGTGCCAACAAGTCTGAAGCTAGGAGGTGGCTCCCTGAGATAGGAGAACTGTATAGATACATACATATGAATTATACAGGGTATGTAAGAGTGAGTGTGCGTGTGTGTGTGTGTGTGTGTGTGTGTGTGTGTGTGTGTGTGTGTGTGTGTGTGTAGTGCTAGAGATCTAACTCAGGGCCTCATGCATGCTAGACAAGCTCTCTACTACTGGGCCACATCCTCTAACTCCTTAAAATGTGTATTTGGTTCATGGTCTTGTAACCCGGTGCCATGTTATTAGAAGGCCACATCACATGACACTGTCTATATTCAACCATACCTGACCTACAGACAGTAGCAACTTCATATGGTTCAAGTAATACAATCTTCTAAGACCTATGGGTTTGTTTCTAAGTACACAGGATACATTTTGTTTGCCGATTTCCACTTCCTTATTTACAGTTGCACACCTAGGGTCAGTTTACACATAAGCCAGTTCTTAAGCAACATTTAAATTAAGCAATCAACTTAGTTTGTATTAAAGGGCATATACTACAGAGAAAAGGACATGAGAAAAGGCTTTGTGTCCTTTGTCTGTACGGACACCATGCACCAATGAAGAAGCAGGGTTCAGGCCACGTGCCACAGCTGGGGCCGGCTTGGCAAGTCTGCAGGTCGTTAGGGCAAGGACGTGGACACGTGGCTGGGACGGAGGCTGGGCACCACTCACCTTGTGCGCACCGCTTGCTGTGACCCATTCTCGCTGGTCTTTGATGGCAGCAAGTTTTTGGAAAATGTCTATAAAGAAAGGAAGGAAGTGAACGTGAGATCCAGAGTTGAAGAGATGCAGCAGTCAGAATCTGGGGCTCCCAAAGGGCTGCTTGTTAAACCCTCAATCATCTGACACATCCCATATAAAATAAATCTGTAATCATCTGATAAACAAGTGCTAGCAAAGGTAAGCATCTCCTACTACTTCCAAGTTTCTACCCAAGTTCAAGGCCTGCTCTGTAGAGATCCAGAGCGCCTTCTGAAAAATCTCAGCTTATATCTAATACCTCCCGCTAAATAGCTCAGGAAACGGGAAGTTAGGAGTATGGAAAAGCTGAGGGGAACAGGTGTCCAGAAAGAAGAGCCTGGGGCCTGCGGCCTGCCACAGAGTCGGCTCCCCCTGTACCTGAAGGTCAGTGCTGCCTGGCAAACAAGCGTGGGGAACCAGGGTCAGGAAGTCCTCAGCCACACCTGGGTAACAGGTGGGGGGAGGGGAAGCCGAGTGGGAAGTGAGGCATTTTTCACATACAGAGTAGACCTAGGTCCTTATTTCACACCAAATTTTTCTCTTTTTTTCCTTTTTTTTTGTCCCAGTACTGGGGCTTGAACTCAGAATCTGAATGCTGTCCTTTAGCTTTTTATGCTTACAGCCAGCACTCTACCGCTTGACCATAGCTCCACTGGTAGCCTTTTGGGTGGATAATTGGACATAAGAGTCTCAGATTTGCTGTCCAGTCTGGCTTTGAACCTAGATCCTTGTATCTTAGCCTCTTGAGTCTCTAGGATCAGAGGTGTGAGCCACCAGCGCCTGGCGTTACCTTTTCTTTTTAATGCTGTGGATGTCCTAAATTCTGAGGTAGCCTTTATTGCTAATCAAATTTGGACGTGACAGCTGACGTCTGTGACATTTTAACAGAACTCAGAGGCTCTTCAGAGGAATAGAAACAAAAGGTCTTTGTTTTTCTTTTTGTCTTGTTTGTTTATCTGTCTTTGAGAGGGCAAGGGGGTGCATAGGGATGAAGGGACAAAGGGTGAACAGTGGTACTCACTAGACTTTACATGGGAAAAGAACTATATACCGTGAGGGCAGGGACAAGAGGGGAAATCTGGGAGAGAGAGAAGGAAGGGGGCATTGTCCAGAAAGAAATGTACTCATTGCCTGACTTATCAAAGAGTTGCCTCTCTACATCACCTTTATAATAATAAAAAAATAAAAATTAGCTTAAGATATAAATGCATGTGTATGGATATGGGAGCCTCCTCACATAAAATAAATTGTGCTTTCCAAAATAAGACTTTTTAATCTGAAAGTCTCTGTGCTGGAGATATTTTGCCACTAATGTAATGATCTGCAGACTCTCATACCCTCACAGAGAATGGAGACATTCCTATGTATTGAAGGTAAGCGCCATCTTGCCTACTCTAGCAAGCGCAGGAAGTTCACCACACCCCTGCCCGCATGCCTTACATGTCATGTTGACGAGCTTGTCCACGCTGTGCTGCTCTTCCCCATAGCCGAGGTACTCGTGAGCCACCATCTCCATGTACTATAAGGACAACAAAGCCAGTCAAGAGCACAAAGCAGCATGCAGTTCCTAAAATAGGCTCTAGGTGGCACAACGGTCACCAAATCCTACTCTGCTTCTTGTTCCTGATTCTTCCATGGGCAAAGTTAGGCTTCTAGCTTTCTTATAGGTCTTGTAGATGAGAGTAGGACCCATCTAGAGATTGGGTGCATGCAAAAGCACCAGAAAACATAAATGAGTAAGTTAATGGTCTCATTTAGTACCCAAATATGAGAAGGAGGAAGGGAATATAAGGAATGTGTGTGTGTGTGTGTGTGTGTGTGTGTGTGTGTGTAGATCTGTGTATGTGTTACACAGTACATACAAATTGAATTCTTTGATGTACCTTTTAGAAAATTTTTTTATAACAACTGCATATATTTTAGTAACCTTTTATTTTATAATATACAAAATGACATCTAACCAGCATGAAGGCTGATATTACTAATAAGAATAAAATAACGTGGCAGTACACACCTATATCCTAGCTCATAAGGCAGAGATCAAGAGGGTTACAGTTCAAGTTCAGCCCAGGCAAAAAGTAAGATCCCATCTAAACCAATGCGCCTGGTATGGAGATATGCACTTATGATACCAATTACAAGGTGGCTCAGTGGTAGAATGCTTGCCTTGCATGCCTGAGGCCCTGGGTTTGATTCCTCAGCACCACATAAGCAAAAAGAAAAAAGCTGGAAGTGGTGCTGTGGCTCAAGCAGTAGAGCTCTAGCCTTGAGCTGAAGAGCTGAGGGACAGCGCCCAGGCCCAGAGTTCAGACCCCACGACCGGACTCCCCCCCCCCAAAAAAAAAAAGAGAGAGAGAGACCTTAAATAGGAGGATCAGAGTTCAGAAACATGGATTTATTATCAACATCATTCTTAGGAAGCTAGAGTGGTATACATCTGGAATTCTAACACTCAGGAGGCTGAAGCATGTTTCTGAGTTTAAGGCCCAACTGAACTATACAGCAAGACTTCACCTCAAAATGGTGTTTTGCATATGTGTGTGTGTGTATGTGTTTTATTAACGACTGAAAATGTAGCTTGGTGATAGAGCACTTGTCTAGCACACATAATGCCCATAATCCTAAGTATGGCAGAAATATTTTCTTAAAAATACTAGTTATAGGGCCAGGTGCCAGTGTCTCACACCTGTAATCCTAGCAACTCAGGAGGCTATGATGTGAGGATCATGGTTCGAAGTTAGCCCAGGCAAGAAATTCTGTGAGACTCTTATCCCCAACTAAACGCCAGAAAATGGCAAGTGGAAGAGCACTAGCTTTGAGCACAAAGAGGCTCAGGGACAGTGCCCTGACTTCAAGCTCCACAACAGACAAAAAGATAAATAAATAAAAATACAAGTCAGTTTTTCTGTATACACTATAGGAGACTTGGCCACTTCAAAGCATCACATGTACTAATAAACTCAAGCCTTTGATTTGCTCAGCATCTACAATCTTCCACTGCTTCCTTTCCCTCAAATACAATTCAGGATACTGTCAAAACATAAGATTAAGAAACTATATGCAGTAGGTTATAAAAATATTTTTCAAAGGATAAAAAAATAATGAAATCCAAGTCATTCCTTACTTCATCTATTTATTAATATCTTCGTGAGCATACTATTTTTATTTAAATAAATTAAACATCATAATTCATTTCCCTTCCCATTTCTGTGCAACACTGACAACTTAGCTTGCCAGCCAATGCCTGATTCCTGTCATCATTAACCAAAGACATGTTAAAGTCTTTTTGTTTCAGCAGGTTGATGAAAATGAACCCAATTATCCAGAAAGAAATTATTATCTCTCCCTGCCCGGTGAGTGTCTACCTCGAGCTCACTCATTTCAACTCCCTCTTCTCCAAACAAGCAGTATCTCACAGCATACTACAACACTTCTGATCACACACACACACACACACACACACACACCCTTAATTCTTACCCAGAGCATGGCACAGAATGAAGAGGCAAGACAAGATGCACAAAAGACCCTTACCTGCGCTAGGTTCTCAATGCCACCCAAGTTGTAGAGTATTTCCTGAGAAGAGAAAAACAATAGGAGATACATGAAGGATGGGGGCCATGTGGAAGTACAGTTTGGGACCTTTTCATTGAGTGGTTCAATTTGTGATTGTTTCCAGAAGATTCTCATTCTAATGGAAATGTGGGAAATTCACCATGTGACATGCCTGTCACATTCAAGATAACCAAGACAGGTATGGGTAGCTCACGGCTATAATCCGAGCTACTCAGTAAGCTGAGATCTGAGGGTCATAATTTGAAGCCAGCCTGGTCAGGTAAGTCTGTGAAACTCTTATCTCCAATTAACCACCAGAAAACCGGAAGTGGCGCTGTGGCTCAAAGTGGTAGAGTGCTAGCCTTGGCCAAAAAAAAAAAAACAAAGCTCAAGGACATCCCTGGGGCCTGAGTTCAAGCCCTGTGACTGACAAAATTAAATAAATAACTGGCTACTGGAATATGGAGGTTGGGAGGACAGGGAAACAATAGACATGTGCTCAGAACACTGTCTGTTCCTCGTGATTGGTAGTTCTTCCATGGTCATCATAAAAGGTGACACTGGAGAGATTGAAGACGCAGCTTCATTCAGCTCTTCCATGTCTCCATGAGGCCCCTAAGACTAAGAAAGGAAGCCATCTTGCCTGGCACAGATCCTAGATGAGCCAAGCATCACCCAGATGCCAGCACCTTCATTTGGGCCGTTGTCTAGTGTAGGTAAGCCAAGCAGTACAGCCTCACTCAGGAGCTGATTAGAAATAGAGTTCCCCACCACTCCAGACCTGCCCCTGCCACATTCTCTTTCAATAAGACCCTGGTTATTTGCATAAATAAAATTACATGAGAAGTCCCAGATTTCAAACGACAATAAAATAAAAAATGCATGAATTCCCATAAGGCTTCCAGCTTCTCTGTCACATGAATACTAATCTAAGGGGAAAAAAACAAGGGCAGGAAGGGTCTGAGCATGAGAAGTGGAAATGGGGTTTCACACCAACTCTCCAAGACAGGCAGGAATGGCGGGGCTGGCACCGGCTTCCTGAGACCCGGCAGCAGAAGCTGTCAACCGCAGCATGGCTTTTATGACCTTGGCCAACAATTCTTGGCAACCCAGGATGTTACACAACGGCCGGGGACATCACATGCTCTTCTGAGCGGGAAGACTGCCAGCAGCAGGGCCGGGAGAGGAGAATCCCCTTCTACGGACAGGCTGGTGATCCGGGGCCTGAATTTAATATGTATTTAGTAACAAAATCTCCTCCACAAACTGGTCCCTGCATGCCTTCCATTAGAGAACAGTGTAATCAACCCTCTTCCATTCCATCAAGGGCTAGTTGAAGAAAGGCGAGTGTGACTCTATTGCTACCCATTTCCTTAATCAATACACAGACTATCTCTAAGGTAAAGACTGAGCTAACTTCTGCAAGTCAAAATGCTGGATCTTCCTCCTTCAATATTTCTCTTGGTTGTTATATCTACCTTGTTTTCATCCAAACTAAGACATGTCAGGTGGCAAAAGAGGGTGCTTGGGTTCAGTAAGTGGGAAAGAGGGGCACACGCTGGTACAGAGCCAAACCAACAGTTCACCCCTATGTGCGGAGCCCACAGGCAGCCCAGAAATGCACAGCACAGGGCGCCAGAGGGCGGGCCTTGCCATACAGGAACAAGGATGTTAGAGAAGAAGCTATGTGGAGGCTCTCCAGAGACATATTAGCTAACCTGCAATCGCCCAAGGTCAGTTTAGAATACAGTCTGAGGCAGGGCTGAGTTCTCCAAGGGAAAGATGTGCAGTTACCACAAGCCCCAGAAGATCCAAATCAGAGCAAGTCAAGTTAAATGCACGGTGTATGTGTATATGCTTGTGTGCACGTGTGTGTGTGTGTGTGTGTGTGTGTGTGTGCGCGCACGCGCGCGCGTGCCGGTACTGGGGCTTGAATTCAGGGACTTGGCTCTCCGTTGGCTTTTTCTGTTCAAAGCCATAGTTCCACTTCCCATTCTCTTGGTGGTTAACTGGAGATAACAGTTTCATGGACTTTCCTGCCTAGGCTAGCTTTGAACAGCAGTCCTCAGACCTCCTGAGTAGCTAGAATGACAGGCATAAGCCACCAGCACCCAGCTCAAAATACATTTATTTTAAGTGCAGAATTTGAGAAAGATGATTGTGTATATTAATGAAAGGAAACAGATTCTAACTTAAGTAAGAAGTCATAAATAAAGTTGAATCTGGTCTAAAATGTTCGGTTTGTATGAGTTTCCCAGTAGCTTATAAATATGAGGCATGAAAGGAAATCTGTCCTAGGAAAAGAAAATAACCTGTGAGGAGTACAGAAGCATGTGCAAATAATGGAAACACTCCTGAGATACTTCACAGGCCACAGTGACGCAACCATCCGCAAGCTATCTTGAGCCTTTCTCACACCATGGCATTCTTTCTAGCAGCCTCAACGTCCACTGGAACTTGTTGAAACATGTTTTATCCCTCCCTACTCCAAACCTACTGAACTGGACACTGTAAAGCTGAGCTACAAAAATCATGTCCTTCAGACATCTCTGATGCTTCCTGACCTTGGAGAATAGCTGCTTTATAAAAATCTACTCTCTTGCCAGGAACTAGTGGCTAATGCCTATAATCCTGTCTACTCAAGAGGTTGAGATCTGAGTATTATTATTTAAAGCCAGCCCAGACAGGAAAGTCTGTGAGACTCTTATCTCCAACCAACTACCAAAAAGCCAGAAGTGAAGCTGTGGCTCAAGTGGTAGAGTGCCAGCCTTGGGCAAAATAAGCCAAGCAAGTACACAATTCCCTTAGTTAAAGCCCTAGTACTAACACATATAAGAGAGAGAGAGAGACAGAGAGACAGAAAGAAACAGAGAGAGAGAGAGAGAGGATGAATGAATGAATGAATATCTTCTATCTCTCTACAAGATAGGACAGGAAATAATAACTTTTTGGTCCAGAAATGTCAGGTATGAGCTAATAGCCTGGGCACCTCCTGGAAGCTCATTAGAAATGCAGAATTATGAACCTATTGGACCAGAATCCACATTTACAGAATCTTGAGGGAAGTGATTCTTGTGCAACATTAAAGTCTGAGAGGCAGCACCCTCAACTTGCTAGAGAGACAAGGGGAAGATTTGGGGCTTAGTACCTTCTTCAAGATGAGCGGAGCAGAGAGAGGTCCTCCCTCTGCTCACCTCAGGTCCAGCTTGGGATGCAGGGCGGGAAGGGATGGGCTCAGGAGTAGTCAGTAGGGCTGCACCCCTGCTGTTCTCATGGCTACCTCCAGAGCCACACAGTGAGGCCCCAGCTTGTCGCTGCTGGTGCATGCTTGAAGGTGTGACCCAGGGAATGTCCTGAACTGGCTGAAAAGGCCAGACAGCAATACAAACATGAGCAAAAGTTCAATCCATTGAAACCTTGTGGATGGTGTGGTAGAAATACACAGAGCTTGACCCAAGGCCCTTCTAAATCATTCTTAAAAGCACATGAAATAGGTCCCGCACTGAGAAGTGACCAAATTGTGAGAAAAAACTAAAAAGGTAACAGGGCCTATTTCAAAGAAAAGCCCCCCAGATTTAATTTATCTTCATAACAAGCAAAATATAGGAGTTTTATTTTCCAACCCACCTGATAACATGGATCCCTCATTAGTAGCCTCAGACAAATTAACACTCTCAGAAAATGGATGGATGGGGCTCGATTAACCCACTCTCTGAAAGAAGAACAAAGAAAAAAAAAGTTTAAAGTCTCAGTGTGAATCCTACACGATTGTAAAGGAAATAAAGAACACACTCCACTTATTTCAGTTGAGTCAGCCATGGGATTGTTAATTTGGTCCTTGAACTCTTGGCTTCTTTAATGCAATTGACCATCTGTATAGCACCATGAAACAGAGGCCCCCTGTTTATTGGGTTCATAGTAACCACACTGACTCAATATTTCCTAGTACCTTTAAAAGCAAAATAAACAACAGTACTAATAATTATTAGACCCAACTTAATAAAGAATATACCTCCTAACAACTTAGTGTTCACACCTTAAACATGCATTACAATGTTTTCCTTTTATTTTTAAAGGCACGTGCTGAAGGGGGCTGTGTGCCTAGCATGGAGAAGAACAACTTGTAGAGCCTCAGCATCTGACTGGATGCCACCATCTTCTTCCTCTTCCCCAGACAGTCACAGATCACTGCCTTTTATGTAATAACCACTGAGAATCAAACTTCAGAAAGATAACCAGCCAGGCCCTGGTGGCTCAGGCCTGTAATCCTAAGAGGATGAGATCTGAGGATCATGGTTGAAAGCCATCTCAGGAAGTAAAGTCCACAAGATTTATATCTCCAATTAACCACCAAAAAGCCAGAAGTGGAGATGTGGCTCAAGTGGTAGAGCACTAGCCTTGAGTGAAAAAGCTAAGGGACCAGAGCCTAAATTCAAATCCCAGTATCAGAAAAATAAAAGCTATGCCATCATTTTCAGGAATGGATGGGTCTATCTAATGTGCTGTGTGACATTGCAGTCATGAGTGACCTTAGAGTATCTGGAAGAAGAAGAAGCAGATAGCATCAGTGCTAGGGTGTTCACTTCCCTGGGGCTCATCTAGGTTTTTCCAGGCCCTCATAGGTCACTGCAAGCAATTTCTTTCATTGTTCTTTGTATTGTATCCAGTTGAAGCTGGTAGAAAATGTAGTGAAAATGGTCAAGAGAGCTGGATACAATGATGCACCCTGTAATCCCAGCTACTCAGGAAGCTGAGGCAGGAGAATCATAAATTTGAGACAACACATCAGGAGTTCATCTCACACAGAAGTAAGCTGGCCACTGATGGCTCCTGCCTGTAATCCTAGCTACTCAGGAGGTTGAGATTTGAGAACTGAGGTTCAGAGCCAGACCTGGCAGACCAATTCTTATCTCCAGTGGAAAAAGGAAGTCATGAATGAAAAAGCTGAGGTTCTGAGTTCAAGCCCCAGTACAAGCAATCAATCCATCAATAAAGCCTATCACTCCACCCCTCAGGGTACTGAAACAGGATAGATAGATGAGGAGCTAGGGAAATTATATTGTTTTCAACAAATGCCAGAAAGAGCCAGCCTAAGAAGTGAAAACCAGGAAGCACACTGAAAAAGAGCATGTAAATTCCCCCTTCCTTTTTAATGCTAAGTGATAGGATTAAGAAGGAGGTTATTAAAATCTGCCCTGGCTTTTGAAATAATATAGATGCCGCATTTTCTTTTGAAATACATGAGATGGCGCCTCAACGAGCTTTATTCTTGGAGAAGGGGAAAATTGGGTACTCTTCCTGAAAGAAAGGAGACAAAAGGAATGGAAGGAAATTCCTGGCAAAAGGAAGTTCCTGAAAGTCGTGGGTGTGTTGGGGTGGGCCTCCATCTTACCCACACAGTGTCATTGTCTAAGGCTTAGGAGTTGCTAGATGGTGAGATCAGGTGTATTCAGCTCAAAATACTGAAGGTACACATAGGAATCACTACTGAGTCTTGTGTGTGTGTATGTGTGTGTGTGTGTGTGTATACAAGGTCTTGAACTCAGGGTCTGGGTACTGTCCCTTAGCTTTATTTGCTAAAGGCTAATGCTCTACCACTTGAGCCACAGCTTCACTTTCTGGTTTTGCTGGTTCTCTGGAGATAAAAGTCTCAAGGACTTTCCTCCATGGATTGGCTACAAAATGTGATCCTCAGATCTCAGCCTCCTGAGTAGGTGAGATTAAAGGCATGAGCCACCAGCACTAGGCTGCCAATGAATCTTTAACTCCCATTTACAGCATGAGCATGGGCAGGAATTGCGTCATATATATGTATTTATACCAGAATGAGAGCCAAAGTCTATGCCATGGCCACACAGCCCTCCATGGCCACACGGCCTTCCGTGACCTCACCTCTGCCCCCATCTCCCCGCACAGCCGCATTCACTGCCTCCCCCCGGTGCCTGGACAGGGCTGTGCCATAAGCCAGGGCCTCAAGTGCTTCTACAACCACCTTCCATGCTTTCCCAACACCAGAACCTAAAGACAAAGAGGAAGCCCTTCCCCCAGCTGACATGAGGCCAGTCCAGAAGTTAGTGTAACCACAGTGTATGTGGTACAGGGGAAGTCAAACACTACCTATGCACCAGACTTGCTAGAGACTGTGCTCCAAGCCATAGCAAGCAACACGGGTACTTGGTGCTCATATTAAGAAAAAAAACCCTGACATACAGAGCATTAATTGTTGTTTCACACTTAGCCATGGACAGCTAAGGGAGACAATGAAAGCTATTTCAGACTAGAGTTAGACTTTTTCCCTATTGGCCATGCATTAAGAAAGGCTAGAGTAAATCTTTTTACAGTTTGTCCCCAGTCAGACAAGAGCATTTACTGGAGCTGTTGACCAAGCCAACAGTTACCTGGCTTGTCTGGTATTTATCCTCAGCTTCTTGTGATAGAATACCTTCTTTCTTTCCCTCCCTCCCTCCCTCCCTCCCTCCCTCTCTTCCTTCCTTCCTTCCTTCCTTCCTTCCTTCCTTCCTTCCTTCCTTCCTTCCTTCTCCCCTGCCCTTACCTCTCTCACTCTCTACTTCTTTGTGTACACTTGAACTCAAAGCCTGGGTGCTTTCCTTTAGCTATTTCACTCAAGACTGGTACTCTATCATTTGAGCCATACCTCCACTTCTGACTTTTTTGGTGGTTAATCAGAAAGAAGAGTCTGATGGACCTTTGTGCCAGGACCAAATTTGAATCAAGAGCCTCAGATCTCAGCCTCCTGAGTAGCTAGGATCGCAGGTGTGAGCCACTGGCAAACCTACACATTTTAAGCCTGAGCTCTGATGCCATTGTTCTCTGAATGTAGGGTGAACATATGTGGCTGCTAGCCCACCCACTAACCCAAGCCACTGGCCACTCCCCTCACCTCTTGGGCAGAAGACTGGCCCCTGTGCTTGGGCCACAGCTTTCTCTTCCCAGCAGTGGGTGGCTGAGTGGGGGGAGGGGGCCGCAGGGGCTGCAGAGACAGAGGTTCTGGAGCATCCTTTCCTGAGAACTCCTCTTCCCACCACCCACACATCCTCCTCCAGAGCGAGCCCCTGGCCTGTGGCCCTTGGGGACCTCTGGGACACACTCTAGTTTCTTGGGAAATGAAGGAACTCATCCAAGCCCAGGGCTGTGAATCAAGCCCTGGCGACACTCCATAATTGAACTATGGCTCATCTTGGCTCAAACTGTGAATCCCCTGCATTGAGGAAAATATGACAGATTTGGGAATACCTGTTCATCTCTTGTCTACTCTAAGGATCCAAGTACAGAACAAAAAAAAAAAATCTTTTAATATTTACACACAGGTTTTTACAAATACCCTCTCAGGTGCTGGGGTTTACAGTCCAAACTACACTGCCAAGACACTCCATGCCAAAGTGCTAATAGAAAGAGCCCTCAAGTGGCCCTTAATTATTTAAAAGGAAACGACAGGGGACAGTTAAGAGATGGCTCATGCCACTACTACGCATGCCCCTGCTGGCAACAGACAGTCTCTATGAGGAAAATCACCAGCTCTCCTGTGGATTTTTTTTTTAATTCAAATAAGCATAAAAAGGCCTTTTCTGTGTCCTCCTTTGCCCTTTAAGGAAAAGAAAAGAACAAAAAATTCCCGAAAGGACTTCTGTTCGCTTTTACTACTGAAGGAGAGGCAGTAAATTAAAGGGCGTAGAGTTGTGTCAGGGTTGAACGTTCTGGCCTAAGCAAATGGCTTTTGGACTGCTGAGCTGCAACCTCGGGAACTGACGTCCTAAGCTATTAATATTTCAGTGTGGCTCTGGCCTCGGGTGTAAATGTAAATAGAATTCCTGATGGCCGAGTCCTCTGGCGCTCCCGAACTTGGACCTCTAAAGGAGAGCACTTGCTGCCTCTTTGGCAGCTTTCTCTTGGCCCCCCACCACTCCTTTTTCCTCCCTGCCCCCCACATGAGGATGCAGCCATGGGCATAGGCCATGGGGTTCTAGGGGACTCCATGCTCTGTAAGCTGATACTTGCCATTGTAGGCCAACAATGGTGGGGGACAAGGAACATAACTCCCAGCCACCAGACAATCCTTTAGAGTGACAGCGACAGACTGGAAGGATGTGTTTTTCTATTGGGTAGCAGAGTCCCAAGCCAGGTTCTGCCATCCCATCCTTCATATGGGTCCCCCCCCCCCCCCACCCCGCAGGAGATCTCATCATGTGTGTTTAGTATGGGGACAGGACAGGCCAGCTAAAGTGGTTCTGAGTCTTTGAGATAGCTCTGGAAAGATCCACCTGTCTGTATGCATTGCAATATGCCAGACACACAGAAGCAGGTTTAGATGGGCAGACATTTCTCCCCTCTGTTTGAACTTAGATCACAGTGTCCTCAGGACTATTAATACACAGCACTGGGCCCAGGCTAGGGCCATTTGGCTGTCAGCATCCAATGATGACATGAGGTATGCTATAGAGATTAGCGGGGGGGGGGGGGGGAGGGGGAAGGGAAAATGTCATGCGGATGTAGTCTGTATATGGAGTTTCTAGTTCTTTTTCAGTGGAAGAAAACTTTGTGTGGTAGGAGAGAGCCCCGTTTACTGGGTCAGAACGGCAGCAACTGAGATTAGTAAGAGCGCAAGTGGTCTAAGTGAATCTGCACACTGAGGCAGATGCCAGAAGTTTCACAAGAAGGTTTGCACAAGGGTGGTATTGAGCTGTGGAGCTGGGGGCTGCTGGAATGCGGCTGCCGCTGTCAAAAGTTCATGTCATGATTAAAAACCTATATTTATAAACCAATGGCTCACATCTGTAATCCTAGCTACTCAGGAAGCTGAGATATGATGATTGTGGTTCAAAGCCAACCCAGGAAGGAAAGTCTCTAAGACTTTTATCTCCAATTAACCACCAAAAAAAAAAAATCCAAAAAAAACCAAAAAACAGACATGTAATGATGCCCAAGTCCTAAGTTCAAGCCCCAGTTCTGGCACAAAAATAAATAAATAATACATAAAATAAAATAACAATTGCTTTCATGAGAAAGTTAAAAGAAAGAACAAAAGGCACAGGAAAAGGCTGTCAGCAGCAAAGACTCAGCCTCAGGACTTAGGGCCTAACTTCTCAGCTCACTCATCCACACAATGAGACAGACTAGATTTTCTTCAGAATCAGTTCCACTGCAATAACTTTTACAGTTTTGGGGGAGGGGGAAGGATTAATATGTGTACATTTGAAGTGTGGGAGAAACCCCAAATAACATTTCATGAGAGATAAAACTATAGCTAGGTGCCAGTAGCTCTCAGCAACTCAAGAGTCTGAGACCTGGAGGATCATGACTTGAGGCTACTTTTCTGTATTTTTTTTTAACTTAACAGTACTTGGAAGTTTGAACTTTAGGGCCTTGCACTTATTAGGCTGGCATTCTACCACTTCAGCCATTACCCCTGCCCTCAAAAACAATTTTTAATAAGTAACCAAAATAATTTGATGCAAAGAAATTCCAAATGAAGAATGTCAACCTCAGTTCTCTCCATAACACGCACTGAGGATAAAGACCAGACCCTAAGCTCCAGAAGCTCAAAATGTACTGAAGGCAGAGGGCCCAGAGGGTGTCAGAGGAAGGGAAGGGGAGGGGTATGGATGAGAAGCCAGAAGAGGCTGGATCCATAAGGGAGCAGAGTACAGCGCTTTAGGCAGAGAACTAATATGGCATAGGCTCAGAGGTAAGAGAGGGAAAACCTTCAAGGCACAGAAGCTTCCTCTTCAGAAACTCAGCAGTACAATATACGTGGAGTGTGGCAAAGCCTTGGCTTCTATCCTTAGCACTAAAGAAACTTTTAAAAAGCAACAACAAATGTAAAAGAGATGAAGACAAGAAGGAACAAGATATTAAAGCTCTTTCCAACCCACGGAAGGAACTGATCATCAGATTTTAAGTACATAGAGACACAAACCTGAAGCTGCACGCAGGCTTACTAAAACTTTCTCTGCATCAAGGGCTGCTCAGTGGTAAAGCACCAAACCTTTCTCCATTACAATTCATGGGACTCACTCGATGACCTTTCTAAGTGAGTTCTGAACTAGCTGGCAGACCGCACCTTGGTGCCCAGGACTGGCAGCAAAATGCCTATTGACCTTTCTCTGTACCGTGTGATGAGGTGAAATCACAGAACACACATCTCTCCATCAACTTCATGAACTTCGAGAATTTCAGTGGGGCCAGGAGCCAGTGGCTCATGCCTATGATCCTAGCTACTGAGGAGGCTGAGATCTGAGGATCACAGTTCTAAGCCAGCCAGGGCAGGAAAATCTGTGAGACTCTTATCTCCAATTAACCACCAAAAAAACAGGAAGTGGCACTGTGGCTCAAAGTGCTAGAGTGCTAGCCTTAGGCAAATAAAGCTCAAGGACAAGGGGCTGGGAAGGTGGCTCAGTGGTAGAGCGCATGCCTTGCATACCTGAGGCCCTGGGTTTGATTCCTCAGCACCACATAAGCAAAAAGAAAAAAGCCGGAAGTGGCACTGTGGCTCAAGTGGTAGAGTACTATCATTGAGCTGAAGAGCTGAGGGACAGCTCCCAGGCCCAGAGTTCAGGCCCCATGACTGGACCTAAAAACAAAAAAAAAAAAGGACAGCACCCAGGCCTTGAGTTCTTGAGTTCAAACCCCATGACTGACAAAAAAAAAAAAAAAAAAAATACATTACCTATGTAACTGTAACCCTCTGTATATCACCTTGACAGTAAAATTAAATTTAAAAAATAAAAGTATTTCAGTAGGTTCAAAACACTGGAGAGAATCTTCCCTCTATCCTGACTTCCAACCTCTCATCTCACCTCTTGGTTACAAGGTGAGGTCTGCATGCAGACAACCAAATGAAAAACTCAAAAAGAAAACAGTTGTAGGCTTGGTAGACTGGCTCACTCCTATAATCTCAGCTACTTGGTAGGTAAAGGTAGTAAGATTGAGGTTCAAGGCTAGCCTGGCCAAAAGTTACTAATATCTTATCTCAAATAATAAGTTTGTTGCAATTAGATAGGTCTGTAGTCCCAGCTCATCAGGGGGCAGAGGTAAGAAGATCATAGTTGGAGGCTGATCCAGACAAAAGTGAAGATCCTACCTGAAAAATTAACCAAAGCAGAAAAGGGCTGAAAGTATGGCTTAAATGACAGGGTATTTGACTAGCTAAGCAAAGACTTGGGTTCAGCTTATCCTTTTCAGAAAGTGAGGGGAGTGTTGGATGGATGAGGACATGCTAAATGGATCAGGTGGACTTCCAACTAAAGCCAGAAGAGTGCAAGGGGCGGCTGATCTCCGTAGCTATGGATGGGGGAAGGAGGACTTTTGATCATTCTAGAATTATAGTTCCAAGGCAAGGTTGGTTTAACATCATTATCAACTACGCAGAAATGGAGGAGGAACTGGAAGTAGTCACACTTCGCAGATGGGTCTAAGCTCTCAACCAACCGTGTTCTCAGGGCAAAACCAAGTGGCTCGACATCCTCAATGTGCCTCACCTTGCCTACAATCAGAATTGGACCAAGAGCCAAAGCTCCCACTGTCCAGTTTCATCCAGCCTTTAGCTGGATTGAGTGTCTAGGAAGGGAAAAACTCCACATCCTATTCATCCTTATGTGCTTACCCTTCCTTCCTTCCCCCTTATCCACTCCCTTCTTTGCACATTGTAGATGCTCATCAGTTTGTTTAGCAACTAAATCTTTGATTTTATTTCTGCCAGTACTAGGGCTTGAACTCAGAGCCTGGGCACTGTCCTGTAGCTCTCTGGCTCACAACTAGTACTCTACTCCTTGAGCCACATCTCCTTCTCCAGCTTCTAGTGGTTATTGGAACTAAGAGTCTTACAGACTCTCCTACCCTGACTGGTTTCAAATCTCAATATTCAGATCTCAGCTTCCCAAGTAGCTGGGATTATCAATCAGCTTGAGCCACCAGGGCCCGGCTCCAGCAGTAAATCTGATGTTCACTGAGGACTGGGATTGGAAGTCACGTGAGAAAAAGCCATGAGATGATCTTCTTGTATATGCCTAAAGGAAGAGCGGTGGGGAAAGCCAGTCCTGGCCATAGTAGCAAGGTTGCCTGAGGTGAGCAACAATGAAAGAGCTTCATGTTTAATCCAAATTTTTCTCAGACCTGCTTTGAGAATAGAACTGAACATTGTGAACTGTCAGCAGCCAAAGGCAGACAGAAAAGAATGCTTTGATGTGCCACATCCTAAATTCCTTCTCCTGCTATGAACTCACAGAGGTTGACAAGTACTCTTCCTACTTTGAGGATTTCCAGGGACTGCTCAGGTTACAGGGAGGTAATTTCATCCAACCTAGGGTGTCTCATTCTTCACAAAGAATAAGAGATCGCTAAGAATAGAGAGACTGAGGATTGGTGAGATCCCTTTGAGGGTGGGTGCCTGTGGTTCACACTTATAATCCTAGTTATTCAGAGGCTGAGATCTGAGGATTGTGGTTCAAAACCAGCGCAGGCAGGAAACTCTGAAAAAGCTAACAGACAGTGTCCAGACTCTGGGTTCAGTACTAGCACAAAGTGTGTATGTGGAGGGGGGAGGGGAATGGCCTTTTGAACTAACTGATGTCAAGTCTTGCCCTGAGATGTTATACTTCTCCAAAGTAGCAATTCCTGAAGCATCTTTGTTTGTTGATACCAAAATATTAAAGAACATTGTTTTCTAGTATCATTTTACCCATGATTATTTATTTACTGCTCACCATTATTCTTCTTTGTTCAAGCTGAGGATAACTTCCCATCCTTTGCAATGCTTGTATATCTTTCAGCAGCCTTAATGTGTGCCATAAAGAATTGAGCAACCGCTGGGCACTCATGCTGGTGGCGCACGCCTATAATCCTACCTACTCAGGAGACTAGCAATTTGAGGATCATGGCTCAAAGCCAGCCCAATGAGACAAATCCTTGACATTTTTATCTCCAGTTAACCAGCAAAATGCCAGACGTAGCAGCGTGGCTTAAGTGGTAGAGCACAAAAGCCAAGGGAGAACAAGAAAGCTCAATCCCCAGGACTGGCACAAACAAAACAGAGTAACAGAGTGTTTTCCCTCTTCACCTTACCAGTCATCAGATGCAGATGGATCCAGTGCCTGACCAGAGAGCTCTCAGTGAACTATACCGATGCCCCACTCTCTCCGTCTCGAGGCTCTTCCTTCTATGTTATTGACTGGCACTGTGTCCAATCATCTCAACTGCTTCAAAGCCATACTCTACATACCAGAGCTAAAGCAGATACACGGGGTGGGGGTGGGGGAGTAATGGGGGGGAGCAAGTCTGTCTATCCAGAGTTAGTCTTACCTGCATATAAGTCTATTCTTCACTAAGGCTGTGAAAATCTCCTGAAATAACTGATGCTGAGGGTGTTTGCTGAAGTTTCTCTCCGTCTTGTAGTTTATACTAAGATCAAACAAACACAAGAGAATGTTATAAGAAACATTCTTTGGGCAATCTCAAAGTTACTAAGGCAGACAGTGGCCATCAATGTTCAGGCAAATCCTCAGAGTCGTGCAGGAACATGAAAGACAAATACCAACTGTTAAAATAGGAGCTAGGGAGCCAGGTGCCAGTGGCTCATGCCTGTAATCCTAGTTCCTCAGAAGGCTGAGATCTGAGATCACTGCTGAAAGGCAGCCCAGGAAGGAAAGTCTATGAGACTCTTATCTCCAATTAACCACACACACACACACACACACACACACACACACACACAAATTCAACTGTAATTTTAATAATAAAAATTACAATCAAGAATATGTATTTCATCTTACCATATTAACATTTTTATATAAACACAGTTAAAACTGGTTGGAGGAGCTGGGCGCTAATGGCTCATGTCTGTAAGACTAACTACTTAAGAGGCTAACATCTAAGGATCATGATTCAAAAAGCAGCCTGAAGAAAAGCCCATGAGACTTCTATCTCTAATTAGCCAGCAAAAATCCAGAAGTTGAGCTGTGACTCAAGTAAAAGAGCACCAATTTAGTGTAGAAAAAGCTAAGGGACAGGATCCAGGCCCCAAGTTTAAGCTCTAGTACTGGCACATACACACACACACTGGTTGGAGGGATTAAAATGTTATATGGAGAGAAACTGTCTGCATCACTGCACAACAGACAGAAAAATGCTTCCCTTCTGTCCTGTTCACCGGCTGCTCTATCTATCAATACCGGAGGTGCCACATGCATTTCTTTACAGACTCTAAATATTTGTTAGCAGTTTATACCTTCTCAGCTCTCTTGATGGATGGTTGCTGGTTGTTTGTCTGGGGTGGGGGGGGTTGTGTGTATGTGTGCATTTAATAAAATTTCAAAACATTCCAATTTCAGCTTCTTTTGGCTGACATTACAACACATCAAAGAAGTCCAAAATATGCCCAAAATATCCTACTTTAAACCTGGGAGAGGAGAGAAGATTCTGTACAAGAGTCACAGTGCTATAAAATCTATAATACAATATTCTGATGCATATTAGAACACACTAATTTTAAGATCTAGGCCCAATAAACTGGAATTTTTCTTAAAAAAGCAAGCTCTGTAACCTTGTGATGTCTGTCAATCATTCTGCCTTTGTCATCTTTCAGATGCAATTACATTGCCTCTTCCTACCCAGAGAAAAATGGGTTACCATGGTTTCTTCATACATGGATACTAGTAAACTAAATATGTAACAAAAAATAGCGTGTCTCATTAAAAGTGTATTTTAAAAATATAGCCCCTTTAGTACAGTGCTGAAGCCTGTAATACTACTCTGAAGGCTGAAATCAGGAGGATCATGGTTTGAAGTCAGCCCAGGCAGAAAAGTCTACAAAAATCCACCTTCAAACTAACCAGCTGAAAGCTGGTCTGGAAGCATGGCTCAAGTGGTAGAGCATCAGCCTACCAAGTAAGCCAAGCAAGTGCAAGGTCCTGAGTTCAAACCACAGTAGTGAAAAAGACATGCATACATACATACATACATATGTATTACATACTACATCTATAAAAATATATACATACATACACATATAAACTAAATACACACACAAATGCATACACACATATATGAGTTCAAGAAGTGATGTCTGTCATAAAATGACACAGCCATATAATGACAGGGAAATAAGGTAATTCGGTCAAATAAATAAGTGTTCATTCTAAACTATTCATGTTGATATTCCATGCATTCATTAGTGACATGAGCACACTGGAAAGCTAACAAAACCAGCTCCAGGAGGGGCTGAGGCCCATCGTAGGAGCCTGAAGGAAGTTGTCTGGCTCTAAGTCCTGAGGTCCTTCAGTTGCCTTCCTGTGGCATTTTTTTCTTTTGTTGTTTGCTTTGTTTGGAGTATTCCCCCCCCTTCAATGGAATACTCTTTCATGTATTTGGTCAGTTTGATATTTGTATCTATATTTTTAATTCATCCTTCAACATGATTGATTCCTAAGTGGTTCTGGAATATACAGAATCTGATCATGTTTCCAAAAGTGAAACATGACATTAAAACATGTGACTGCAAAACAATGTACAGTGATGATCATACACGTCTACATGGTGCATGGACATGAGAATCTCATGCCTTGCCTACCACACCCTCCAGCCATGATCTCTATTCATAGAAACATTCTTTCACATCTTCTCATGACTGGAAAGATGGGGGCAGACCAAAAGCTAAGGCAGAGATTAGAATCAATAACCCAGAAACACTCCCTCAATTGCAGGGTCAACTGCAGGGCCCTGAATTCCCAGCTCAGTTCCAACTGTGATGACCGCGCCTGCTAGTGAGCCACTACATCCAATAAGCTGAGAATCTCAGTGGAACTTTTTAAAACAGGTTTTCAATTTTAGTTCTTATGACCAGCTTGAAATAAATGGAGTAGAATTGCTTGCCGAAGACAAGGGAGATTGCTTACCTAAAATTTTCAAGTTCAACAGCTTCTGTGGACTCATGCCATTGACCTCGAACTCGGGGCCCCCCTGCCTTGATGGCAGCCTCCGACTTCACCATGCTATTTGGGACACTGTCAAAGTTAATGGCTGGAAGCTACCAAAATAGAAGCACAGAGTACATGCAATCACCATTCCAATAGTCAAGTTATCCACATTCATGGAGACTCCTTGGGGACTACAGACGTGGCAGCTACAGCTGCAGAGGCCAAGAACTTACTAAAAGGAAACTTGAGCCAGGCATTGGTGGCTCTTGCCTGTCATCCTAGCTACTCAGGAGGCTGAGATATGAAGACGCAGTTCAAAGCCAGCCTAGGCAGAAACATCCACAAGATTCTTATCTCTAACTAATCATGAAATTAAAAATGCCAAGAAGTGGCGCTGTGGCTCAAGTGGCAGGATATTAGTTTTAAGCAAAGAAACTCAGGGACAGCGTTCAGGCCCTGAGTTCAAGCCCCAGTACCGGCACAATTATGTCATTCAGACACCAGTGTCTTCCACCTCTGCCAATAGAAACATCTCATCAACATTTTGTTCAATGTTTGTTAGCCACTTCCTTCAGATTTTTGATCAGTCATCTCAGTCCACCTGGAATGCCTTTCCCATCAATATCACTGATGGAAAAGCAGCCCAGTGCTCAGGAACTGTGTCTTTCCTTGCCACTCAAGCTCCAGGGGTGTCTCTGCCCCCTCTCACAATGCATCCTGGCATCGGAGGGCACCGCCAGCCCCATGCTGTCACTATGGTGCTATTAAACCTCTCTAGCATCAAGGCAATTGAGGAGCGAATAATATTTTTTTCTTTTATCTGTCTTTTTTTTTTTTTTTGGTCCAGTCTTGGGGCCTGAACTCTGGGCCTGGGCGCTGTCCCTCAGCTCTTCAGCTCAAGACTAGCGCTCTACCACTTGAGCCACAGCGCCACTTCCAGCTTTTTTCTTTTTGCTTATGTGGTGCTGAGGAATCAAACCCAGGGCCTCTGGCATGCAAGGCAAGCGCTCTACCACTGAGCCACCTTCCCAGCCCCTTATCTGTCTTTTTTTTATTAATTGCAAATTAAAATACTTAACTTGTGTCAGATTTCTAATGCAATTTTACATTCTACTCTAGGTAGATTTATTTAAGATTTGGGGAAAGCTCAGAAGAACTTCCCACTTTGCTTCAACAACAGCTTAAAGGCCGTGGTTTTACAGAGTCATGATGATTAGTACGTTGAAGGGAGGAGGAGAAGGAACATGTGGTCAACACCGGGAAAATGAATCTCTTAAATCCTCTAGAGAGGCAAGTTTGCCACTCAGTCAGAGCTGGCTGATAGAAAGTAAAAGGCTTTGCTGCTAAAGCCACTCAGTACTTGGTGGAAAGCATAGGCTGACACAGGATGCATGAATGAGAGCGCAAGGCTGGAAAAGCTGTGGATGACAGGTCTTGGGAGAGCCTGGACCGGGTAGGGGAAAAACAGCCACATGAAGGAAAAGAAACAGGTGAAAAACAAAGACACTGAACCTACTGTGTTCACAAAGCTGTTAGAATGGCTCCTTTCGGAAACATGCCATTGCTCTTTTGCAAATACATGCCCAGTCTTTGAAAACACTACCTGCTGTTTGCTTGACTGGACGTTCAAAAGGCACCGGAGTCTTTTAAGATCTGAGTAGTCCCTAGGAGACAGAATGGCATGATGTCAGGCAACACAAGCTATAGGTAAACAAGATCATGTTACCCATTACAGCCAGCCATTTATTTGCAGGCCCGCCAGAAACACATGCATACAGCTGACCATTTCCTCTAGACCTGTAGAGACGATCAAATGTTTCCGTCAACACTGTAACCCAGAGAAGCCATTGTCAGGAGTCTACTCTTATTTCTCCTGAAGCCACTGAATCTGTTCTAGTCACTTACTTTCCGAGTGGTGGGATGGGGGTGGGGAGGGCTGTTACCTGGGGGTGCTTCCTGGCTGCTTCCGGTCCGTTGATTTGTCAGTGGTCTTCACCTTTTTGTCTTGATCAGGCATTGTAAGTCATCAACACCCCAGAATTCACATCGCATTCCTTGCAGAGTGAGACCCAGGGAGGAACTTTAGTTGGGTTGTGTGAGCCAAAATAGTCTCAACTAATACAGACAAAATTAGCTATTTCTACATGCAGATATACCAGACTAATTTTTGATACAAGTTTAGTATTTATCTTCCAAGAACTTAGCGTGTGCTTTAGGCATGGTTGATAGTGGTCTACAAGGCTATAAAATTTGCAGCCTTGTCTTTGACTTCCAGAATTCTGGCCTTATAAGTATTGCTCTGCATACCAGCAAAAATTCCCCAAATACGTGTCTACTAACAAATGCTTAAAACTCGATTGACATTAATTGTACGCTATCTCATTTGTGTTTCTCAATGAGTATTCTTAAGTATAAAACTTCCGGTTCAGACAGAGGGATCCTCTCTTATATGGATCAGAGAAATCCCTGACACTCACAACTAAGCACCTAGTGTCCAGAGGGCATATAAAAGGGTGCTGTGTTCCCACAATGCCTCAAGCATACAAGCTCTTACTTGAACCCCTACTATGGGTAAGTGCCAAACAAAAGCTTCTCTGGAAGTCTGAGTCAGTTGTGCACAGCCTCTGTGTTCATCCAAGTAACTAGCAGGAAGCTGTCCAACCTGAAAAAATCTAGCATAAGGCAACCCTCTAAGGTAGAACCTCTAACAGAGCCAGGGTCAACTTTGCTAGTTATTTTTTTTCAATACTGGTATTTGAACTCAGGACCTTGAACTTGCTTAGGCTGGTGCTCTAGCTCTTGAGCCACATCTCCAGCTCTACCCCTGCTTTTTGCTAGTTAGCTGGAGATGAGTCTAACAAACTTTCCTTCCTGGCTAGCTCCAACGGCAATCCTTCAGATCGCAGTCTCCCAAGTAGCAAGTATGCCAGGAGTGAACTACTATGGATGCCCGACTGCTACTATTAATTTCGATATTTCCCATATCCACACAAAGGATGAATTCACTAATGGAGAACAATCTGTTTGCATTTTTCCAATTTCAAGAATCAGTTGTTTCTTATTCCAGAAGAGAGAAAGATGAAGATAATACACTTCCATGAATTTGTTACACTTTCCATCACTGTGAGCAAATACCCAATTTAAACAACTTAAAAGAGAAAAGGTTGGTTTGGTTTCAGAAGTTTTCAGCCAACAATCCTTGACTTCATGGTTTCTGGGTCTAAAGGGAGCCCATACACATGGTGGTAGGAGAATGTACAGTGGTTCTCTGACTCATGGTACACAGGAAACAAGAAGAAAGAAGGCACCAAGGACTAAGTGTGACATTCAAAGACTCACCCCCACCAAAGACCTACTTCCTCCCACTAGGCCACACCTCCTACACTTTCCACTACCAGCTAGGAACCAAACATCCAATCCATGAGTTTGTAGAGTTTGATTTGATATAAAAAAAAAATCACAGCCGGGCACCAGTGGCTCACACCTGTAATCCTAGCTACTCAGGAGGCAAAGATCTGAGGATCACGGTTCAAAGCCAGCTCAAGCAGAAAAGTCCATGAGACTCTTATCGCCAATTAACCACCAGAAAACTGGAAGTGGTGCTGTAGCTCAAGTGGCAGAGCACTAACCTTGAGCTGAAGAACTGAGGGACAGCGCCCAGGCCCAGAGCTCAAACTCCATAACCAACAAAAAAACAAAAACAAAAACCAAACAGTTGTTTCAACGGCACAGTTTGACTTGACTATGTGGTAGGCATGATTTTAAAAAATGCTTTATTAGCTTACAATTGTACAGCCTTTTTTTTTTTTTTTACATAAAGAAGTGAGGTAGATGGACCCAGTACTGTATCTCAGATGGGATGGAAAAGACTTAGTGGGGTTTGGCATTCCCAGATGTAGTCAAGCATAAACACACATAATCACAGTCCTGACTCATTGTTGACATTTCTAATCCATTTCTGAAAAGAAACTCTCCAAAGGAATTCTGATCTTCTATTGCGGTTAAAATTTTAGATTGATGCTAAAGAAGTCTCCAGAGACACCTACCTCATTTGCTCCTTGATCTCTTGTTAATTGCAAGGTAAACATGTGTCACAGAGTAAAGGATCCAGGCTGTGGTAAAATTACCTAATTGACTGTAATTAACCTAAACTGTGCAAGGTAAATCCACTAACTAAATAACAGGGAGGATTTGTAATCTGCTTTTCAGATCCTTCACTAGGAAGTCCTCTTCCCACCTTCATGTTTCCCCCTAAAAGTCAAAAGATCCTTAAGTGGTCTCACATTTCATAAACATAAAGCAGAAAACCATTGGACTCATTATAGAAAATAACTTCAAATCCCACAAATATTTTTTCTTTTTACCAACACTTAGGCTACATCTTTATAAATATTCCATTGTATTTTCTTCATTTACTAATGGTTAGAAAACAGCACTTACAACAGGAAGAAAGTTTAGTATGCCTGAAGTTAATCATTAGTTTATATCGGGCGTATTTTAATTTTTGCACCAGCTTTTTGGTGGCTAATTGGAGATGAGAGACTCACAAAATTTTCTGCCCAGGCTGGCTTCGAAGCACAATTCTCCTATCTCAGCCTCCTGGGTAGCTAGGATTATAGGCATGAGCCACCAGCACCTGGCTTGTATTCCTGTTTTAAATTAGACATCCTGCACTGAAAGTATCCAGTTAAGCCAGTCACTGGTGGCTCATGCCTAGACTCCTAGCTACTCAGGAGGGTGAGGATTGTGAAGAACTGTGGTTCAAGGCCAGCCTGGGCAGAAAACCAGACTCTTAATTCCAAAATAAGCAGCAAAAAGGAGCATTGGAGGTATGGCTTAAAGAGCACCAACTCCGGAGTCCAAACCCAAGTGCTTCCAGAAAAAAAAGGAAAGGAAAGAAGGAAGGAAGGAAGGAAGGAAGAAAGGGAGGGAGGGCGGGAGGGAGGGAAGGAGGAAGGGAGGATGGGAGGGAATCAACTTGTTCGAAAATAAGACATAAACACACATTGTCAAAGTGAGGGAAATATTCAAGGAAAAAAACATGTTAGACAATCCACTACAGCTAAAAAAAAAAAGTGAGCATGGTTCTCTAGTCTAAGTTAGAGTTCATATGATGTCATATCATATACTACTAATCGGTTTGGATTGTTTGATTTTTGTACCAGTACTGAGGTTTGAATTCCAGGCCTTTCGCTCAGGCTTGGCCTTTGGGGGTCATGGCTGGTGCCATGAGCTACCACCTAAGCCACACCTACGCTTCTGGCTTTTTGCTAATTAATTGGAGATAAGATAGGCTCAGATTGGTCTGCCTTGGCTGGCTCAGCACCATGATTCTCTGAGCTCAGTCTCCTGAGTAGTCAGAGGTATAGGAGCTGTTGTTTGTCTATGGGACATGTGTGGAGTTAGTAGAACAGAGAAGCTTTTGAAGAAAGACACTTGGAACCTGCGAAGCTGGGAGCTATCACCTAGGTTAGGAACAGAATGGGGATGAGAAGGAGCAGGTGGAGAACTGCTGGCCGGCTGCTGAGAAGAAAGGCACAGTCTCCCCCAAAGAAACTGGAAAGTATAGAAAAGCTGAAGCAAAGCAAGACAAAATACAGGATGACAAAACACCTTTCCAGGTCATCAGATGCAGACTGTGACTCCGCTGCCTGCATTTTCCAGATGAGGCCCCAAGGCGTGAACTGTGTCCAAAGCCAGGAAGGACTAGAACCCAGTTCACCTTCAGGGTGGAAAAGACCAGATTAATGGGAAATGCTGACTTTGGCCCTGAGTCAAAGGCAAACAGTGACAGAATGGCTGGTGTGTGTACTTCAGCTCCTAAATGCTGGGGTGCTTTTAAATACCTCGAATACCAGAATGAGCTCAAGCAAAAGTTTGGTAAGACCTCCATCTCAACAAACAAGCTAGTCATACAAGTGAGTGAGTGCCAGGATTCTCAGCTACAAGGAAAGCATAGGTAGCAGGACTGCTATCCAAGAATGGCCCTGTACAAAAGATATGAGGCCTTGCTGAAAAACAGCTAAAGCAAAAAATGAGAGGTAGGAGCCTGGTTCAAGTGGCAGAGAGCATCTGTCTAGCAAGTGTGAGGCATGAGCTTCAACTCCAATATCACACACACACACACACACCCCTCGAGCAAATGATAACTTTTGCTGTGGGAACTAGTATCCAATGATTATAGAACACTGGTTTGAAACAAACAAACAAAAAAATCCCCCTGAGAAACGTGGTGCCACTGGCTCATGCCTGTAATCCTAGCTACTTAGGAAGCTGAGATCTGAGGGTTTGGGTTAGAAGCCCAGCATGGGCAGGAAAGTATAGGAGACTCTTAACTCCAAATAACAAGCAAAAAAAAAAGATAAAAGTAGAGCTATAGCTCAAATAGTAGAGCACTAGCCTTGAGTGCAAAAAGCCAAGGGACAGCATCTAGGCTCTGAATTCAAGGCCCAGCACTGGTATACATTTTTTAAAACTCTCCTTATTAGGAAGCTGTAGATAATATATCACATTTGCATTAAATATGGGAATGAAGAGACTCACGTGCGGTCAAGAGCTGCATGCTCACAGGAGCTGGATGAATACCTTAGCCTCCATCCCTGTGTGTTCGGGACTTTGGGAAATGCACGTTTGCCGGCCTAGGCCACTGGCTGTGGTCGGGAGAGGTGCCTCTAGGGAAGACCTTCTTTCTACTTGCTCCCAGAGTGACACTAGACTGGCTGGGAGTGACAGTGGAGGTGGTGATAGGAGTGAAGAGACCGAGGCAGTCCATGTTCAACACGAATGTGAAGTGCTGTTTGTGACTTGCTTGAATCCATCAAATTCGGTCAAGCTAACATTCTGGCAATGGGAGTGGCATTGGAAGGTACTAGGATAAGCCCTGGGCCGGGGAACAGCTATGATCAGGTGCAGCCGGGGGGGGGGGGGGGGGGGGGCGGGGGGGGACTACAACAGGGATCCAGATCCCAGGAAAGCTTGTAGAGGTCACCTGCAGCGTTACTGTAACGCCTTTGCTTCCGTGTGAAGACCTTGCACTTCATCAGCCACTCACTTACCCTCATGGATGAAAAATACTAGACGGCAAGTTGAAAAGAAGTTCGATTTCAGTGTCACAAAGCCTTTATTTAAATGTTTAACCCTAATATAGCTCTCCCCCGCCCCCAGCATTCTGAAATATTCATTTATCCTACAAACAAATCCTTTGAGCCAGGTAGTGTGAGAGAGAAAAAAATAGTGTTTTCTGTCCAACTAAAAGTGCTTCTGTCTCATAGGTTGATATTTTTTGGGATTGATATTTCCTGAAATTATTTGCTTTGTGACTATTATCAGCGCTGTTTGTGACCAGCAGCCATGTAAATCTTGTGTCAAAGGAGTTAAAAGAATAAATTGTGAATACCAGGTGTGCTGCTTGTGACTAGCTAGCCACATTAGCGAGATAAATCTTATCAAAGGCGTTAAAAGAATAAAATTGCAACTACCAAGTGGGCTGCTTATTAGAAAGGATTTTTTTTTTTTGGCCAGTCATGGAGCTTGAACAGGAGTCCTGGGAACTGTCCCTGAGCTTGTTTTTACTCAAAGCTAGTGCTCTACCACTTGAGTACCACTTCCAGCTTTTGATGAGTAGTCTATTGGAGATAAGAGTCTCTTGGACTTTTCTGCCTGGGCTGGTTTCAAACTATCATCCTCAGAGGCTGTGAGCCTCCTGAGTAGCTAGGATTACAGATGTGAGCCATCAGTGCCCGGCTAGAAAGAGAAATCTTTATCAATGAAGTTAAAAGAAATGAGACCCCCTTTTGAGTGGGAACTTTCCACTGACCTCATCAACCTCCTGTGCCTACCAGCCACCTGCTTCGCAGCCCCATACCCAGGCAGGTGGATGGAAAACATTGTAAACCTTTAAAAAAGAAAAGAAAAGAATCGCCCCTTTCTAACCTTAGTAATCAATTATACTTAGAATGGGAGCCTAACTCCTTGACAAGGAGAAGAAACAGTTTGAACTGGACTAAAAACCCAGCAAACTGTCCCACCCGGCGTGCTTGCCCAGCTCTGGGAAGAGTAAAAGTGTTGCACCTTTTGTACACAAGTAAACTGCCTTGACGAAAGCTCCTGGATCCATTTCTGACACCGGAGAGCCACACAGTTCTAACAGTAGCATTGTATCCCTAACTTACAGGAGAAGAAACTGAGGCACTAAAAAAAAAATCTAAGGAACCTGGCCAAGATCTCATGTGTAGTAATAACCATACCAAAGCAAACATGTCCATGGTGTTTACTATGCCAACACAGTTCTAAGTGCCTTTCATATATTACCCAACATCATGGTAGTGGCTCTAAAAGGTAGCTCCTATTGGTTTTCCCATTTTTACAGATGAGGAAAATGTAGCACTGAGAAGTCATTTTTCTAAGTCACACAGCTTGGTAAGTGGCAAAGCAGGGATCTGAAACCAGGCAAAGGTTTCCCTCTTAATCTAATACTATGCCATCTCTTATTCTTTGGTGTCATTAATCCCATGTTCTGTTTGTACAAACGAACTTTACCCTCTTCTTAATAAACAAATACTGTATATACACCTTTTTTCCAGCTGTCTTTGGGAAAATGCACTCATTACATTTTCCTAATGGCACAGGGCTATAGCTACAGTTGCAGGGCTTTATAGGCTCTGCTTTTTATTTTAATGTTCGTGTTTCTAAAAGCACTACAATTTTTTCCTAGATATGATCCAGACAGGTATCATTCTGTCACTTTCATTCTGCTGCTTTAAAGCTAGAATACATGTTTATCATGAACACTAGCTGGCTGGTAACACATCTCTGCAGTAAAGCACTTGCCTGGCATACACAAAGCCCTGGTTCAACCCTCAGCACTGCAAAAATAATAAGCAAACAAATAAACAGAATACAAGATTTAATAAGCTCTCAAGTATTAGGATTACCCCATTATGACAATTCTAGATTCTAAATGAGATGAGGAGGAGTCTAATAGAAAACTCTTAATGTGCCAGATGCCAGTGACTCATGCCTATAATCCTGGCTATTCAGGAGGTTGAGATCTGAGGAAGGATAGCAGTTCAAAGCCCACCTGGACAGGAAAGTCTGTAAGGCTCTTACTAGTTGACTATCCCTGATTCATTTGATTTGACCTTTGGTTGGGTTTTATGGTGGTGGTTGATTTTTAAGCTCTGTAGCCCAAGCAGTCTTTGAACTGTCAACCCTTTGGCCTCAAGCCTCTTAAGTGCCGAGATTCCAGGTGTGGTCACCAGTAGCCCAACAGAATAATGACCTTGCTTATTCACTGTGGAATAGCTGGCTGTTCAGTAAAACACTTTGACTGGCAGAATGAACGTCTAAATCATCTAAGTCATAGCTCAGTGATAGAGTGCCTGACTAACCAGGCCCATAGTTTAAGAAAGAAAAGAATTTCTAACTCCTTTCTGTCTATCAAAGTGCACAACTCTCTCCATCTGACTTTAATTTCAAAGTCTGGCTGGCTCTGGACAAGCAGAGAATATTCCAGGCCCTTTTCCTTCCTATTTGCTCTACTGGCTGTCCCTTCTTTTTAATCACCCTCATCTGGCCGGAAGCCCTGGGCTGTGTATGGTCAATAAGTACACACAGAGTGAGTGAGCCTTTTCCCTGAGTTAGAGCAGAGGCAAATACAAAAGTTCATGCAGATGGCTCACACCTGTAATCCTAGCTACTCAGGATTCTGAGGTCTGAGAATCCTGGTTCAAAGCCAGCCCCCTAGCAGAAAAGCTTATGAGATTCTTATTTCCAAGTAACCACCAAAAAGCCAGAAGTGGTGAGTGGCTCAAGTTGTAAAGCACCAGCCTTGAGTGAAAAGGCCAATCCAGACAGCCAGAACACAAGGCCCTGAGTTGAAGCCCCAGTGTGTACACAAAAAAAGAAAGAAAAAAGAAAAGTTCATAACTAAGTAAAAGAATGACAAAATAATGTTCTGGAAATCACCCTTGACTGAATCAAAAGATACATTTTTATCTTTTTCCTTTTTGTGAACTAATCATGCAAATGTCATAGTTCCAACCTTCAACATACTTTGAGATTTAAATATATGAAAATTGAGTGTAGATAAAGTATTCACATGGCAGGGATTATGCATGCTTAGTATTTAAGACAATCCTCTGAAACGGGTGTTAAGTGTTAGCCATTGCTCAGCTTTCCCTCTAAAATGTTGATTAAAGGTTGGTAATTTATTAGAGTCCATCAAGCGGAAATGTTGGCACTAGGACTCAAACCCATGGATGTATAACTGCAAAGCTCCGCTCTTGCAAATGACATTGTACTCTCTCTCTCTTAAATCATTCTATATAACAAGTACCATGCTAATTACTATGGCATGAAACAGACTAAGTGAAATTAAAGCCCTTGAACTCAACATTGATCATCTGTAAGCAAAAACTTCATTGGCTAGAAGTCGTTTCTTTTGGAAACAAGATCACTGTGAAAAACAACTTCTCATCTTTGAGAGTCATTCACTTCACAGTATTCGTTGAGCCCGGTGTCATACCTGGCACTGCACTAAGCCCAATGAGTAGGAGAAACAAGGGTCTGAGGGAGGAAGCAGGAAGTGATCTGGGAACACTCAGACTGGAGACGAGTTGCAGGTGAGGCAGCAGCTCCAGACTGATGAAAACCCTTCCCAAAGAGGAGAATGGGGGGTCATTGTGGGGGCCATCAAGGGGAAATGTTGCTAGATGGCTGAGGAGTGGCCAGAGCCATGGTGAGATGTGCAGGGATTTTAGCAGGGAAGGGAAACGGCCGTAAATGTTTCATTAAAGATTAGTGTAACAATGGTGAGAAAAATGGATTCGAAAGGGCCCAGACGTAAAATCAGAGAAGAGGGGTGGGTGTTAAATGGAACCCAGGGACCAGAGGAACTTGAAGACAGAACTGTGGTTGAAGCGTGGGATCATTTAACATCTATTAAGTCGGGGCAGCCTTCATAAGGGCGATTCAGAGCAGAACAAGGGATGCTGAGAATGTGGTTTTGGCTGAATAGAGGGGTGGTGTCCAAGGAAGGGAGAGTCCAGGTCGGTAGCAGTCTAGTGGGTAGGGAGCCCATGTGTGGCTAAGTGGCGGGGGCGGGGGGGGGTGGTTAGTGCTTAGGGGAGCAGTCTAGATTGGAGGCGTGGGCTTTCTAGTGTGCCCGAAGGTATACAAGTAGAAGAGCTGACTCGGGTGGACTAGAAAATGCACAGGGCAAGTCCAAGGGGCTCCTGGCAAAGGGGGGGCGGGGGGGAGGAAGATGAAGGCGCCTCCAGAGGCATCAATGCAGATCGGAGGCGGCTCCATTGAACAGAATTCCTTCCTTTCCGAAATGGCAGGCCCGGGAACACACTGCGGATGGCCCCTTCCCACCACCCACCACTCAAAACCATGGGCCTTGAGGGGCCTGGCTCCCCGGGGTGCCCGCCTGCCCTGCCCCCGTCTCCATCCTGCCCTGGGCGTGGGAGGGCGGGAGGCCCGCTCCGGGCAGCACCCAGCACCGCCTACCCGACTCACTCACCACCGCGCTGGAGGGACGGTCCCTCAGTCCAGCCAGCAAGTCTTCCAGCTCATCCCCGGGGCCTGGGGCTCCCGCCCTACCCCAACTCACACAAGGTCTGCTCAACGGGCGGCCGGCTGCACCGGCACCGTTGATTTTCAATCAAACCCTCCTTCAGGCCACCAACCGGTGTTGCAACCCCACACTTGTTACTCGGCCTCAGCCAATCGGAAGCCGCTATGCTGCAGCGCTCAGCGCGCCCTAGCGACGTGTGACGCCCGCTGGAGTTGCTCTAGCAACAGAACGCACTGGTCTCACCCCAAGGCTGCAGCAGTCAGACTCCAGGTTTCCCTAGACAGCCTTCAAGGGCTACCTGTGAACCTACACGGTGTAGATTTGTCTGGACTTAATGAGGTGGCTGAAGAAGAGCAGTTTCATCTGGGGGTGTTTAAAAAATTGCGATGGGATAAAAAGCCAGTCCTTTCGGACTAAATTGGAAAAGAAACTACTGCAACAGTCTGTCTTTCAGATAGCACAAGACCATTTAAGCCCACTGTCCCAAGCAAGAGAGAAAAGGTGGCCTGGGACTGGAGAGCCAAGAGTGTTCGGCAAGATACTCCTATTTTGAGTCTGCAGAGAAACCTGCACAACTTTTTGAGTTGCATTAAAAAAAAAAAAAAGTATCATGGAGTCTTAAAATTTGCCCTGGTGGCTTCACATCTGTAATTTTAGCTATTTAGGAGGCTGAGATTGTCTGTGGAACTCATCTCCAATGAACTACCAAAAAACTGGAAGCTGTGGCTCAAAGTGGTAGAGCACTAATTAGCCTTGAAAGGAAAAGCTCAGGGACAACACCCAGGCCCTGAGTTCAAGCTACACAACTGACAAAACGCCTAAGCTTAACAAGTGCCCCAACTTTGTGCAGGAAGTATTTCCAAATTATTCCTGCCTGTTTACCTCATCTACTCTTCATCTGGCAGTCAATTTTTCTCATCCTCACTTAGACTTGTGTGCAATAAACACCCAAAATAGCCACACATGATGGAGCTACCGAGGAAGCAGGGTTAGAGCTTGCAGTGCTTCTGAGACTGGGTCTTAACCACAAAGATGGATATTCCCTTGACAATCTCTCCAGGCTCAAGACTCTACTAATCCATCCTAACGTCACTGTAAATGAAGGTTTAGTGTGCCCGACCTTGGAAACAAACTTCCCCAAAATTGATTTGAAATTAATGCAATGTCCTTTCCTTAATGGTTCTCTGCTTTGAGTAAATAGGCCAAATGTGACTCAAAGTATCCCCAACTCTCCCCTTGAGAGTATGGTCCTATTCTGAGAAAGTCACTCAGGTAAATACAGAATTAAATTTCAGAGATTAAACCATTATGATTGGTGTGTGTGTGTGTGTTCATGTTGGTACCAGGGCTTCAACTTAGGGTCTCCGCTCTCAGCTTACTTGCTCTCGGTTGGCACTCTGTTTGAGCTATGTCTGCAGTCTATAGTGTTTTTCTGGTTAAAGGTGGTGGTGTCTTACACATTTTTCTGACCTAGCTGGCTTCAAACTGCTATCCTTAGATCTCAGCCTCCAGAATAGCTAGGATTACAAGTGTAAGCCACTGGTGCCTAGCAAAAAAAAAAGTTTTCTATATGTATATTTAAATTAAGCAGCAAGGCAGAATGACTCTACTGGAGATCTATTTTCTTCAACAGAAAACTGTTAATTTTCTCATATCTTTCTACTTCTCTGAAAAAAAAAAAAACAAAAAAACCTTAATGTTTTAGCCTTCCCTGAATATACCCAAGAAGGGAAGATGTAAAGGGCAAGAAAGACACTCACTCTACTAGCAAGAAAGACACCAGCTTCAAACCAGGCTTTCAAAAAAAGAATAGCAGAAAAGTTTCCCAAATAACAGAAGTGTTTTCATTATAGGTATAGAAATAAGCTGGGCATTGTAATCCTAGCTACTCAGATCTGAGGGCTCTGGTCAGAAGCCAGCTGGAGCAGGGAAGTCTGTTGAGACGCTATCTCTAAAATAATCACACACACAAAAACAACCTTAAGTGGAGCTGTGGCTCACGTGGTAGAGCACTAACCTTGAGTGGACAAGGCTAAGGGAGGGAGAGTGCTGCACCCTGAGTTCAAGCCCCAGTACTAGAAGCATACACATAGCAATGGATGGCTGTCCATGGAAAGAAATGTCACTCAGGAAGGACAAGGCCTCAGAGAGCAAGGATAGACCAAAAGAAGTAAGCACAAACTCAAAACTGTTTCTTTCTTCCCCATTCCTGGGATTCATACTTTTGAAGTTTTATAGTCATTAAAACCCCTAGCATCTTTCCCCATCTTCCTTCTGATAAGGTATGACGTTCATGAGAATCAGGAGGGAAGTGCTGCACACATGCTACATGGAACCAAGACCTGGAATTTGCTGTTAAGGAAAAACTTCATAATAAAACCAGCCATTTGTATGAACTCTGAGGCCAGGAAAGGTTAAGAGGTTGGAAGGCTGACTCATCAGTATTCAGAAGGCTGAGAACTAGACCCTAAAAGGTCAAACAGACAAAACAAATGTGTAACTGACTCACAGGGTCTGGACTCTATAAAGCTTGAGATTTTGGGAAAAAGATAAGTCTCATATTAATGGCTGTAACCAGATAGATCGATAGCTTGTTTTCTACGCATAACCTGTCATCACTGTACTGTACTGTACTGTACCTGTACTGAACTAAATAAACTTGCTTCTGGGAGCTTGGGGTTCAGAAGCCAGTAAGCACTGAAGCCCCCAGTCCCTGCTCTCTTTCTTTGTCTTTTCTCATTTCTTCAGCTCCGGTATCCCAGGTGTTGTGGTAGGAACAGCCATTAAGAACAAAAAAGAACAAGTCAAGTTTGTGATGTGTTATGCAAATCAACACATAGCACATAGCAAAAATTTCTAGTCATAAAACAAAAACTGGAGTCATTTTTAAAAGAGTCTCTCTTTCCAGTATTTCCTAATTATCAAAATGCCATCATAAAACACCATTTTGTGTCACCTGTGTTCTGCTTGTCTCTCTCCAGCAATAAAGCAATGCATATTGGGAGACAGGAGGCAGGATCCACTACCAGATCTCCATCCCACCCCATCTCAAGCTGAAGATATGTAGCTCTTCTACTAAAGCACAAAGACAACAGTCAACAACTTATTAAGTAGACTTTTATTGCTTTTTCAACTTCAGTAAGATCTACAAAAAATAGTTCTCGTCTAACAATTGTGAAATTTGAAAGGCAGGACTGTTCACATTATAGACGTCAGTAGAGACTTGTACTTCATATAAATGAAAATATGAGTTCTACAATTTAATGTTTAATTTATTTTGGATTTTATTACAAAACAGTTATTGTAATTATAAAAGTCATAAAAATTGTAACTGTACTTGTGAAATTACACCAAGGTATCAAATATTACATGGCTGAATAATAAAATTCAGTCTTTGTATATTTTAAACATAGTAAATATACTGGAAGACACCTCCTGGCGGACCCTGAAAGAATAAAACCTTGAATAATAAAGCAACACACAAATCAACGTGCCAGACATGTTAAAACAGCAACACATAACGGGCCTACCAATTACGCCAAAGTATGTGCCAAACAAATTCAGAAGTAATCTTCAGACAATTCTAATTCCAACTATGGTTTCCTATAATTACTACTTATTTTACTTTTGAAAAGTTGAAAAGCTTTAAAATCAAAATTGACAAAATTTGCAATTTGAACACTATCTTAAACCTTGAATATATTTAAAATCTTTAAATTTACCTTCTAAAAATAAATAATTATTGAAATAAATGAAAAGGTATTTCACATATTTGTACTGTATACAATAACAATGAGGCAATCTATATAAATAATTTTCAAAATTAAGTTATTTAATATAAACATTTTGAATTACTGTGTTATGTCAATATTGAGCTTACACATATTCAAATCTGAGCATTCAGAAACAGGATTCACAAATTAAATGCTGCATCAACTGACAGAACCAATGTCCGTGACATAACCCTCCTCTATACAGCAAGCCCAGTTTCAGAGACCATTTTTCTTCTACAGATTATTTTAACCTGCCTTTCCAAAAGGAAAAAGTTTAAAAGCTCTTCTACTCACACAGAAACTTTGACTACATGAAAGAAACAAATATTTTTTTGGTTGGAGAAAAGAAAACCTAGTATTTCTGAATTTCTGAATGGTTTAAAAAAAAAACTCCTTTATGAACACATGCATGAACACATAAAAAAGTTTTACCCTATAGATTTTACAGAAGGCTTGGCAAATATCAACACTGACACACCACAGCTTTACATAACCTAAGACTAGTAACTTCACACACACACACACACACACACACACACACACACACACACAATAAGCTACAGAAAAACTGTGTGCTTCATTTCTTCTGAATATCTAATATTATTTTAAAATATATAAAAAGATCACCCTTTTAAGGAAGCTAATTCATTGTTTTCTCAAAAGCTGCTATTTTAGATTTGAAACAGCAATTAAAAGAATTTCAGATGGTCAACATCAGGACTTACTATAATCTTTGTAAACAGATATCTATAAATAAATAAAATAGAGTGGAGAAAAGAATATCCTGAGTTGGCTCTGTAGCCAGGGTATTCAGTAGCACTAAGCTCCATTTTGAAAAATCAAGGCATCTAAGAAAGTGCAGGACTGTTTAGGTCAATTTATTTTGTAAGTGGAATATATACAGGTTTAATTTTGCACCTTGAGGTAAATCTGTACATAGCAACTACAACTGCTCATATACACCTATGTAAGGCAACGTTTAAAAATCAACATATAAATTATATCTTTCGCATCTTGTAATGAATGCCATCCATGATAAGCACTTAGAAGAAGCAGTTAATTACTTAAAACAGGAGTTACCTCCGCTCTTGAATGGAGAAGCCCTATCAGGTCATTTTATAATCAAGTAGTCAAAATAAAGCAGAAACCATCAGTAACAGGAAACATAGTAAAACATTGTTGAATCTAAAGTATTTTGCAAGTTATGGTTTTTCTGGCACTGAATCACTGCTATACATAATTAAATAAAATCACAGAAACAACATAATACCAGGTAGTTTTCAGCTTAAATTTTAAATTCACCTCCTGGAAAATAAGTTGTTAACCCTTTGATGTCCACACACAGGGAATGACAGGAGGAGACCCTCTTGCTCAGGTACATCAGGGGAGTTAGAGGAGCAGCAGCAAACTCTGGGGAATTTGGATGACTGTGCTACCATGAGTAAAATGGAAACCCTCATGTGGAAGTTGATACATGATGGTGAGCACCATGGCCAATACTTTCCACCGACTGCAATATCAAACATGACAGCTATCTTTTTAAAGAAAAGCAGCTACACTTTAATTAACTTCATATCTGAGGCAGAAGTTAAATCTATTATTTTTTACCAGAATACGAAAATATGGTCTCAGGTGTGGAAATTACACTACTTAAGTAGTTTAGAATGGATTAAAAACACTTCAGAATTACTAAAATATCAGCTTTTGACATTTCTCATGATCTTTTGGTAAGATCAGTTTCTTCATACTTTTGTTCTTGAATCACAAATGACTTAGAAGAGCAAATTAATTTCATTTAAATATTTTCAATTTCATTCTCTGCCAACTCAGTTTCAGAACCTCATTGGCCCTGCAGGCTTAAAAAGAACAAAATTTAATGATCTGTGGGGAGCTAAAAGCATATATATATATATATATATATATATATATATATATATATATATGGAGAGAGAGAGAGATTGAAATGATTTGTTAGAAGTTAAAAGGGTAGCTCAGAAAGACTAAAAGCCAGACACTAACACAGAACAAGAAATGCATGCCATCAATCTGAGACATACACAATATGCCAAATTTTCTTTTAAAATACAAACATGGCAGTGCTTTACATCACAAATGTAAATAAAATCTGTTAACTGCTTTCAGATATTAAGCATAAATGTAACTGAGCACCAAGTATTTACATTTTAATCTAAATTACCTTTTTAAATTTTGAATAAATTTTAAGTGTAGAATCAAAGTATTTTAAAACAAAATTGCGAGTAAGCTATTAAATATAACCAATGCAATAGAAATATCAGAAAATGAAAGGCAATTCTTAATAAAATAATACTGATCATAAACCAATGAGAGAATCAGGATTCCTGGTTATTTTAATCATCCTATTATAATAGAAAAATACTAACTTGAACCTGATACAAATTAAACCACTTAAATAGAGCAAAGGCAAAGAGTAGACTGGGACTTCTGAGACTTTTAGAAATGTGTGATTATTTAGAAAATTTCTACAAAGTAACAAAACTTTACTACTGCAAACTGTCATTTTACAGCTTCAAAAATCCATAAGGTCATGAGTGGTATGTGCAGCACATCAGAAGTTACCTACAATTTCACTTGCCTATCTGCATGGAAGCTTTTTGTAAATTTTTATGATTTTTAAATTCCTAAAAATCATGAATAAAAACCATAATTCCTATCCAGAAAGTTTCTACTCTGACACTGACCTCTATGGCCAAAAAAATGCCACCTCTTGTGCAGAATGATGGTATCCACAAAAATAGAGACACAAGAGAAATCAGGACACACGGTTTCCCCTGTATCATCAACAAAGATCCATTCCCTGCTCTCCCTAGAAAGCACTGACAAACGTGACCGAACACATGAATGTTTTTAGAAACGCAAGTAAAAATTATGAACAGGTATCTCTTAAGGCTGCTGTAACTGCCACTGAGGAAAACAAAGAGATTTAAGAAAAGCAGATTAAATGTCTTCTCCATATCATTCTATAGCATAACAGAAAAGCATTTTTTTCCAACAAAATAAATATTTGAATGTACCTCACTTCTAAGAGACCAATATATTAACATATAGTCTCCATAGTGCCCATAACAAGTTTCAGATGACTACTTCAAAATACCCAGCAGTCATGTATAAATAACATGACATACAAGTTATACATAGTGACATCACACATTATATATATAGTTATATATCCATATATAATTCTTCTTTGCTCAATTCTATAATGAAGTTTCAGCATCCATGTATTTCTTTGATGGCTCATCTTCAAAATTTATTGTCACACTCACAGGCTTTTCAGGGCTGTTTGAAAAAATAAGGAAAAAAATTTTAGAAGAAGAAATACTAGGTCTAAATATGGCCAACAATGACTAAAAAGATTGTGAAGTTCTGACAAAAAAAAAAATTTGAAACTTCAAAGACCAGGGGTTCACTTGTGACTCAAATAGAGAAAGTCTACCTAGCAAGTGTGAGCCAAAATAAAAACAAATATTTAAAAAGTACTCAGCAAAGATTAGAAAATTAGAACTCAGGACACATGAGAGATTGAGTAGAAAAAGAAGTTCTAAAGGAAGCTGATGAGAAAGAGTGAGAGAAGGCTTGTCAATTACTGGGAGTCAAAGCTCACAACAACAGTAACTGAAACAGAAATAAATCTGTGACTACCTGCATGATTGCCTGCCTACTGTTTTGATTTGATACACCAACACTGAACACTTCAAAGAACTACTTGTTGAGTAAGAATGCCTAAGTGAGTACTTTGTAGGGTAACATCTCACTCCTTTAGAGGGCTAAGGATTAAAGTCCTAGGGTTATCAAAACAGAATTCATGAAGTCTCAGGAAAAGACAAAAGCAAAAACAAGTACTAGATTAACAAATGCCAAGGAGCATTTAACACATGGTCTATCATAATTTCCTCCAAAATATCTTCAGGGAAAATGTTTACCTTACTTGAAATGATATGCTAAAGTAAAACACAAGAAAGAAAACAGCTATGTTTTCCTGTTATTCTTGGACCAAGTTAATATTTTTAACTGTTTATGTCATTTTCTACTGCTATATCAAGTTTATTATAAAGCAACTGCTCAAATTCTTTCATAATATGCTACTGTAAGCTTAAAAATTACAAAGTACAAGGTAGGAAAAGCATAGGGTTGCATCTACCTCAGGTTAGGCTTGGTCACTTTCGTATTCTCAGCGTTCATGGAAAGTGCCTTCCACTGTGCAGTTCTGGCCATTTCATCTGATATGTTAACAACGGAGGGGTCAATACTGAAGACCAAACACTTTTTGGTTAGTAATCAACATTTGCAAAAGCATTAAGTCATTTTTATTAGCTAGTAATAATTTCCTTTAAGTTAAAACTGAGAAAATCTTTCCAATGCACTCAAAACAACCAAATTCTAGTCAAGACATCACAACCCTGGAGTACTGTTTACAAAGACCCCCTTGCAGAGAATCCCATTCCTTCACAATCAACACGCAAGACTTATTCACAGGACAATGCTTCAGAATCTGATTTGGGGCTTCAGTAGTGCTTAAGCAGTACTCTAACAATAGTGTCCTCCAATTCTTGGCTAGAAATAAGTGTATTAATGAAAAAGTCTAAATATTACCAAATCAATCGCGAAACATTTCATCAAATAAATACGAGAAAAAAGTTGAGGAAAACCCCTTTCATTAATTTAAAAAAGAATGGTGGAAAAGATGACAATTTACAACTGCAAACAAAGCTCTGAAAAACATCAGCACAACCACAGCTTTTAACTTCCACTTTAAGCTGTCATCTAACATTTTAGTGTCATTGTTATTTTGTCAACTGTATCAAAATCAAAAGAATAATATACTGTCAATAAAAGGGACAAATTCATTCTACACTGGTAAGAACTATTACAAATGACTTCAAGACCCCAAATCTCATGACAATATCCATAAATAATTAAAGAGCCCAAAGTTCCAAATCCTAAGATGAGATTATACAAACCTCACAATGTATTTTAAAGCTCTTTTTCTTTACCAAAACTAAACTATTTCATGTAAATAAACTACAAATACAAATATCAAATTAGATCTTCTTAAAGTAACAATGTAACAGCAGCTAGGTTATAAATGAATAGTTTTAAAATGAATGCCAGGTTTAACAGCACTTTTAAACCAGAATGGTGTTTAAAATTTTCAAGACTGCAGAGCACACAGACATGGTCACTGAAACACATCTGGGAATGTGGTGAAATCCACGCATACCTGTTCATCCTGAGGAAACACTTAGCACTTGTTTGGCAACTTCAAATAATTAGAGAAAGGAATTTAAAATGAAGTCTTAAACTATCCTAAATAAGAACGATCCCATTAGCAGAAAGGAACACCTTTATGATTTAAGGTGTAAATTCTAAAAAAATAAAGAGATTAGCTAATGCCTGGCATTCTTGATGTTCAGTTTTATAAGCAAACCAACACTAATCCTGACTACAAGACAAACATTCAGACATCCATTTTTTCATTAAACAGCAGACCATACAGCTTACACTATGATTTGTGATTATTACACTGAGAAGGAACCAAAGCAGGACAGAAAGTGGAGGTGTTATTGGCCATGATAAACAGTGGCTGCCGCTCTTGCCGCAGGCACATCATTTTAAAAGTTGATGTGAGTTCACTAAGTACCCACTGTGCCCTAGCTGGACGTATTATGGTCTTATATTGGGCATTTACCATATGCAAAGATTTGAGGGGAAAATTGTGAAAAGGTAAAATTAATAGGAAAAAGAACATACAGCTAGGCATCAGTAGCTCATGCTTGTAAATCTAGCTACTCAGGAGGCTAAGATCTGAGGATCTTGGATCAAAGCCAGCCTAGGCAGAAAAGTCTTTCAGACTCCTAACTCCAACTAACTACCAAAAAGCTGGAAGTAGAACTATGGCTCAAATGGTAGAGCACTAGCCTAGAACAAAAAAGCTCAGGAACAATGCCCAGGGCCTATGGTCAAGCAGGGCCCAGGGTTGGCAACAAAAATAAAAAAGTACAGAAGAAAATTAATTCATTATCACAGCTAAAGACATGAATAAATCCAAATGTGACTACAAAAAGAATATAACTTGGCTGGGAAAGTGGCTCAGTGGTATAGAGTGTTTGCCTCGTATGCATGAGGCCCAGCCCTGGGTTTGATTCCTCAACACCACATAAGCAGAAAAAGCCAGAAGTGGTGCTATGGCTCTAGTGGTAGAGTGCTTGCCTTGAGCTGAAGAGCTGAGGGACAGCGCTCAGGCCCTTCAGGCCCCATGACCGACAAAAAAAAAAGAAAAAAAATTAAATTAAAATTAAAAATAAAAGGAAGCCTAAAGCTAGTTAAAAACAAATGAACATATTCCATCAACTGCTTAGGGAAGAAACCTCTGTAGATTCCATTCACTGATTCTCTACTATAAAGAGCCAATCAGAAATGGAACAGAGGTATAAAAGTGAGACTCAAAGTAACACAACACCACGGATTTTAGTCTTTTGAAGCCACAAGGGTTTACATTTCCCAAACTTCCTATCTTTCAATTTTAGTAAGCAAATTTACTAAAATTATAAAGGATAAATTATACACGAAAACCTATTCGTTTTTCCATGAGCTCTCACTACACCTGTGGAAACAGGGAGAGCTACAGGGACTCTGAACATAGGTTATTGCAAAGTGGATTACATATATCTTGATCCCCAGGAAACACTAAGCCTAGCCCGAATGAAGGGCAGAAATGGAAAGGCAATGCTACTGAAAGAATAGAAATAATCTAAAACTTGTGTACTGATTTGAAACTTCATCTAATAGAAGGACAGGCAAGAATTAAGCCTTGTTGGACTGTCAAGAGCCAGTTTACTTAAGTTAAAGGCCATGGTTGAAGCCCAGCTTTTCCTCTGTTCCTGCCTGTGAGTAGATAAGATGGAAAGACTTCTTTTCAAACTGCATAAAGCTCCTATTTACTTGACATGCCCAACTCAGATTTTACCATCTTTTTTTTAAAAAACAGAAGTCATTACTTTAAAGAAAATAGCCTATGTTCATTCATGACACAGGTATAATATACTTTACAAAATAAAAAGTCTTATCTCACCTATACTTTAAGGCCTTAACTGGAATTTGTAAGAGACTTCCTCCTTCAAATGGAAGGTGCACAGTGTCTTCGTCCTCCTGAAGCATCCGCTCAGCCTCCTTAGAGCACAAACATGAGATTACTTTACCCACAAGTCTCAGGAGGGTCTGCTACTGTAGAACATGGTAAAGACTTGGAAATTCAAACTGACAATATTTAAACACAAGACCTGCCATAACTGAAAACTCCACTTTATAATTCTAAACATACCAGAAGCACAGAATGGAAATAATCACTTGCAATGATTAATTTTAAATGGCATGACTTTCATTCCTGAAAATGAATTATCAACACTATTCATGAAATTACCCAGCATTTCTTGGAACTCAGTGGGGCTATATGATACAAGCAAAAACTTTTGGAAAGACTCCTTAGAACAAACACAAGAATATAGTTCACTTTGCTTTCTGTCCCTCAAATGATACCTGAAGTTTGGCTGCCATTTGACTCCAGAGTTGAATGTGAGAAATGACAAGGGGGGGGGGGGGGGGGGGGGGACAGAAACAATGCACCCCTGACAACTGTATCACTTACTTTTGGGGCTTCTTTTACATGGGCCAAGTGCGGTGGCGCACATTAGGAGGATCACAGTTCAAAGGCCGGCCCAAGCAAATAAACTGGATACAGTGTGCATGCCTGTATTCCCAGTTATGTGGAAGGGGAAAGGTAAGGAGATCACAGTCTAAGGCAAGCACTGGGCAAAAGAACATGAGACCCTACCAGGAAAACAAGTAAAGCAAACATGAGTGCAGATGTGGCTCAAGTGGTAGAGCATCTGTCTAGCAAGCACAAAGCGTGAGTTCAAACCCTCAAAACAAGTAAAGAAACAAAAATAAAAATTAATAACTTAAAAAGTCACACTTAGGACTGGGAAGGTGGCTCAGTGGTAGAGCGCTTGCCTTGCATGCATGAATGAGGCCCTGGGTTCGATTCCTCAGCAACACATAAGCAAAAAGAAAAAAGCCGGAAGTGGCGCTGTGGCTCAAGTGGTAGAGCGCTAGCCTTGAGCTGAAGAGCTGAGGCACAGCCCCCAGGCCCAGAGTTCAGGCCCCACAACCGAACCCCCCCCCCCCCCAAAAAAAAAGTCACATTTAATCATGTGCCAGTGGCTCACACCTATAATTCTAGCTACTTAGAAGGCTGAGATCTAAGGATTATAGTTTGAAGTACAAGCAGGAAAGTCTATCAGACTCTAATCTCCAATAAACTACTCAGAAAAAGCCAGAGGAGGGGCCGTGGCTCAAGTGGTAGAGCACTAGACTTGAGCAAAAAGCTCCGGAATAGTGTCGTAGCCCTGAGTTCAAGCCCTAGAACTAGGGGTGTCACTGAACCATATTCTAACTCCAGCAGGAAGTAGTAAACAGACATAAATTTACTATTTCAAATATCTTATTGACTATCATAGTCCTAACTTTCATTGAAAGGCAAACATAATATTACCTACCCTTTATGGGGTTGGTATTAAGTTAGTATTTGATTTAAGATTAAGTGAGTTTCTACAAGTTATTACAATAGTATCCTCTACTTGGTACAAAATATGAAACAAGAAAATGTTGTAAATCTATGATGATTGCTTTTACCTCTTTTTCTTTTTTCTTTTTGTCATCTTCTTTCTTTTTCTTACTTTCTGGCATGAGATCATCAAGCCAACTAAGTTCTCTCTTTGTAAAACACAGGTCCATGAGCTTGCGTACAAACACTAATGCAAGAACCTTAAGAAAGTGGGGGAGAAATAGTCACTGCCATCTAATATAAAACACAGCACTTCAAGAGGAAGGAATTTATTAAATCTTTTAAGTAATGGGAAAATTATTCACATACTTTGTTTAAAAATATCTCATGGACTATCTTATTGCAAAGGAACTGAGTCAAATCTTTTTGATGGAAAACAAGCTAGAAAGGGAGAATGAGAATAGAATTGTTACCCAGCCCAATACATAGGTAAAGCATGTTTAATATCACCAAGATCATGATCTTCTATGCCTTCTGTAAGAATTGATCAGTTTTTAAAAACACTACATTGTGTAGCTACTTCAAACATGAGGTTTTATCTTCTATCACATGGAAAAACAGGACACATTTTAATTTGTATTAAAACTCAGATGATGACTTTAATCACCTCTTCTGTTACCATATCCCTATCTTTTGTTTTTGTTATACTTGGGCTTTTTCTTCCTTTGGTTTTTAGGGTGGCCATGTATGTGTGCAGTACTGAGGCTTGAACTCCACTTGGGCAATGTTTCTTAGCTTTTTGCTCAGGTTGGCACTCTAACACTTGAGCCACAGCTCCACTCTCAGCGTTTTGGTGATTAACTGAAGCTAAGTTTCATAGATTTTCCTGCCCAAGCTGACTTTGAACTACAATCCTCATATCTTAGCCTCATGAGTAGCTAGGATTATAGGTGTGAGCCACTGCCTTGGCTCTAGCTTTTAGGGATTTTATGAATTAACAGTTCTGTACAGTTTGGATAGAAATTCTTCATCTTAATTATAAGTTACAACAAGCTCTTCCTACTTCACAAGATGACTTTACAATTCATAATACCTGCTGACTAAATAAAAACAATTCTCATGTGGTCAAATATATTCACCTTTTTTTCACAGTTGGGTTTTCTAGATACCTTGTACTTATCTGACACCATGTATGAACGAAATCCTCATTTTAGACTTACATGCCAAAATAAAGCCATAATAGAATAGCTGTATAATCTAGTCATTGATGGTTAATTTTTCAAAGACAGCAAAGTAATTTAGTCCTTCAATAATTTAATTAATTATAGATTTTGTTTTATATATGTCAACTATAATTTAATAACATTTTAACTACTACTAGATCTGTCAGTTTCTGATATATTGAAGCATCCTGTTGAAGAACTATGTTTGTTCCTAAATCTTATTGTTTACTAAATATCAAACAGAGTGCTCTATATCCCAAGTACTAAACAGTTAAATTTAACAGTTAAACTTGGAAAGTAGCTAGTTTAGGCACAGAGATACAGTATAAGAAGCAGAAGGCTTGCCTAGCAAGTGCAAAGCCCTGAATTCAAACCCTAATACTACACAAAGAAAAAAGAAAGCAACTGGTTTATTGCTAGAAAGTTAATCCACATTTTTAAACACGTAAGATGCTCAGTCTGTATAATTCCTCTCCTCAGTGTCAGTTCTAACTTTTAAAAGAATTGCCCACAGTAGTACTTAATATGAAACCTGAGCAGAATTTACCATCATGGGAAACACTACTGCAGCAGCGGAAGCTTTGATCACCCACAGCAGAACCAGACAGGTGAGCTGGACCACGGTGAAGATGTGCACCTTCCACAGCGGCACATAGCGGAGGTAGATCAGGTCAGGCTGGTGTTTGGCAGGCATTCCAAACAATTTTATACGATCAAAAAACTGGGATAAAACAACAAAACAAGAGAAAGAAAGTTTTCAACAACATACCACTCCTACTATTTACGGATTGCTTTCAAGGGTTTTGTATTCAATTTAAAATAATTCAATATATTCTGGTAGTATATGACTGTTTTAGCAAAGAATCTCTGGTTCAAAGGATAGAGGAAAAATAACCAAAACAATCATTTGAACTATTTCAATTACTCAGAAAACTTAAGATTAAAACAAGAGATTAAAATATCTGAATTTATTTTCTATAGCCAAATGTACAACTTGATTTGTTTTCTAATATGAACAATTAAAAAATACTAACTGAAGAAATTCTAAAATTCTTTCTAAGTCACTATCACTAAAGGTATGAAATGAAAATGACTTGAGAAAACTATTTACCAATTTTTCACTCACTGAAAATGAAATCATCTGAACATGTGACTGGGAGAATTTTTATCATTGTGTGTGTGTGTGTGTGTGTGTGTGTGTGTGTGTGTGTGTGATCATTGTGTGTGTGTGTGTGTGTGTGTGTGTGTGTGTGTGTGTACACCTTTTGCCTCCATCCCCTTCCCCCTATCTACTTAACCATGTAAGTTCATGTCTGTATCCTGAAGATGGCTAAAAATGTACTTAAGCATCTCCTTGTTACTGTCCCATAAAAATCCCCTTTCTCTGCCCTTTGGGGGGGGGGGGGGCGGGAGGAAAATGAAGAAAATGAGGGAGGGGGGTAACACTGTTCAAAAAGAAATGTGCTCATTATGTGACTCAGGTAACTAACCCTTCTGTATATCACCTTTACAGCAAAAATAAATAACTTTTTTTTTAAAAAAATGAAAAATTAGCCAGTGGCTCATGCATGTAATCCTAGCTACTCGGGAGGCTAAGATCTAAGGATTGTAGTTTGAAGTCAGCCAAGGCAGCAAACTCCATGAGACTCTTGTCTTCAATTAAGCACTCCTGCCTGCCCACCGCCCCCCCCCCCAAAAAAAAGAGCACCAGAAGTGGAGCTATGGCTTAAGTTGTAGAGTGCTAGCCTTGAGCAAAAATGCTCAGACATATGCATATGCAGGCTCTGAGTTCAAGCCACAGGACCAACATAAAAAGACAAAAACAAAATAAAACAAAGAGATTAGGGGAAAATAAATTCCTTGATCTTTCTGAGCCTTCTAGTTCTTCATTTTTAAATTGGAAATGAAATCAGCCATACCCACCTCACAAAACTGTGCTAGGTGGTAGTGGCCATAGGAGACTGAGATCTGAGGATTGCAGTTTGAAACTAGACTGGGCAAAAAATTCAGACTCTTATCTCCAATTAACCACCAAAAAGTCTAAAGTGAAGGTGTAGAGCAAGTGGCAGAGTACTAGCCTTGAGTGAAAAAAGTGAGACTGCGAGGTCCTGAGTTTAAGCCCTAGTACCAGCACAAACACACACACACACACACACACACACACACACACACACACACACACACACACACACACACACACACACACACACACACACATCTTCTGTAAAAATAAGTAGGACAGACAATGAGATCATTTCTTACCTAACAGGGAAGAGATCAAAGACTATTTTTTTTGTGTTGCCCTTGAAAAGATGTACCTGTCACCACATACCAGTTAGCAACTTCGGACAACATGCATTTGTGAAACGAGGTGATTATGTGGGGTCCTCTGTGTTGATCTAGGTATTTTCCCCAAAAATTAATACTAATTTTAAGAATTTTACCAGCTTATTTTCCAGGAAGAATAATAAATCAGACAGAGAAATAAATTAACTCAATTATAGCTTTGGACCTAGTGCCTGCTTACCTGGTAACCTTCAAATGTCTATTTTAGTAGGAAATTTATCCTTTACTTACTTCCAAATCACCATTTTGAGAATCAAGAATGTAATAAGTCTTACAAATCAATTGCAACACACAAATGTGAGGCATTCCATTTTAATATAAAACTAACATCGACCTTGTCTTTTTCAGGGCTCAAAACAGCCCTTGTCCCAATCCAACCCTTCAGATCCTCCCTCTCTCTACATTCATCCTCTGAGAGCTAAAAGACCCTTCTGCCCTTCATTGACTTTAAAATAGAAGAAGACTGTGTCAGCTCACTTCCTCATTCATTGGGGTAAAAATATGCAGTATGCAATAATCACATTGTAAAGCTGAATGTTATGCCAGCAATTAGAAAAATTAACCTTCCCTCAAAATATAAAACAGTTGAGAATAAGTTACTGCCATCATAAAAACAATTTCTGCAAACTTAAAATGGCTATGTTTTCCCACAAAATTAGTAAATTAAGACTTGCCTGGATTCCTTTTAATGAAGAAACTCCCATATAAAGGAAAACACCATATAGAACCGGCATTGGAATAAACTGTAAGCAAAATTTGTTGTAATTAGAATAGTGAGTACACAGAGCCATAACTGGTAACTATAATAGAATGACTAAGGAACAGAACTAAAAGAGCCTTCAGAGATGAGCATTAGACCAACTAAACTCTGTACACACAAGAAAATGCTGAGAGTTGCTGACACTCTGAGTCTTTCCTAAAGAGATGGTCAGTGTTGAAGAGCAAAGGGCATTAAGAATTCCTGGTTTCAAAAAACTTTTTAAATAAAACCAAATTTTCTGTACTTTAGTTCCTGTATCTGACTGCTCAGCCAATTAAACTGGCAGTCAGAAAAGCCTTTGAGGTAGTATTAATCACTCAAAAACACTAAGTGCCTTCTGCTATCAATACTTCCTACAGAGTCAATACTATAAAAGAACATTTTCTAAGTATAAGCACTGAAATCCACTTCCAAAATGAAGCCTATGTTATTACTTTGGTAGATTCCAAACCATTTACCTACTCTGTGCCTAGCCACTCTATAAGGAAACACGGCAAGTACCAGGCCCACGACTTACTTAAAACCAAACTGAGTTCTCTAACCCTATGGAGAGAGGACCCTATGGAAAAAGGACTCTGTGCTGCTCTCAAATAAACTTGCATGTGTTACACAGTCATCCTCCTTCTTTTTCCCTTTTCCTTCTCCTGAGTGCGAGAGAAGACAGACCGTGGGCAGGTGGAACTACTGGGAAGGGATGTACTTAGGAGAAGGAATAAGGCTGAATGTTGTCAGAATAGACTGTTCATAACTACAAAAATGAAACAAGGAAAAGTGTAGAAAGTATGGTGGAGAGGAGAGAAATGGACAAGAATATAGCATTAACATGTATGGATATGTAACCCTCCCCCCTGTAACTAATAGATAAGCCAATTTAAAAACTAAATTTAAAAAGACATACCTACAATCAATAAAAACTACCTCTACTACACTTCAAATAGCTAACCAGGGCATTACTCCTGAAGGACTCTGTTAGTGCTAACCTTGTGCACAAAAGTTTAGAGACAGCTCTCAGCCTTTGAGTTCATGCCCCAGGCGCAGCACACATACACACATTTAAAAAACAAAAATACATTTGGGACTGCAGATGTAACCCAAGAGGTAGAGTGGCTACCTAGTAAGTACAGGCCCTGAGATTGAATCACAGGGAGAAAAAAAAAGAAACAAGTAACTTCATGACAGTGCTTTTTGGAAAATAAAAGAAAATATGGAGACTAACAGCACTTTAGATTTCTCTTCCTGTTTAAGATGAACTTTTTTTGTCTAAATGTAACACTTAGAGACAAAGAGCTACTTGTCAAAGGGGTTGATCTACAGCATGCTTCATCCTCGTAAGATTGCACTAAATGGAGCTGGGAGTGGCTCAGTGGTAGAGTGCTTGCCTTGCATGCATGGGGCACTGGGTTTGATTCCTCAGCACCACATAAGCAGAAAAAGCCAGAAGTGGGGCTGAGGCTCAAGTGAGCTGAGGGACAGCGCCCAGGCCCAGAGTTCAGGCCCCACGACTGACCAAAAAAAAAAAAAAAAAAGATTGCACTAAACATTGACTTTTCAAATAAACCTACCACTATGCTGGAATTGTCGATGTCCTTATCTATTTCACCAATATATAGTATCATGCTCATGCAAGTGGACAATCATACACCCTCTATTTAGTATTATTTCTGAAGTCTAACAGCATATAAGTACTCCATAAATACTTGGTGAACTAAGTAGCCACATAATGTCAAAGTCCATGAAAAAGGCCATGGAATTCTCATATCTGGCAACAACTTTTTGAGGGGACTGGAGGCATAGACTCTTAGTATCACTAATACAGTACTTGCCTAGGACATGTAAAGCTCTGGGTGTGTATCCAAAGGAAGGGAGGGGAGGAAAACAATAAGGAAAGAAGGAAACAGGGGAGAGGAGAGAGAAAAGAAAGAAGAAAGAAAAAACAAAGGGGGAGAGATAAGAGGGAGGCATTTTTAAAGTGAATATACATATACAGGGAAGGAAGGAAGGAAGTTTTTAAAAGCTAATACATACACACAAAAAGATATAAAAATATTCAACCCAAAAAAGACATTAAACATTTAAAAAGTTAATATACATCACAAATATACAACCCAAGTTTCTTCCCTAATTTACACATACATGGCATTCAAATCTGTTCAATTTTCTCTGCAACAAAATAAGAGAAACATGTAGTTGAACTAATCAGACTTGACTATATTTACTACACAGTTACTTTTTAAATAACTATAATCTATACAATACAAATAAAAACATGATTATTTAAGGTCATAAGTGTTATTAACTCTTCCAAAACTATGTAGTCCCTTACATTTTTATTTTTTTGATCAGTCATGGGCCTGAACTCGACATGGGCACTGTCCCTCAGCTCTTCAGCTCAAGCTTAGCACTCTATCACTTGAACCATAGCACCACTTCTGGCTTTTCTCTGCTTATGTGGTGCTGAGGAATCGATCCCAGTGCCCCATGCATGCAAAGCCAGCACTCTATCACTAAGCCACCTTCCCAACCCTATATTATTTTTTTACATGGAAACTTCTGTCACTGAAATGTTTACTATATTAAAAAAAATTACCAAATTGTCATTTCCTATATTTCAATACTACATTTTCATATAAGTACAAATGTTATGATGTATGCTAAGTAAGATTTTTAAAGTACTGTAATAAAGCTTTTACCTTTAGTACTGAGGTCATGAACACAGAAAGGCCCATTAGAATGAAAATCATTAGTCCTGTAACCCGTTGTTCACGGATTCCCAAAAACTTCGGTTGTTCTCCAGGGGCAGAGCATTCAGATTCAACTTTCAAGCTGTTGACATGACTTATTGACAATACTGTTGCAGCCACAAACCAGGGAAGTCCCATGACAGAGCAAACTCCCAACATAACACCAACCATTAGCAAATCAAGGTGATAACCAGCTCCTTTCTGAAAAGTAAAATGAACATAAATATTCTTAAGTCTATACTGATCTTTTACGTTAAAACTCTATTCAAAAAAGGGAAAAACTGGGCTGGGAATGTGGCTTAGTGGTAGAGTGCTTTCCTAGCATGCATGAAGGCCTGGGTTCAATTCCTCAGTACCACATACACAGAAAAAGCCAGAAGTGGCACTGTTGCTCAAGTGGTAAAACGGTAGCCTTGAGTGCCCAGATCCTGAGTTCAAGCCCCAGAACAGAACGCCCCCCAAAAAGGGGGAAAAACTAATTTTTATCTTGCATTATTTAATGTTGTAATTACCATGGAAATATCTCAAACTCTAGAAGACATCACAATACTGGCAGGAAAGTTTTTACATTACCTTCAATTTGTGTTCCTTTCTGTTTATGATTACAGCTGTGATTTGTTGATCCATAAAGATAAGAATGGTACAAAGCAGAGCTGGAATAGCAGCTATCAGTAAGGTCCACCAATAATTACCCCCCAAGGGGCTTATGATCCAGCCTTCTCTATCTGGACTAGTAGGCTGTTAAAAAAAGGAAAAACAGTTTCATTTCTATATTATACTAAATTTCCACAGCACACTGGGCCTCAAGGATAGGAAATAAATTAATTCTATCTTGGGATACAAGGTAGATCTTTGCAAAGATACCTACAGGAGTTTCTTCCATCCTTACAAGCACGTCCCTTGTCCTGTGATCTGTCCACTCTTTTCCCTAAATCAGGGAAGACCTAGTAACTTTAACACACAAGATAAACCAGAGTAACAGCAATTCCCCCTCAGCAAACCATGTAGGTTCTTAAGAACTGGAACTCTGAAAGGACTTAACCATGTTGCTAAATTCAAGCCGAAACTCGAGGACAAGATATAAGGGAATGAGGAAGAGGAAGAGAACAACTAGCATCCCAGCATTCAGTCATCTGAGCTGAAACCCCAGACAGATCAATGCAGCCATAATGTCCCAACAAGTGGCAATCAGATGACTTCAGTAGTGTGAAAGCTAAGCCCTATCTCAACTACCACTGAACTGAAAACAAAGGGTTATAGTGGTGTTTGGTAGCAGGAACAAGACAACAAACCACAGTGTTATTTCAACACTGTCCTAATATATTTTACATAAGGTAAAGTCAATCTCCTTCACGGACTAACCGAGCCCTCCCCCCCCACCATCATAGAATTCCCATGCACCAGTGATCAGGAAATACTAGTACTCAATCTTAATCAGAACTGGGTCAGGACTCTATTCCCCCAAAATCACTACTAGCAAAAACCTGGCACCTCATCAGGCAGTTTCAGTATCGTAAGATGAAATTTATTTTTCTTATTTTAAAACACAAATACTTTCTAAATATTGTTGACAGATTATTTCCCATGCATGCATTCTACTTTGGAGGCTACTGGTTAAATATCTTCTGTATTCTAACAAACAATAAAACAGATTAATATAATCTTCATTATACTCCTTATTTCTGATAACTTTTGCACCACTTTATTTTTTTGGTGGTATTAAGAGTCCAGACAGGCACCCCCAACTTGAGCCATGTCCCCAAACCTAAGCCATCCACTTCCTATTTTTTTAAATCATCCCTTCTAAAAGAAACCATATAACTTACTAAATGTAAAAGTTATATGACCAATGACATGTATCAAAATGTGCTTTCACTTTCAACATACAGTCATAAACAGAGAAGATGGAAGAAAACAAGGACAAGAAAGAAAATATACAAATAACTAACCCTTGAACAATGTATGGAGGAGAAGCGGTAAGGGGCTTCCAACTCCTCAGCAGCCAATAAACAAGATATAACTTTTGACTCCTTCCAAATGTAACTACTAATAACGTGTCATAACCTCATCAATAAGATTATTTTATATACAGTGAAAACCGTGAGCTGTCAGTGATCTGCAGTCTACTAAAGGAGCACATAGATCACAAGCAGGTGACCAGTGTCCTAGGAGCTGAAATTGATGCCAGCAGGATGTGAGCTCACCTCAGTAATAGCAGGAGGTACCCAAGTTCATTCTAAGTAGTTCTCTTTTATGTATTTGCTTACTTTTCCCCCCACTGTGAATAGTACAATGTATCGTCTGTGTGCCCAAGTTATAAGGTCTAACTAACTGATGCTAAATTATAAAAGACTATTAACTACATATATATTATGCATTCATGACATATCTAATTTTTCTTTCATTGAAGCTACATCTGAGAGCTTGTTTTTAAGCTGTATCAAACCTTCCCCCCAAATCAGCATACAGCTGATCTGCAAAGATTTAACCAAGATTCAACTAAATATAAATTCATCTATCAATAAGTGGAGGCTTTGGAATAGAGGTTGGATTAAAAACCATTTTTCTTGAAAAGCACATCTGATTTTCTCCTGATTCTGCTGGAAAATGTTAAATGGAGCTTTTATTTTTTTTTTTTAATTTTATTTTATTTTATTTGAGAACATACTGTACAGAGGGGTTACAATTACATGGTCAGGATAATGCATACATTTCTTACCAAGCATTGCAGCCTCCTCCTTTGTTTACCCTTCACCTCCCTTCCCAGCCTCCCCCCTCCCCCCCCACCCAATCATACCCCCCCTCCCCCCCCTCCGATATTGTAAAGCTGGTAGTCGTTTAAGGATTCAGGTGGACCTGTTGCAACAATGAGAAGTACAAAATGTCATGTTAAATGGAGCTTTTATACTTAACTATTTTTCTACAAGTTTAACAAGAGATACTCACAAATTAAGGCTGAAGATACTTTTTTTACATACTGCTGTTAAGCCACATCACCAGGGCCTAGATAGGTAGCTTAAGCGGTCCTTGAACTGACTGCATAGCTCAAATTCATCATGCAACTGCCTCAGTCCCTTAAGTGCTGGGAATACAGACATGTACCGCCATTGCCTGGCCTGAGCTACTTATTTATAAAGCAATATGGAGGTTCCTCAAAGGACTCCACAGAGAGCTCCCCTATGACCCAGCAATCCCACTTTTGGACATTTACCCAAACAATCACAAACAAGGCCATACTAAAGCTACCAGCATGACTATGCTTATTGCAGCATTATTTACAATAGCTAAGATATTGGAACCAACCCAGATGCCCCTCAGTAGATGAATGGATCAAAAAAATGTGATACACACACACACACACAATGGAATTCTATGCCTCCATCAGAAAGAATGACATTGCCCCATTTGTTAGGAAATGGAAAGACCTGGAAAAAATTATTAATTATTAAGTGAAGTAAGCCAGGCCCAAAGAAACATAGGTCCCATGGTTTCCCTTATTTGCAATAACTTGTATAAGTTTAGGACAAGCAGAAAAGGTCAAAAGCTATGTACATATGACCATATAAGATGATGTTAAGTAAAATGAACCCCAAGATTTAGGGATACAACTTGCTTTTTCTTTCTTGCTATTGTTTTGTAATGTATCTAAAATGTACTATGTGATTTTTTTGTTTGTTTCTCTTGTATGCTCTTCCTCCACGATATAACCATTTCACTGCATTTGATGCCATCAGTGTGCATCTTGTATATACATTTTTCTAATTTGGGGAGGGGAAGGGAAATAATAAAATGCTGAAACAAGGATACAGGTGGATCTATTGTAACAATGACATGTACAAGACAGTATGTTGAAAAAGAACTTTATAACTTGTGGGGGGAGGAGGGAGTTGGGGAAGGAAGGGATGGTAAGGGAAAAACAAAGGAGGAGGTAACAATGCTCGATAAGAAATGTGCTCATTACCTTACTCATGTAACTGTAACCCCTCTGTATACTATTTTTTAACAATAAGAAAACATTTTAAAAAAAGAATAAAAGCCATTTAAAAAGCAGCAAAAAAAAGTACCCTGGAAAGCACAAGAATTCTAGGTAGGAGTACAAAGCCCACTCTTTAAATCCCAACATTTAGCCACAGCAGCTTTCATCTAATCTCTGATGGACTAGCCTTGGTACTTTATAATCATATTTTAAATGTAAGAAACACACATAATTTTTCCTTCCAGAGCATCAGGTCTTCACAAAGCAGTATCTCACTTTAAAATAGTTTGATATTCCCAGGTAACAAACAGCCTTATGGTCAATGCTTACCTGAAATTTCTCAGGAACATGAAGTTTAGGAGATGGAATTCCTACAAGGTAGTCAATTGCGACCATTATTACTATTGTGAGAAATACAGCAAAGTCACTGATTGTCGACCGCACCTATGTTTAAGTGGATGATGTTAATAAAACAAAAAAATGCTTTGAGTTCTTTTTCTAAGTAAGTCATTAGCTCTCACAGACAAAATACAGATCACTAAAGAGTAAGAAAAGCATAATTACTGACAATGTTATACTTGTACCTAATCTATCCAATTATTTCTCAAAACATAAGCACAGGGACTGGGAAGGTGGCTCAGTGGTAGAGTGCTTGCCTTGCATGCATGAGGCCCTGGGTTCAATTCCTCAGCACCACATAAGCAGAAAAGGCTGGAAGTGGTACTGTGGCTTAAGTGGTAGAGCACTAGCCTTGAGCTGAAGGGCTGAGGGACAGTGCCCAGGCCCAGAGTTCAGGCCCCACAACCAGCCCAAAAAAAAGCACAACTAATTGATCCTTCTGGAAGTATCATTATCTTTGTTATGCCCACATCCTTTTTCATGATAAATAATTTATTTTCTTGCTCTCTCCCACCTTCTCCCTCTCCCCCCCTCTGGAGGTGCCAGTACTGGGGCTTGAACTCAGGGCCAAGGCACACTGTTCCTTAGCTTTTTGCTCAAGGCTGAGTTCTGCCACTTGAGCCACAGCTTTTTGCTATGGAGGCAAGAGTCTCAGCAGCTTTCCTGCAGGGCTGTCTAATTAGGATTACAGGTGTGAGCCACCAATGGCTAGCTAACAATTTATAGCCATCTGACATGAAGTATCCCCCTTAAATAAAAGACCATTTTGAAATAAACACAAAAAATTAACTTCAAGATTCCATCCCAGTTACCTTAGTAGGAAAATAACGCATGGTCTTGAATTGCTTGAGGAATGAAGACAGAAAGAATGTTGTGAAAAATAAAATGACACACCAGAAAAGCACATCTGGAATATAAGGCCCATGAAGACCACAGGCTGATCCTACAAACACTCCATGGTAGGTCTTACATTCCTGGGGAAAAATCATAGGGAAGATACAGAACATGTTCAAACATCCAATGAATTACTTAGGAGCTTAACCGACTCTATGATCCAAATTTTATATTTTACTAAGACAATGCCAAACCAATTGTATGTACTGTATCATCAATTAACTTTAAAACAGGCCCAGAGTTCAGAGCCTTTAAACAAGTTACTCCTTTCTCTAATTACTGACTCTGTAGGGAAAGCCTTTTGACAAGAATTAACTGAAATGTCTTCTCTGCATTCTTGCCAGCTAAACAGTTTTACTAGGTTTCCTTTAGTTTTGAGCAAATGGTTCAAACAAAAGCCAACAATTACTAACATGCCCCAAAGTGTGATGTAGAATAGGAGGTAGCTACAGGAATAGTTGCAACTAGTAATAACAATCATCTATGGTCAGCTGTTCTCATGTGACTAGAAACCTTGAGATTAAAAAGCATGGAGTGGGCTGGGAAGGTAGCTCAGTGGTAGAGTGCTTGCCTTGCATGCATGAGACCCTGGGTTCAATTCCTCAGCACCACATAAACAGGAAAAGCTGGAAGTGGGTGCTGTGGCTCAAGTGGTGGAGTGCTAGCCTTGAGCTGAAGAGCTGAGGGACAGTGCCCAGGCCCAGAGTTCAAGCCCCATGACGGACAAAAAAAAAAAAAAGCATGGAGTTTCATGAAGTGCCCATTCAAATGGCGTTTCTACTAACAAAATCGATTTTACAATTTAAAATACATCAAATCTAGTGATTTGATTTTCCTTTTTAAAGGGTGGTGGGAGGAAATTAACTGAAAGGAAAGGCACATACCTCAAAGATGTGTCTTTCATTCTTATTTATAATCTAACAACTTCAACATTAAAAAAAAAAAAACAACAACCATTCAGGTTTACCAAGAAAACCACTTAAGCATCATTGTTCTTAATACCCATTGGTAAATGTGACCCTCACTGGGGCTCATAGGCCTCAAAACTACTTGGTCTTTTGGGGGGGGGGGGGGGGGAAGAGGCTTGGAAGGGATGGGAAGGGGAAACAAAGGAGGAGGCTACAATGCTTGATAAGAAATGTACTCACTATCTTGCCCATGTAATTGTAACCCCTCTGTACAGTTTTTTCACAATTAAAAAAAAAAAACTACTTGGTCTTTCCCTTTTCTTTTGCTTTTTAAAATAGTGTTGGGGATTGATGTGTCCAGCTCCTTAGCTGGACACATTATGAGCACATACATGGACTCTCAAATGTACCCCTACGAACATGGCATTTTTGGAAATCAAGAAAACATATCTACTGTTCTATAGTTAAGAGTAAACTATCAATTATAGTGAGAAAGGAATTATGCAATACTATTAAAAATACTATAAAGGGGCTGGGAAGGTAGCTCAGTTGTAGAGTGCTTGCCTTGCATGCATGAGGTCCTGGGTTCGATTCCTTAGCACCACCTAAGCAGATAAAGCCAGAAATGGGTGCTGTGGCTCAAATGGTAGAGAGCTGGCCTTGAGCTGAAGAACTGAGGGACAGTGCCCAGGCCCAAGTTCAGGCCCCATGACCAACAAAAATAAATAATAAAAATTCTATAAAAAATAAAAGTAAAAGAAAACTCAAACCCAGAAAAACCCTGAAGCATTCAGATTGTTAAACTCTTTTTTAAGAAGTTATCGTGAGATCTTGGATATTAGCATCACTTTACATGTTTTCCACTTCACTTGCACAGCTTGTATACTCATAAGCAATACATCACAGAGTTGTTTTTTTTTTAAGAACAGGGATAACATTTCCAAACAGAATACAAGTGTCAGCAATGGTATTGAGCACACAGTAGGTGTTCATAGTAAGTGCTCTATCTTCTTTCCTTTCTGTTCTTTCCAGTGCTTTAATCAGAGTTACTTTGACAGGCTCTGAGTGTACTCCACTTTGTCTCCTTTCCCACCTTCTTTCTCTGCCCGTGCCTTGTAATACATAACACACAAAAATGACCAGAGCTATTATGCTAAAACACTGTATCCTGAAAATACACTCTCTTCACTGACTGGGAAGGAAGTTAAGTATAACCAAACAATTTAAGAACTCTATTTTTTAACATACTCACAGAAACAGTAAGGTTTTCCCAGGAAATATTCAGTGCTGTTACATTGTTTTGCTCTAGAGTTTCATTGTTAAGGTTAGGAGGCTCCGCGCATACACATCTAAGAAATGAGAACAAGATGGATTCTGAAGACTCCTACATTGCATATATGTATTTTGCTAAATCAATTGCACAATGTGATAGTTTTGGACTTATATCAGCAAAATATCTAGTCAATAAAATTGATTAGAGATATTCCTTGAAAGGGACATTATTCTCTTTAAAAATCACCAAGCACCAGTGACTCATTCCTGTAATCCTAGCTACTCAGGAGGCTAAGATGCGTGCATGGAGCTTTGAAGCCACCCAGGCCATAAGTCTGTGAGACTCTTATCTTTAAGTAACCAGTAAAAAGATAAGAGTGCATGACTCAAATGGTAGAATGCTAGTCATGAGGGGAAAAGCTAAATTAAGCTCCAGGCACTAAACTAAAATCATAAAATACTACTATGTGTAGCAAGATTACTTTGCATTAACTCTCTTTTCCTTGGCCTCCATATGAGGTTCTACTATCTCCTCCACAATATATACATATTTCTCAGTAAATGTTTCACTACAGCCAGATACCGTGACATATCGCTATAATCAATGCCACTCAGAAGAATAGTTTGATTGAGGCCAGGCCTAGGGAAAAAAAAAATTAGTAAGAGCCAATTTTAAGAAATAAGCTAGGTATAGTGATGTGGCTCTCTAATCTCAGCTACATGAGAGGTAGGAGGCTAGTGGTCTGAAGCCAGCCCTAGGCAAACTGCAAGACTTTATCTGAAATAAATAACCTAAAAGTAGAACACAGTGAAGGGATGGCTCAAGAGGTAGAATACTTGTCTAGCAAGTGTGAGGGCTCTAAGTTCAAACTTAGTACTGTCAAAAGAAAAAAGGGACAGTGTTATTTGTGCTCTGACAAGCCCTACTACTCATCATCACCCTTTATTGGTCCCTTTCTCCTTCTTACCCCCTCTCTCTGCTGTGCTGCAAGCACTCTTATCACTTAGCCATTAAGATTTATTCTTTAAGGTAATTTACTAGCGTTGGTCCCTCACACACTCTGACAAGAATTAAGCAGCACTCAATGCCTACAGATACTCAGGAATGATTAGATATTCAAGAGGATTGTTCACTTGCAGTTACTCAACTAACAGGAAGGAAACACTTCTCCGCACCTCACTGACACACTGACAATAAAAGCCTCTATAAAGTAATACGAAGCAGTGACAGAAGGAAAAAATGAAAAAGTAAAGAGTAAACAACACAGCATATAAGAGAGCAAAAAAGTGTTTCTAAAATTTTCAAATAGGTCAGGCTTCATAAGAATTTTTGTGCTCCTTTGCCCATCAAAATTAAGGGTATGAAAAGAAAACAAGGAGAGAAGAACAGAAGTATCCCATATTTTATTTTATTAAATTTATATTTTATTAAAAAATTAATCAAGATATGCATCTTTACCTTATTAAAAAAAAAATCTACCAGCTGGACACTAGTGGCTCATGTTCATAATCCTACTCAGGTGGCTGAGATGTGAGGTTCATGACTCAAATCCAGCATGGGCAGAAAAGTCTGCCACCAAAAAGAAAAGCCAGAAGTGGAGCTAAAGTGGTAGAGCACTAGCCTTGAGCAAGAAAGAGCTCAGGGACAGCACCAGGCCCTGAGTTCAAGCCCCAGGATGGGGCATTAAGAAAAAGGAGAGAGGAAGAAAGAGGAGGGAAGTGTTAGAGGGGGGAAGGGAGAAGAGAGAAAGAGGGGGAGGAGAGAGGGGGAGGGGAGCAGTGGCGGGGGGGGGGGGGGGGGGGGGGAGGAGAACCTTTAGGATTCAATTGAAGAATGTAAGAAAATAAATAGTAGCTTAACTGCCAAACTATTTTAGGCCAGCCAATTAAATTCAAGCAGAAGATTAAAAACGAATGAACTTGTTCAACTAAGTTAATGTCTACTTAGTGCTTAGGCAAAATCTCATCTGAAACAAACATGTCAGGTGTTACATGGCAGAATGAGTCATAGCTAGAGATAGGGAGCATCATATTGCAAAATAAGATTTTTTTAAGTCCCATTGTCTTAGGCTCTGACATTTTTTGGGAGGTGGGGGGTGCACATCAAAAAAACACTCGGTTGGATTTTTAGTACAAGGCTAACACTCAACCCCTCAAGTCACTTGGATTTTTCTACTCTAGATGGCTTTGAACCACAATCCTCAGATCTCAATCTCCGGAGTACCTACTCACCCAAGTTATCAGTACCCAGCTTGTGCATGCATGTGTACACACATGTGTGCCAGTACTTGGGCTTGAACTCAGGGACTCACACTCTTGGATCAGCTTTCTTGCTCATATAGTTAGGCTCTACTACTTGAGCCACACCTCCCCTCCCCTCTAGTATTTTTTAGTATTGAGAAACAGGAAGTAACTCACGAATAGGTGGTCAGTTTATCTAGGTTATTGTTCATATTAAATGCATATATTTCTCCTAAATGAAAGAGTTTCTCCAGAGCTTCATAGATGAATATGATGCAGATGAGAGCTGCGAAAGCCTCTTCTGTAAATCGAGTAATATAACACACAAGGCTGCTGGCATCTGTTGCAACCAAAACAATGCACAAGAAGGAAGTCCATAGTCCAATACTGACTCTTAAATTTAGATAGTGAAGGTGATAATCTCTGTTGAGAAAAATGTAGACGTGATCACTATAGAAGTGCAAGAGTATATGTACCTAATATTTTCATAACAATAGAAACATAAAAATGTATGATTCCTAAGAAACACTGAAGTACTGAATGACAAAATAATGACTAGATAAAGTTTTCTTTTCCACTTCAACTGAGACTGGTTTTTATGTTCGTATTACAATGAAAAACCTATTCAGAATTAAATATTTCAAATAAATATTTCTTAAATCTCATTTAAGAAATCAGTCATGTGGTGTTTTTAATGTTCTTTGGAGATCCAGAAATCAGCCACACAGGTCCACAGTGAAGGTGTCCATATTGCCCTTATCTTGCTATTACCACCAACATCACCACAGGCAAGTGCATTCTTTTTTTTTTTTTTAAGGTTTCTGTGTGCTTTTTTTTTTTCTCCTCACTATTCAGAGATGTTTACAGTCATTCTCTATACTTCAGGTCGTTTCACTGGTCTATGAAGCACACAGAACTGGAATCAGAATCAGCTTTAGTGAGACCAAAATCAGAACTTAGAAGAGAGATCAATAATACTTATAAGCAGCTTGATGCTTAAGTCTAAAACGCTCAAATGCATTTATGTCATGACAGGACAGCATTAGCTATCCTTGGAGTCTGTGAGCTACAGGGCGGGCACTAATCCTTTCTAAACTGTGACCAACTTTGCCAGGGAAACTCTGATTGTGTCAATCCTATATCTATTCCACAGGACTGACTGGGTCTGCCTGGGCCTTTGAGATCTATCTTCCTAAACTTCTTGTATAAGAGCAACATTATCACCAAATCAGGGTTCAGACAAACACCTTCTTATTGGTTTAAGTTTGCTAGCACAACCACACAGTGGCCCAAAAACACTGAGCAAACCTTTTAAAATAAATATGTATTATATATACTAAATGTATGATATATACTATATGTAAGTATATATAGTATATATAACACATACATAACAATAAACAAAAATGATAAAACAAATACATACAATATCACTTAAATTAATAAACATATTTATATATAATATACAAATAATATCAACATATCATACTTATATACAACATATGTAGTGAGCAGAGAACTATAACTTACTTGCAGAAGTTATATAAGATTTTTTCAAACACTAGAACTGGACCTGTGCTTCCCAGTATTGTTAGAGGTTGCCCAGCAAACAATGAATAAGCAATCCCAGTTAATGATGCTCCCAAAAGAGACTCTATTGCACTCTGTTTAAGAAAAAAAAGAAATGAATAGAAGTAACACATCATAAAACTTACCTCTAACCTACTAAACTTCTAAGACACATGGAAAATAAAAGTATTACACAAATAGCTAAAAGTATCAAACAAATAAATATATCATTGAGCCTTAAGTTTTATATATGGAAATTTAAAATAAGTTTTAAATATCTAGAGAAAATTTTTCTTCTTGGACATTATGACACAGAAGCAAAGAGGCATACACAAGGGCTTCAACTTTATCTATGGGTATTTTAATTTTTAAATCTGTAACAAGAAAAAGCATATACATTTTTAATATTTTATGAATAACTGAGTTTAAAAAATAGCTAGCAAGTACAAGGCCCAGATTTCAAACCCCAGTATTGACAAAATACAAGTAATAGAAACAATAATTTAAAAAACACCACATTAAATGATGTATATGGTACTTTAAATTTTTTTTTGAAGAGAGTAAATTAACATATGAACCTATCTTTCTTAAACTGACTTTTAAAGAGCAACTTTCTATATATTTTCAGGTAATTAATCTATTATACTAGGCTTGGTCAACCAATAAAAAAATTTTAATTTAAATTCTAAAAATTTACTATAGTCATTAACAAATAAGTATCTTATAATTAAAGCTTAGTCAAAAAAAAGAGAGAGAGAGAGAAACACACTCAGAGATATTTGACATCAGAGCTAATACACTAATTTTGTGCTATCACCAGCATTTTATCCTGATTAGGTTACTGGATGTTAACAGTAGATGGTATGCTATGACAACTATGACAAGGAGAAAGGACAATGATTTAGCATTCACAAACATCAAGGACAACTGGAATATACTATCTAGAAAGAAAAAACTCAGATTTGGTAAAGGCAAGAAGAAAAACCTTGTTAAGAAATCCCATTCCTAAAATGAGAGGCAGCTTAAAGACAGAGCTGAAGTGGAGGACTGGTTACCAAGTGTTAAACCATGGCTCTATCTTACCCTTGTAAGACTAAGCTTCTGCACCTTCACATGAAGGTGCAGATAACTAGAAGAACTTAACTAGTGTTTATGAAAACACCTAGCAGCATAGTGTTTGGCACCTGGAACACAATAGGAGCTTTTCTCATCGTCAACTCTTAACAGTATCTTTTCAAAGTAATAATCACAAAGTACTAGTAGAGAATAAAAGTATAAATTAAATATTAGAATAAAAGTAAGATGAAACCCACATGCAAATCTGTCTTTTGATAACATGGAAGAAAACATCCATAACCATAATAATATATGTTAGTTATATGGAATAACTTTCTTTTCTTCCCATGGAAAAACAAATTTGCAGAAGACACTAGTTAAACCACCATAATAAAAATCCTAACTCTATTACAACATCGGTATTTGGGACTAAATTCAATCAGTTTAAATTGAAAGAATGTAAAAGATACCCACAGAAAGAAAGCAAGAAATTGAAAAGGAATACAATAAAATAAAGCATTTTTAACAAGGGAAGATGGGTACAAAGTTAAGGTTTCCCTACCCCAACCTCAGGTTGGAAAACCAATTATTGCCATGTAAGACCTGCCTGTCACTCCCCTACTGGCCCATTTACAGAAGCAAAACTTCTCCTTACCTAGACCTCTACCTTTCTGTAATTTCTTCTGTTTATTGTCAAGCTGGAAGCTGTTTCTTCCTAAGGACATCACACTTCTGTTAATTCTCCACAGGGGAAAGGTCCTACGTTCTATCCTCACACACAGCTCTCAGGTATACTACGTACTACTCTTGAACAGAGCCATTTCTCCTCCTCAAAATCCCCATATGGTTTTCACAAACATATACTACTCTCATTACTCTTCTAGGATTTGGACTGAACATTTGCTTAGGTCCTTTTTAAAAAATGGTTATTCCTTCGCCATTCCATTCATAGGTAATTTCTCACTTCATTTTCTTCCTATAAACACCTTTGTTAACCTCATCTAGTCTCAGTTTAAATCCTTACTTGTAAATTAACAATCTTGGATCTTTTTCTCTTTATCAATTTATATCCTCTGAAATTGCACCCCAAAATAATGTCTACCTAAAGCTGTAGCAAAATGAGTGAAAGAAACACACCATTTGCCTTTACTTTAAAGTCCTGCTTTCTTTTCCTATTGCTTCAATTCCTTAGCTTTTTCTCATCTAACCCACATGGCTCTCAGTCAGAGCAGGATCTGTGATCCTCACACTTGTCTATCTCCTCCAGTAGAAGCACATTACATTCATGCAGCATCGAACAGCAGAGACTGACAGTGCTGAGTGACAGACCAGAAACAAAGCAGCAGTAATTCCACAACAGGACAGGTAAAACAAGTTTCCACAAGCAGTTACAGGTACTATTTTTGACAGCATATAAAGCAGCCATATGAACTAAAAGTAAGTATATGTGATACAGTTAATAAGGAATAAAGTGAAAAAACAATCTGAATAATGGAAATTTGAGAGTTGAAAGAAAATTTCAGTTGTTAGGCAGATCTCATGTTTAAGATATGAAATACCTTAATTAAATAATTATCATTACTTAGTTTTTGCATATTTTTAACCTTTTATCTATAAAATTACAAATTTTCCTTAAAGAGAATGTCATTTAATAAGACTTGTGAACTTAAGAATTATAACTCATCTCAAAGACCATTTAAATACCTATAACAGCCCTCCCCTCCCAAAAAACAATGCCTTTACAAAGCACTGCATACATAGCTCTTAATATGGTATTACCAAGTACAGAAAAACTTGCACAGCCACATCAAAGACGGAGGCAATATTCAATTACATTTTCCAAATAAAGGCTTTGGCTACATTCACAGATTTAAACAACAATGCAATGCAAGTAAATGTCACTTCAAAAATCCATCATCTCTATATAATTTTGTTCTATTCCTCCAAATAGTCTAGTCTAGGCCTACCAAGCCAGGGCTGATGAAATATTCATCATGACTCTAATCCTAAAGTACATTACAAGATGAAGTAGACCCATCGACAAATCCATCCCACAACCCCCTCCCAGGGAGTCAGTTTGGTTGGTCTCCCCAAAAATCTACCCACCCCCAGAAGACAATAAAAGCCTTTTACTCAATTGTAAAACCATTCCATCCAGTAAAGCAGGATAAACTTTTTACTTATATATTTATTTTACCTCAACTGTGCATCTTCTCCTGTTCAAATGGCTTCCCCATGTTTTCCACAGCAATTACCTTTGGGGAAAGTCTGCTTTGGGACAGGTTTATCATGCTGTGGATAGATTCTTTAAATAGAAGTATGAATGGTGAGACAAATGCACACAGACACTTGCCTCTGAAGAGCTAAGAGCCTGGCCACTACCAATCTTTGTACTCACTATTCTGTTTTCTGTAGCTTCTCCAAGCAGCCCTCCAAAAGTGATTACAGGAGACATACAGGCACAGTATAGGAAAAGAATCGAGGCCAGGCACTGTAGACTTAATGCATCCTTGAAGTCACTCAAGAAAAAAGGTGCTTTCCTTTTGATGTCAAGTATCAAACCACCAAAAAGCCTAAATAGGTGAGATGAAACTTGTCAAACTGTACACTAGAGGATTCTAGCTCGTTCAAACTAAAACTATCGCTACATAAAACTGCAGGTGCCTATAATTTAACAAAAATTAAAATCCAATTCAAATCATGGTATAGATTATAGAAGATACACTCATTGAATCTAGTCATTGAATCTAATCTACTGATGACAGGAAAGACAGATCTCATTAAGTTATAAGAAACATACACATTAGTTTATGGACTATATTCTCAAGAGCGCAAGTAAATTATTTTATGAATAAACATAATTTTGTACATAAATGTCCAAGAAAATGTACAACAAACAAAAACCTACCCAACTATTTAAGCAATTCTATTAATTAAAGCCTGCAATATAAATCTTAAAGGTGATAGAAACACAAAAAGGCAATTATAATCTAAATGCCCCTTCCTATGAATGTAGTATGTTCAGTTGTACATGTAATTAAATGGTAATTTTAGTAAAAACATCAATGACTTATTTATATGAACATATAAGTAAAATGAGAAAAACTTAAATTCAGTATATTGAGTTTAATGGATACTAAGTCAAACCAATGTATTAATAAAATTATGAAATTAAAAGTATTTATGGTAGGCCATCAAAGCCATACTATTTCAATTTTAAAAAAATATTTAAAAAATTTTTAAAAACCAGACTTTTGGATACAACTAACTTGAAAACATTTCAATAAAATATCAGCTCTATGAGGTCAGGGACTTTTGTTCTTCACTGTCAAATTTCCAATGTCTAAGGAACAGTGCCTGGGTTTTTAGGAAACACTGGGCAAACACTGGTGACTGAATTGATAGCTCATAACACAGGCAATCATTCAAACATCAAGAAAATAAAATATGCTTTCAATGATCCAAACTTTACATTCCTTTAAAAAAAAATCTAACACTGAAATCTTAACATAGTAACAAGTAGAAATTATTCCATACAGCATCTGACAGCAAGGGGAATCAACTTTTTATCAAATAAGATGATAATCTAGAAAATGAGTCTATGCCATCAAATCAGTAAGTAATGACTTCACACAGAAGGCTTATAAAGACTAAGAATTCAGTGGACATCTAACTGAGCACTATTCAATGACTAACCCCATCCATCTCCTTTTAAACTTCAAAGAAACAGTAACAACTAATAGGAGAACAGTACTATTTTGCATGGGGATGGAAATTTACTCATAGAGACTAACACATTTCAAAAGCCAATGAGTTTTGTTAGCCATTTCACAGTATGACAGGTGTTTTTCTTAGCTAGAGTACCCTGTATGTACATTATCAAAATTCCTAATGGTATGCCTATGCAAGATATATTTGTTTAATAAACAAAGATTTAATATTCAAAATCTTTTAGTTCTACATTGACCACTAGTAGACAATACAGAATCAACAGCCAAATGCTTTCCTACAGTCTACAAAACATTTAAACATATTTTAATGTTACATCTAACAATGATTCTATTCTTTAAACCAATTAATAACTTTTTAATTTTTCTAAAAAGGTTTCCAGAGATCTTACAATGTGTTGGGGGGCAGGCGAAAGGGGTATAATCATGCTTGTCCAATTCTATAGTATCTCCTAGTATAAGGCTCATAGAGTGTATTATGCACAAATATCACTTATGATAGGTTCTCTTTCTTCCCATAATTCTTTAACTCAATATGGTTTAAAACCTTCAGTCAAGATTATGAAAATAACCTATATACTATATAACAATAATTTCTGAGCACAAAAATTCAATAATTTCATTTTAAATTAAAGCTTGGTACATAGTATTATTTTTAAATGGAAACAAATTTTCCTTAATTTCACACCTTATAAGGCTTTAAAAAAAAATGAAAGAAACACTGTACAAGATTAGCTTCTAAATGCTTGGGGAGAAAAAAGAAAGCTAGTGTTTTTTTCATCAAGTCAACCCCCAGTCCCAGAAAGTTTGTACCCACCGTCCAGTCCTCTGAAGCTCAGGCCCAGCATGGTGTGCAGCCTCCTTAGGACTCTCACCAGACATGGGTGCAGATTCAGCAAATACAGGAATCTTTCTCTTTTCCTGAATTTCACAAAACACATCTTCAGATTTTATTTTTTAGAAGTGTGATGGTCTCTTAGAAGGAACATCCCCTCATTTGAATTATAACAGTTCATTTGTAGTTCAAGAAAAAAAATGCTTTTTAACGTAAACCTTTTTTATTTACTTTTTGTGCCAGTTCTGGGCTTGATCTCAGGGCCACACACTCAGTTTGGAGTTTTCACTCAAGGCTGGCACTCCACCATTGGAGCCATCATCTTGTGTCTTTTTGCTGGTTAATTAGAGGTATGAGTCTCTCAGGTATGTATGTCCAGAATGGCTTTTCACTTGGATCCTCAGAACTGATTCCTGACCGCTAGGAATACAAGCATGAACTACCAGTGCCCAGCTAAACATCCTTTTAAAAATAAACTACACCTAATAGTAGAATCTAACATTCGTTTCTATTGCCACTTCAAATTTATGGTGAAAAGTTTGCATCTGGTGGCATTAATGTACTATAAAACATTCATACATACCATCTCAAGTAACTACTCTGAAAGTTACAATATAAAAATCCTTCAAACAAGCTTATCTTTGGCCAAAAAGTTTTAAGCACTATTCATGTTAACTACTGAAAAACATATTTTATATTTATTTTTAAGTGTAAATTTTCTTTAATTTTCCCTTGAAGAAGTAGCATGAGTTATTTCTTAAATATGTATTCATAAAAATCAATTTTCCCACTGGGCACCAAGTGGTTTACACCTGTAATCCTAGCTACTCAGGAAGCTGAGATCTGAGGATGGAGGTTCAAAGCCACCCTTGACAAGAAAGTCCTGAGACTCTTATCTCCAATTAACCACCAAAAAGCCAGAAATAGAGCTATGGCTCAAGTGGTAGAGCATAAAAATTGAACAAAAAAGCTCAATAGTGCCCAAGCCTTAAGGTCAAACCCCAACACACACACACACACACACACACACACACACACACACACACACACACACACAGAGGCATGCATGCACGCACGCATGCAGCTTGCAAGCACATACAGATCTTCCCCCTTCATATATAGACAGAGAGTACATGTGTACAGAAATAGCAAGGGGAAAGAGGAAAGGAAAAGAGGAAAAGAAGAAGGAAGCAAACACAGACAAAAGAAAGCCATTGAAGTCAAAGGTTCTGGCAGAACTGCAAACTTATTCAACACGGTTTACATGTACAAGACTCACCTATAAATATAACATTGCAGTTTGAAAATGACCAAAGTAAAATAAAATAATATATTAGAACAAAGGAGAAAGAAAAAATTACAGAATCTTTAAAAAAAAAACAAAAGCAATGGAAAGGATTACATATTACTACGTAAGACATTAACAAGAAATAATCACAAAGGCAGGAATGATGATACATTCCTATAAGCCCTGCCTGAGGCAGGAAGATTAGAGGTTCATGGACAACCTGGGAAATAGAGTGATATGGTATATTTAAAAGGGGAAAAAGGGGTAGGGGGAAGCTATATTTAAGAAAAAAAGAAAAATACCAACTGATATCTCAGCCAGAAACTGTTGAAAAACAAATTACTTAAGAAAAAAAAAAAAAAAAGAGCCAGTGCTGATAGCTCATGCCTGTAATACTGATTACCGTCTGAAGCCAGGCAGAAAAAAAGAATGTAAGACTCCATTATCCATCAAAAAGTAGAAATGGCTGTGTAGCTGAAGTGTCAGAGAGGCACTCAAGAAAAAACACTAAAGAATATTCTCCAGCCTCTGAATTCAAGCCCCAGTATTGGTGCAAAAAAAAAAAGGGTTAAAAAAAAAAAAAAAGAATCTGAGGTAGAAAATAAAACACATTTTTTAAAATGGTAGTCTGAAATAAAACTTAAAATTAAGGTGCCATTTCAAAAGCAGGTCAGATAATTTGCCCATTATCTAAACAACATTAAAGATGAGGTGATCACACAAAGTTGCACAACTCTTTTCAAGGAAATGTAAAACTTGGATGGAATGGGGAATAATATGCTGAGCTGCTCCCCAAGTTGCTGTCTGATTTCCTAATCTCAGAGTACAGCTCTCATTCTCACCTGAGAAGGAACACTTTTCGGTGGCTCAATGCGTATGGAAGGATCCCATTCTCCTGGGGGCAGGACAGTTACTTGATCTAAAAATTCATCAATTCCAGATAAGAGATCATTTCTGTCTTTTGCTTTATAAGCTACATCATGAAAAATCTATAAAGAAAAAAAATGTAACATAAGTATATAATTATATTGTAAATTCATTTTATATAAATAAGGGCATTATAAAGGTAAATAAATAAGTGCAGGTATTCACTTTATCCTGAGAAACAACTATAAAAAGTAACCCTATCAGCTGGGTACTATATTAGCACCATCAGATAAATTAGTAACAAAAACTAAATTAATACTTAGGTATGCTTCACGTGGTAAAGCACTTACCTAGCAAGCTCAAGAGCTCTGAATTCAGTCCCCACTCTCCCTCCCCCTCAAATAAGTAACTGCAAACAAAAAACTGTAACAATTTTAAAAAGTTTTTCACAGGAAATAATTTGTTACTGAATAAAGTATCATGGGATAGCTGGGTACCAGTGGCCTGTAATCCTAGCTATTCAGGAGGCTGAGATACATGGATGATGATTTGAAGCTAACCTGGGCAGACAAATCCTAGATTCATCTCCAATTAACCTACAAAAGCTGGAGATATAGCTTGAGTGGTAGAATGCTAGCCATGAGCTGAAAAAACTGGAGGCCCTGAGTTCAAGATCCAGTTCAGAAACAACACCCCCCTCCCCCCAAAAAAACCCACAAACCTTTCATGTCATTCTATAGCTTTGACATTTAAAATGCTATTTATGCTCTGAAAATAATTGTAAGTATGCAATTTTATTTATTAGTGATTTAATATTTAATAATGACCACTGACTACCTTCTACTAACTAGGAACAATTCTAAGCATTGTAGACAAAAGCAATGGAAATAGGTTAAGGCAAGATCCTTGTACAGAAGAATCTTGTTTGCAAGGGAGAAAGATAAACAAGTTACTAAATAAAAACTTCAGGTCCTGGGTACCAGTGGCTCATGACTATAATCCTAGACACTCAGGAGGCTGAGATCTGAGGACTGTGATTCAAAGCCAGTTTGGACAGAAAAGTCCCCATGAGACTCTTATCTCCAATTAACCACTCAAAAATCGGCAGTAGAGCCCAAAGTGGTAGAGTGCAGAAGAGCTCAGGGACAACATCCAGGCTCTGAGTTCAAGCCCCATGACTACCACCACCACCACCACCACCAAAAACACGCACACACACACAAACTTCAGGTAATGATATAGAAGAAGGAGGTTGCCAAAGGAACATCTCTTAAAAGAAGCAATACTGTAGAGGAGGAAATCTAAACAAAACTGGGGGAGTAGAGGGCTGGCGGGGAGGGGGGTAAGATTGATATGGTAGGGCTGTGCTTTGGTAGAAGGACTATCATTTGCCAATGTGCAGTGGAGAGGTGCAGAAATGAGCATCACACATCTGAGGAACTTTCAGAAAGGAAGCTGTAGTGGGAAGGAAAACCATGGTTCAAGATTTACAACTATTCAAAGGCTAGCCCAGGCAAGACTTCTACTGACAACAGCAGAATTTAAATTTAAATTTCAAAAAACAGGAAGCCATTGGTGCTTTTGAATTCCTTGAAAACACAGGTTTATTGTCAGTATAGAGGGAAAAAACTGGAAGACAATAATAAAAACCACCTGAACAACCAAATCGAGGGAAAGAGAGCCAGAAATGGCAATGTAGATAAAAAGATTAAGAGATTAATATGAAACACACTGAAGAGCTAAAAGCCTCATCATCTGCTGATGGACAGTTGAGAAAAGATAAAGAAATGAGGTCCTAGCTGGGGGTCAGTGGCTCACGCCTAATCCTAGCTACTCAGGAGGCTGAGATCTGAGGATCATTCAAAGCCAGCCCAGGCAGGAAAGTCCGTGAGACTCCTATCTCCAAATTAACCACCAGAAAAAATTCGGAAATGGTGCTGTGGCTCAAGTGGTAGAGCACTCGCCTTAAGCTGAAGAGCTTAGAAACAACCCCCAGGCCCAGAGTTCAAGCCCCATGACTGATCAAAAAAAAAAGAAAAAGAAATAAGGTCAGGTTCAAATAGCCAAAGGATATGGAGGAAATGCCTAGCAAGAACCTGACAAGTCTCTCTATGAAGAAAGTTCTCACCACTATGTTAACCAAGGTCAAATATGAGGTGCCAAAATGTGAAAGAGAAATAGCAAAACTTCTAAGGAAAACCAAAAGAAGCAACATCCTGAAATCTAGCATAGAAAAAAAATTCTACATGGTTAGCCATCTCAAATGTTAAAAAAGATTTAAAATTTAAAATGCACCAATTTTTAAACCTAAGGGATAGGTCTAAAAGACCATAACCAAGACAAATGTTTGAAAAGTAGATATGAAATCAAACAGTACAGAACACCAACCATAATTTAAGCTTCAGCTCTGAATGCAAAGAGAACTACAATCTTACTGCCCCACCTCCAAGGGTATTTTAATTACCTCATCTGTCATTAGAGTAGCTATTGATCTGCCAATTTCATGATACTGTGGAGCCTTGCCTGCTGGACCCAATAACAGAAACAAAAACCTAGGGAAAGATTAAAACACATAAATATAAAAATAAACATCCACACACAAGTTTAGGCTATCATTTTTAAATACAAATTGAATATAAAACCAGAAACAATAGCAAGTCTATTCAGATGCAGAGAATACAAAACTAAGAAAGGCATTCCCAGTTAACTTCCTACACAAAGTTATCACCTTACATCTTAAAAGTTCCCAATCTTCTAGATCTTTTGATTAAACAAATAAATCTGATCTAAGCTGACCCCCAAAGAAGTAACAAGAGTAAAGAAAATAATTATCTCATTAAATTCTTAAATATAATGTCTATTAAATTAGATAAACATAATACACACAAAAAATCTGAAATCCCTCAAATGATCGTTCTGGATAAAGTAAGATTTTTATTTCTAACTATATTTAATATCAAAGCTCTTAGATGTTAAGAACTAAGAGTATTTAAATCTGTGCTTGGCTATATTGCTATTAACACTGTAGTAATATATTAGTATTCAGATTTATCCAAATCTAAAATATCTGACTTTTAGAGACTTTAGATATGAAGCAATTTAACTATTTTTTGTACTTATCTCAAACTACTTAGGTAATTAAAATGTAAAGCCAATTAAAATTAAGTACATATCTAGTAAGCTCCTGATAATTCTTTTATTTATTTTTTTTGTTGATCATGGGGCCTGAACTCTGGGTCTGGGCACTGTCCCTCAGCTCTTCAGCTCAAGGCTAGCGCTCTACCACTTGAGCTACAGCGCCACTTCTTTTTCTGCTTATGTGGTGCTGAGGAATCAAACCCAGGGCCTTATACATGTAAGGCAAGCACTACCACTGAGCCACCTTCCCAGCCCTGCTTCTGATAATTAGTATAGTTACTTTGAGTTTTAAAAATAAGTCTCATTCATAAGTAATCTTCTAATGTTAACAAACTAGAACTGCTCCTCTGTGGCTACTTTTTACCTCATGACTTGCTAATAATTCTTAGGGAAAGTTATTCTGGGAAAATATCCCCAACTTAACTTTCACTTACAATGTACACTGAACAGAAAATTTTCATCATCAGGCAAGAACAAAGCACTTTGTCCAACTCAAAGGAGTTATTACATTCAGTCTTTTGAGATATTCTTATTTTACAAATGAAGCTTAGGAAATTTAAGTGAGATGTGACTCTAGTACTACACGGCACAAACTAGGGGCAGAAAGAAATCGCATTTTCTGACTCCAGTACTTGCATATTTCATTAGAAAGGATGTCTCGAGCGAGGGGGGCTGGGAAGAAACAATGCCCTGGGTTCCGATCCCCAGTAGAAAAACAAATTAAGAAATAAAAATTAACTAAAACAGAAGTTCCTAAATACCAAACTTCTTAAAAGGTGTAAGTACAAAACTTTTCAACATCTTATTTTATATTTTAGTCTGAGGATTGAAGAGAAAATATGCTCTAATAATCAATGAATTTTATTTTAGCACAACGACTAAACATTGACAATTACATGAAGATGTCTGTTCACTCATTGGATAATTTTTTTTTTTAAGTTTGAACATGCCAAGAGAATGTTAATCGAAAGTGATACCTCGTAGGAACAGGGACCTCAGTCAACCCTGAGAGAAGGACAGCAGGAGCCAGTCTCACAAACGCAATTATAGGTCTTTCCAAAAAGTCTACTTCTCCCACCAGAACATTAGATGCCTCTGCTCCAGAAGGAATTTTCCTCATGAAATTCATGTCAACCTGTTGCCAAGTGAGTAATAATTAAAAATGAAGTCTGCCTGGCAACATAAAACTATTTAGAGGGAAACAGGAAAGAAATGCTTTTTAAGATGACTATTTGCCAAACAAAACTTGCTATCTAGAGGGTGTCTAAATACCAAAATTCTCACAAATATAATGACTGGGTAGACAATACAAAGAATGCAAACAGAATTCATTTGTGAATACTAAAGTCCTATCATGATCTTATTACTTCAGAAATCTAAATTATTAAACACACATTTGCAACATTTTTAATATATATAGTACTATTACTCATTAAAATTAAGAACATATAATTCACAGACTAACAATGGTTCATGAAATTATACACAGTACTAGAACACATTCATTTCATGATTTTTTATTATTTAATCATAGATGTGAATCAGTTTTGTTTTTATAAACCCCTTTTTTTAAAAAAAAAACTATAAAACACCCCAGTAGTTTCATTAAGTGGGAAAAAACTGTTATTATTTATGACCAAAATGTATCAATCTTATTAGTTCAGATATGCACTGTCGTAAGTAGAATTTAGTTGTCTGTGTATAATTACAAGGGAAGAGGTTACAAAAACATGACATCTTCATTTATACAGTTTCACACAAGTCACTAAACAACCACTTACAGGGCTATCTATTAAAAATAAAACCAGCACTTACAGCGGGCCTCTTGAGTCCCACACCCAGTGTGCCACAACTACAGTGCCAGGAGGCAGACTCCTGCCCAACAGGAGACAGGGAGGTGTACACAAGGATAGGCCAAGTAAAAAAAAGTAAAACTGTGACAGAGGAACAAAAATCAACGGCAACTGCCATGTTTACAGGAGATCTATAATGTAAATTACAACGATTTATTCATTTATCAAGAATAAACTGCTATTTAGTCATGAACACCTTTTACTGATCTGAAGGAATATACCACTATTAAAATAAGATCAAGTTAGAAGAATTAAAAGTATAACAGTATTTCTAAATAGCTAATATCCATAATGCAAAGCTTTCTACAACTGTAGGGTTTGATGCTTAGCAAAGTATAATACAAAGCATTCAAATTTCCTTTCTGTAAATTAAGACATACACTTTGCAGGACAGTATGTAAAAGGCTTAAAAAGCTAAATTTTGCTTGACATATAACATTAAATGCTAATCCTTACATCTGATTCAAAAATGTTAGAAAAAAAAAAAAAGAATATCCTGTAGCAAATTGTATTTAAGAACATCAATAGCTACACACAATATACTAATTGCTCATAAGAAGTACTCATAATATACTTTAAACTGTTTGTAATTTGAACTTAGTTTTTTTAATTACTTCTTAGAAACGTTTCTTTTCATTTCAACAAAATACTGAACAAACTTCTTGAAAATCAAGTTGCGGTAATTTTAGTTTTTTAACCTATGTCTTTACCAGCACTGACATGTTTCCACATGGCATTCTAGAAATTACTAATACCCTGAAGCAGAAATTCTGAGATTGAAGTATAGCTCAGGAAGAGATGAACACTGGTGCTATCATAGCTTTCCAAGAATTAAGCTTCTTAGTGTAGGTAGCTACAGAACAACGTAGGTCAAAATGTACCATATTATTTATATTCTTTTTTTTCAGAATTACTATAAATAAATATATAGCTATTCAGATACTTTGGACTGTTTCTCCACCCTCAGGTGTAGAAGCACCAGTCAGTCAATATTACAATGTTAAAAAAAGTACAAATTGCTATATTCTCAGTAAGAATGATTATTAAAATATATAATTAAATGACAGAATTTACCTTGCTGAAGTCAACAGTACTGTTTTCTCTGCTTCCGCCACTTCCATTACCTTTCATCTCTCCAGTTTTACTATTGTCCAAGTTTCCAGGAGCAGACTGTGGAGATGCTAAAATACCTGTTTTTAGGAAAAAATACACAATTCTAAATTAGTAAGGTGATGATTTTGTAACCTGAGAGAGATCAAATTCCAAGTGATAGTTTACTATGAAAGCAAATGTGCAAGGTTAAAAACAGTGCCAGGTGTTAGTATCATACCAGCAAACCAAGAAAAGTAGATTAAGCAATGATGAAGAAGCTATTTTTAAGAGCTAAAATAACAGATGGATTTAAAAGAAAAAAAAGTGGCCTTTTTAAGAAAAAAGTGAGCTAATATGAACCACAAGAGATGAAGAAAGACCTCATTATGATTTCCAGGTAATAAGGCCTGAGAATGAATACTTAAGAGAATATACTTTGAATATCTTTAACACACATATGAATTACACTGAATTCAGTAATTACATATCAACTAAATGTAGGATGAATTTATGATAATATAATCATAAGTGTCTTGAAGAACTTTCATTTTCCTTTGGTAGTATTTGTCCATAATGCCTATTACTACTTATACCCCTAAAAACTAAAAAAACTGTAACGTAATTGTAAAAGTTATTTTTGGGGTGTGTGGGTGTGTGGGTGTGTGCGTGCACACGTGTGCACGCACACACGTGCACACACTCACTCCAGTCCTGGGACTTGAACTCAGGGACAAGCACTGTCCCTTAGCTTCTCTGTTCAAGGCTAGAGCTCTACCACTTGAGCCACAGCTCCATTTCTGGCTTTTTGGTGGTTAACTGGAGCTAAAGGCTCAAACTTTCCTGCCCAGACTGGCTTTGAATCTTGATCTTTAGCTCTCAGTCTCCTGAGTAGAGCTGTACAGCTATAGTGTCCCACTTTTAGCCATGCAATGAAGTAGTTCACTCAGCTTCTATGAATAATTGCTGTGTGGATTACAAATGTGAATATGTTCATGTATATTCAATTCAGTTGAATAGTAACATTTCACAATAAAATAACCTAAAACTCCAGAGTTAGCATATGACCCACAGTAGCTACTACAAATTCTGTAAAATGTTTAAATCTCAAAATTTTAGAAGTACTAACACACAGTTCTAGCAAGATGTTCTACTCTAAGAATATAAACTAATATTTAAAACACAGTATCATAAGGAAAATGGCACTGACACATACTACCATCTAGTGATTCACAGGACTCCAATGAAGTTAGTTACTGTGGTTACACCTTATAATCTCATTATAATGCCATCAAGCCCCAGAATGTCATATTTGATACATCTAATAGTAACTTTTGCACATTGAGTAAGCATGAATAAGTTATTAAGAGCCCTCCTTTTCTACTTTTGTCCCTAAAATTCAGGAATAACGTGTGTTCCTTACATGAAGAAGCATGAATGGGTATCATGGATAGGTTTCCACCCATCGTCACACTAAACAGAGAGGCCCTGGTGGCAACTGCAAACTGCATGGTATACAATTCTGTTAAAATGTGTTCAACTGGTGGATATGTGATGGGATGTATTAGATATAGTTGTCTAGAATAACCCAGCTACCAGATATGAAAGAAACAATGAAATGAGGATAAGGCTATGAGGGAAACTAATACATGTTAAGAATGGGAAGAAGAAACAAAATGAAAATAATGACTGTGCTACAGTGACTTATTTAGGTAATTTGATTATACCCTGTTACTTTCCAAAACTAGCATGGCCCATGACTGTGAGTGTTCCAACATCATCCTGTCTACTCCTTTCAATTCCCCTCTTAAAGTTGTTTATGTAGCCAGCAAAGCAAATATTCCTGATCCTGTAACCAAGTCCTAAGTAACCTAGAACTAAAAAGACATGCTATTGTATATAAAAATAAAACCAAGAAGATTTAAAAATATACTCTGAAGCAAGATGTGATGGTGGATACCTGTAATCCTAGCACTCAAAAATCTGAGGCAGGGGGGCTGGGAAGGTGGCTCCGTGGTAGAGCGCTTGCCTTGCATGCATGAGAACCTGGGTTCGATTCCTCAGCACCACATAAACAAAAAGAAAAAAGCCAGAAGTGGCTCAAGTGGAAGAGCGCTAGCCTTGAGCTGAAGAGCTGAGGGACAATGCCCAGGCCCAGAGTTCAGGCCCCACGACTGGACCCAAAAAAAAAAAAAAATTTTTTTTAAATAAAAAATAAAAAAAATCTGAGGCAGGATAATCACAAGCTCAAGACCAATCTGCCACACTTAGGTGAGATAATGAATTAATGAATGAATGAATGCTGTTTAACATCCTACCAAGCACAAGGCTATGAAACAGCCTTCTCTCACGAATGATTATACTTCAAAGAATAGGAAAATACTACTTTCTATTTTAGTGTGTAAATGCACAACTTCACAGACCCAAGTCCATGATAGCAGCCTCTCCAAATGTGCAAGTCACTTGCCTCCCTCCTCAAGGTTGTATCAGGCTGCAAGGTAATTTCCTTAGACTTCCTAAGTATTTTAAGCATCAAAAGTAATTTAAAAGACTACAAAAGGAAATGTACTTATTACCTGACTCATGTTATTGTAATCCCTCCATCACCTTTATAATAACAATAAAGTAAATTATTTTTTTTTTTTGGTTGGTCGTGGGACTTGAACTCTGGGTCTGGGCACTGTTCCTCAGCTCTTCAGCTCAAGGCTAGTGCTCTACCACTTGAGCCACAGTGGCACTTCTGGCTTTTTCTGTTTATGTGGTGCTGAGGGTGGTTTCGTGTATGCTAGGCAAGCGCTCTATCACTGAGCCACAATCCCAGGCCCTAAATAAGTTAATTTTATCCAAGGAAATGAAAAAAAAAAAAAAAAAAAAACTTGATACTGCTGATTATTTCTGAGCAGTTACTTGCAGAGTTTTCTTTTCTTTACAAATTTGATGCATTTGCAAAATTATTATACTACCAAGCTGGAAATATTAGAAAATCAGCAAAGTACCTGTAACATTGTGCCTGGAACTAGAAAACAAGTAAAGCTATCACTACAATCATAATATATGATCCAGAGAAAGTTAACTTTTCTTTGCTTTTGAATGAACATAGATAGATTTATCTAACTTACACAGATTTGTAAATACAATAAACACATCATTTAATAACTAAGCTGCCACTGATGTATAAGATAATATACTGAGAGAAATGTTAAATCGTGACTAAAACCACTAGTTAGCATTAGTACACATTATACTGATAGGCTGTAATACAGGCTAAAAGTACAAGTCACTGAATAATCCTTTCTTTATACAAATTAGGTAGTAAGATAGACATATAAATGTTCGTATCATCAATGTATAAGGGAGAGAGCCACAATTACTACAATTTATAGCCCTTAAATGAAGAAACCTTTCCACACTAGGAAATGATTTTTGCGTCTACAATAGAAAATTTACTGTAGGAATTCTGGTAGTGGAAAAGTTCAAAGAAAATGTGGGTGAAAAGACTAGTAGGGCAATAAATAAAGAGCAATTAATGCCTATCCCAAAGTATACTGTTAGCCTTAATAATTCCAGGTAGATGATCAAAACAAAAAACAAAAAAACAGAAAAAGAATGTTTTCCTCTATCAGGAAGGCTTAAAATGTACTGCATTCTTAGAGAAAAAAAGAAGCAAACAGACAAAATGCACATCACCTATCTTTATATACATACATGTATTCATATTATGAGTGAAGTTCCCAAGAAAAGCCACTATTTTAAAAAAGAAAAAAATCATAGCAATTAAAGCAGTATAAAAATTTGTTTTGTGAACTATTCAAACCTTCTAAAGTTCCAGTGAAATTTTTTGAAAGGGATTATATATGTCTTCTTTGTAGTCTTAAATTTAAAATGACTTGTTCAATACATATATAGGGGGAAAAAAACATGCAAAAGTCAAAATAAATTATAAGCATTATCTACATATGCTGCTCGGGTTATGTGCTGAAAGGCATTCCAAGAGCAAGTGGCCAAAGGCAGAAAGCACCACACGTGGAGGGTTGGACAGTTGCCTGGTATTAGGTCAACATTTTCCTCTTTCTTCTGCTCCTGGCCTTTCAGGGCTTCTACGTCTTCCTCAGGCGGATGAATGACTACCGTGGGAATATCATCACTGGCAGGTGACACTAGTAGTTCTGGGGGCTGAAGCTGACTCTGCGGGGAACTTCTGGAGTTCAGGCGACTGATGCTAGGGCTGGAAGGAGGGCTGTGCTGAGGGGTGGGTACTGGGGTTGTACACCTCGAGCCTGCAGGGGTTCCAGCTCTTGAAGAAGGAAGAAGATGACTGAGAAGAAGAGATAGAGGCGATTCTCCTCTCAATGAAAGGTTTGAGGCAGAGAGACCCGTTCGTAAAGAGTGGCGGGAGGCTGAAAGGCCTTCCCCTGAGATAAAACAAATAAATGAAAAATGATGAAGTTCACTGCAAAAGTGAAAGAGACATACATACACACACACACACACACACACACACACACACAAATCACTCAACTATAAATCACAAGTTTTAAGGCCCACAATTTCAAATTCATGCGGTGAAGATGTTAACAGAATTTTTAAATGTTAGAAGGTTACTGCAAAGTTATATAAACTGTAATTCTTCCCTGAATGAATAAAAAAATGAATAATAAAAAAACACCAAGCCAGGTATGATGAAACATGATTGTAATCAAAATTAGGTAGAAAATAGAGGTAGGAGGTTAACAAATTGAGACCAGCCCAGGCAAAAATGTGAGATGCTCTAACTGAAAAACGAAGGCAAAAGAGTTGGAGATATGGCTCAAATGATCAAGTGCTTGTGCCTAACAAGCTAAAGGCCCTGAGTTCAAACCACAGTATTGACAAAATAATAAAATTAAAATCAGATGGCAGGCGACTATCTGTATTCTGCTAGAAATTAGAACGACCAATTCTGTAGCATTTTTACAAAGACCAAAATCAATATAAAGTTACTGCTAAATAAATTCAAACAACATAAAATAATGTTAAGAAGTAGAAAGAACCCTAAGCAAATTTACCAGTACTGAGTTTATACTGAATATAATTTTCTTACATTGTACCAAACTGCTACAAGTAATTACCTCTCATAAGAAAAATCCATATTATCATTATCTAAGAATTTCTAGCTTAAAGCTGGTATTAAAATTTAATAATATTGGAAATGGCACTGTGGCTCCAAGTGGTAGAACTCTAGTCTTAAGCAAAAAGAGCTCAGGGACAGCACTCAGGCCCTGAGCTTCAAGCCCAACAACGGACTATATATATATATATGTATGTATGTATATAATTAATAGGGTTGAGTGGGTTCTCAAAGTTAAATTACAGGAATTTTTATAAAGAGGATTACAATGTCAATTTTGAAAAATATACAGACCTCTGATGGTACTCATTAGTAAATGACCTAGCCAAAAATGGTCGTACATGCCTGTAATTCCAACATTTGGGAGGCTCTCAAGGACTGAAAGTTTGAAAGAGCCTAATGTATATAAAAAGCTTCAGGCCAGCCGGGCGCTAGTGGCTCACGCCTGTAATCCTAGCTACTCAGGAGGCTGAGATCTGAGGATCACGGTTCACAGCCAGCCTGGGCAGGGACTATGAGACTCCTATCTCCAATAAATCACCAGAAAACCGGAAGTGGCGCTGTAGCTCAAGTGGTAGAGCGCTCGCCTTGAGCTGAAGAGCTGAGGGACAGTGCCCAGGCCCAGAGTTAAAGCCTCACGACTGACCAAAAAAAAAAAAAAGCTTCAGGCCAATCGGTTATATAGCCAGACGTTGTCTCAATAATGAACAGAATAATAAGAATAAACTGGGCATTAGTAGCCCACACCTGAAATCCTAGCTACTCAGGAGGCTGAGATCTGAGGATTGCTGTTTGAAGCCAGGCCACACAGGAAAATTTTCAAGATTCTTAGCTCCAATTAACCACCAGAAAGCTAGAAGTAGAGCTGTGGCTCAATTGGTAGGACTAACTACCCTTGAGCAAAAAAGCTCAGGGACAGTTCCTAGTCTAGAATTCAAGCCCTAGTACTGGAATAATAATAATAGTAATAATATTATGCCTATCTCACATCTATAATACAAGGTACCCAGAAGGCTGAGGTCTAATGGATGGGGTTCAAAGCCAGCCCAGAAAGAATCGTCCAACAGCAAAACAACAAAAACAGAGATGGTGTTCTACAAGTGGTAGAACACCATCAAAACAAAATGAGCAAGTGTCAGTCTCTGAGCTTAAACCTCAACACCAGCAATATTATTATTATTATTAATAATAAATCTTAAAAGTATACTTCTCATATACTTTTTTGATGTTTTCTAAACCATCAAATCCTTTTAAGTAAATACAAACCTCTGAATAAGCTAGGTAAAAAAGCATTTCACACATAAGAGCAAAACAACTAAATTTAGCAGGTTTTAAAAGTCATGCATACTTTGACACACACCACTCAATTTCATTATTAAGTTTCATTATTAAGGAATAATATTGTCTTTTCAGGTAAAACATGAGAAACACAAGAAATATTCAAAGCAACATGTTCAAAAGATCCTAGAAATATTAAAAATATGAACCTTTAAACCATAATCATCATTTACTTAAAAAACTAATTACATGCAGAAAACTTATTAAATTGCAACTATAATACAACAAAACAAAATGATATCAACTATATTGCTCAAGTGGCAGAGTGCTTGCCTAGCAAGAGCAGGGTCCTCGGTCAAAATCCCCAATACTGGGGAAAAAAAAAAGAAAAGAAAAGAATCATGATTAAAGAGAAATTGAAGAATTTTAATAATGGTTTAACATGGTTCCTCTGGGTAATTCCTTTTACCAAGGGGAAAATATAAAGTAAATCAAAGATGAAAAAGAAAGTTAAATTGTGTCATTGAAACTGGCTTTTAAATTAAATTTAGATGCACAGAGACTTTTATTCTTCAGATTCCTTAAATATACCAATTTACAATTTTAAAGCTATTTTATAAAAAGACTTTCAAGATCAAGTGGTCAAAGTAAGTATGTTACACTGAGCTGCAAATGATTACTGTCAACTTTGATTACATTAAATCCTATCCATCTATGGCTATTTGATTATACAATACTTAAAAGACATTCAACTGTTTTGGGATCAGAGAAGAACAGAAAGAAGCCTTGCCCCATACTATACTTATCACTGAAATATGATTGGTAACAGTGGTGACCGGAGGCAACAGTGACCTCCTAAGCTACTCTAATGCTCTGCACCTGCATTTTCCAGGTTCCCTATCAACATAGCACTCCTTGGGAGCCAGAGAATCCAGTGATATATTCCTCTGTGTTAGACCCAAGTGTACAAGCCCTGAGAAATTAATAGAGGTATATGGCTATAAAAACAATCTTCTCAAGTCCCATATACCCTGCCACCAACTCATACTCATGAGAACAGCGAAGAGCTAGAGTCAGTGACTTTGGAGTCTGAGTCATTTTCAATCAGCTGAAAAAGACATTACTTTGGTGTAAGATAGACCATTTCATAAAAACCTTTCATAAATTTATGTAAAAAGAAATAAAACTGACAGATTTATGTGGCTTACACCTGTAATTCTATCTATTCAGGAGGCTGAGGTCCAAGGATCAAAGCCAGCCCAAGCAGAAAAGGCCCTTAAGATTCATCTCCACCAGAAAGCCAGAGGTAGAGCTACGGCTCAAGTGGTAGAGTAGTAGCTTGAAGCAAAAAAAACTCAGGGACAGTGCCCAGGCTCTGATTTCAAGCCTCAGGACTGACACATACAAAAAAAAAAAAGAAGAAGAAGAAGAAGAAAAGGCAATAAAATCACAAAATGAACCCCAAAATATCCTTTCTATGCCTGAGAAATACACTAGATTCAAACCTAAGATTTATTATTTTTAATGTGTATTTTTATGTAATTGATCCCAAACCCCAAGTAAATCCAAAAACAAATAACCCTGAATAGACACAAAAATTCAGAAGTACAAGACAGTGACTATGTTTAACTGTTACTTAGAAACTACTTTGTGCCATTTTTAGTAACAGCAGATGCTTTTCTTCAGTGATTTCTATACATAATGTTTAATGGAAAATTACCTTATGCCTATCTGTAATCCCAGAACTTAGCAGTATGAGTTCTAGAACAGTCTGAGCTACAGAGTAAGATCATGTCTCAAAAACAGAAAAATAAACTAACAAAGATACAAATATTTCAGAAATAACATTCTTAAAACAGAAGGTCAGAATGACCCAGAATATCTTTCTTTCCTCAAATATTGGTGGCAACACACTGCAATGTTGTTAGAAGAATGTTAGCAGAAACTAGACGCCACAACTTATCTCACCATTCCTTTCAAGCAAGTGAGGGTCAGAATGTTTCTTGCCTATATCTGCAAAAGATCGAACAAGAGGAATTCGACTGGTGAATCTTTTCTCGTTTTGGTGGTGATGTCTCTTCAGGAGAGCTTCTCTAACATTCTCTCTTATGGTCTCATCTAACTGGCCAGAGGCTATCATGTTGTCCAATACCATATCTAATCAAAAGAAAAAATAATTTATTGTTAATAAGCATAGAAGTAACTGAACAATTCTGATGAAAACCTTGACAAAAATAGATCATTAGCTCTAGAAGTAATATATTCTCCAAATATTGAATGGCATGCATAAATACTATCTATCCAAGAAAAATAAGACTAATAAATATCATATTAATGAAGCTGTGATTATATATTAATGGCTTCTTACAGTTAAAAATATGGGAGCAATAAATTTTACTAGCTAAAAATTCAAAATTATGGGCTTCCTAGGTTGTACAGTTGTAGTAGATGAATACCAGAAACCATGTATTCAGTCATTAGCTCGTTAATGATCGCTTATTATGTGCTAGGAATGAGGCAGTTAAAGTACAAAAGTTTATTCTCTTCTAGAGTTGGAAAAAAAAAAGAGCAAATAGATAAAACATTATAAAGTTCTACAAAAAGCAATGCATAGGGGCTGGGAAGGTGGCTCAGTGGTAGACTGCTTGCCTTGAATGCATGAGGTCCTAGGTTCAATTCCTCAGCACCACATAAGCAGAAAAAGTCAGAAGTGGCGCAGTGGCTCCAGTGGTAGAGTGCTCACCTTGAGCTGAAGAGCTGAGGGACAGCGCCCAGGCACAGAGTTCAAGCCCCACGACTGACCAAAAAAAAAAAAGCAATGCATAGCCGGGCATCAGTGGCTCACACCTGTAATCCTACCTACTCAGGAGGCTAAGATCTGAGGATAGTGGTTCAAAGCCAGCCCAGGCAGGAAAGTCCGTGAGACTCATCTCCAATTAACCACTAGAATACCAGAAGTGGCGCTGTGGCTCAATTTGGTAGAACACTGGCCTTGAGCTGAAGAGCTGAGGGGAAGCACACAGGCCCAGAGTTCAAGCCCCACAACCGACCAAAAAAAGAAGCAATGCATTAGATTGTAACAGAAATGGAGGAAATGAAAATAAATGCTCTTATCATTGTGTACATACCATACATGTACAGACAGGTACTGGTGGCTCATACCACCCAAGCATAAAAGACCCTGATCCTGGTGAAACCCCGGACCTTGCAGTCTACCAATTGAACAATATAATATCCTCAGCCCTTTTAGAATTTGTTTGAAGGATAATTTTCACAACTATGATAGATTACTCTGAAAGAAAACGAAAAGAACCAACCTAATAGGCAAACTAAAATAGTAAGGCAAAAACGACAGTTTAATAGAGAAAGAATACCAAACCACACATCATTTACGAAAAGCACTATATTGTTTTGCATGAAAACTAGAGCCCAAGTAAGGTTCATGTCTGCCTTCAATACTCCTAATTCAAATTTTCAGTCACTTTTGTGAAGAAAGAAACTAAAAATTTAAAGATTTGCAATATAGTCAATTCTAACAATCACATAAAATTCAAAGGTTTCTAGCCTGGGATGAAGAAAGAGGGAGATTGGGAGAAAAAAAGAAAGCCAACATGTTAAACTCATGCTTTTGGATTAAGCAATTTTAGTGGTCTAATCCAAATAACCCTCCTCAAGTCTCTCTCCTTCATTTCTATTGCTATAACTGACCACAGATCAGGTCATCTTCATTTCTTGTTTATACTATTCCCAAGACTATTTTAAATCCAAAGCCACCCTAACATTCAATGGCAAAATAGTCCTCATGAAGTATACCTCAAGATGATTACTCACTAAATTAAAAACAAATAATCCTGCCATCTACCAAATAAAATTATTCAATATTACTCACAATCTCTCTTTTCTTATTTTCCAGCACACCTCACACTGCTACTCAAGAAGTCTGTATACTCCCATGGAACTGAATGTCCTGAGAGTCACCTGTCATTTTCTAGACTTTCCTTCTCACTGTGCCTCTCCTTAGAACACCTTTTTTTCTCTTGTACTGCATGCTGCCTTTTATTTACCTTGTGCTCAGATTTTATGAATAAGCTGTACAATTAATTGTCTATGGACCTTCACTAGGCACCACGGTCCAAAAATCAAAGAAACAAAAAACTCTGTTCCCTAAAGTTCCAGTGAACCATCTCTTATTCCAAAGAACCATAGTTGCTTATGGTACCAGTCTCTTTTTTATATTATTTCTAAATATTGGTAAGCGTCTACATTCTAGTCTCAAAGCTCCATCACAGGCAAAAATCCTATGTCTGTCCTCACTCTGCACCTGCAATGAACACAGATGTCACACAATGTCAAAAGAGCACTTTATTTCTTTAACTATCTCTAAAATCTTGGTAAAGCTTGCATGTAAAAATTTATTATACCTGCTATTTCATCTAGAGTGCTCGCTCTCATGTCCAGCATGACTGTGCCATTTAGGATGCAACTCCGTAGTTCAAAAAGACTGTGCAAAGAAAGAGTTGCCACATAAGGTTTACTCCACCGGTCACCACCATCTTCTACATCCTCTTCAAACTTCAGCCATCTAAATAAACACAGAAAACATTTTATAAATAATATTCCAACTACTCCCTTTAACATAACAAGCATAAGTTACTTAAAAAGAAATAAAAACTCACCAGCATAACCAAGCATAACTTATTTAAAAATAAATACAAAGTCACAAATTTGTTAAGACAGGTTGTAAACCTACTTCCACAAACTAGGCCAATGCTCTACACTTATTTTAAGCTAGTAGAGTGAGCATATAAAAACAGAATTATACTGCTTTATAGTTTCTACAATAATGTACTTCCTCTTATTCATATTAAGTAAAAGCATTTAAGTTAACAGGACAAATCTGGGAACTGATAGAAAAAGATAAAATTTCTAGGCAATGACAAGGAAATTCTTCAGTTTTAAAAACAGGTATATCTCATACTTTCAATTTAATATTCTCATCACCAGCATAAACAAGGAAAGCCAACTTCAAGTAGGTACAAATGTCAGCATAATTAATTACCTGGCAGTTTCTTTCCATTCATATTCTTCTCCATCTCTGTAACACAATTCATCCATTTCCGTGAATAGATCATGGGGAATGTGTTCCTCGTCGTCATCCTCAGTACCAAGAATAAACTGAACTCTCTGGGATGGTGTGTCTGAACAATATGAAATTTAAATAAACTCTTAGATTTTCTTTACCTGATTGCAAGATAAAGGCAGTTCTGAAAATAAAACATTTGTTATAAGGAAATACATTTTACCAAAACTTCAGTTTTTAAAATATTGTAATCTTGGGGCTGGGAAGGTGGCTCAGTGGTAGAAGCGCTTGCCTTGCATGCCTGAGGCCCTGTGTTCGATTCCCCAGCACCACATAAGCAAAAAGAAAAAAGCCGGAAGTGGAGCTGTGGCTCAAGTGGTAGAGCGCTAGCCTTGAGCTGAAGAGCTGAGAGACAGCGCCCAGGCCCAGAGTTCAGGCCTCAGGACCGGACCCAAAAAAAAAAAAAATAAATAAAATAACATATTGTAATCTGGAAGAAAAATCAGGCCCAGCAATAAAGACAGAAAACAAAATTTGTTGCCCTAAAATTTTAAATCATATTGAAATAACATCTCACCATTTATAGAGGCCAACAAACAGAATATGAGAAGAGAATAAATGAGCGATGAGAAGGAATGACCGAAGGAAAGGGCAGATCTAAGCAAATTACACAAAAATAGAAAGGCAAGATGGGGGAACGGCTAAATGATACTTAAATTATTCTTAACTTTCTGATAGTCTACTTAGATTATACTGACAGTAGGACTAAGTGATTGTCTCACTCAGTGTACAGTCCAGACTGGCCTGGAATTCATGATCCCTCTACTTTGTGCAGCCTTCTCAAACAGCCACTGTACACTGCTAAGCTAATTAATTACTGATCTTTCTAAAAGCCCACATTTTGGTCTGACAGACATGTTACTGTGTTTTTGGTATGACACAATTTTGTTTGATTTTTGACTCATTTTCCTTGAGTTAAATTTTCTCTACTTTACTCCGTTTTCTTAAATTGGAAGCTTAAATCACTGATTCTCAACCTTACTTTTCTAATACAACTTTTTCTCATCCTTTTGCACACTACAAATGAAACAGTGTCATTTTGCAAGACTACCTCCATTACTTGCCTATACTGTGTTTTTATTTTCAATGAGTTCAACATACTTTCTAACTGCTGTCATGATTGTTTCTTTAACCTGTGATTATTGAGATCCTGCTATACTATTTGGGTTCCCCTCTTTAGGTTATAGCCTAAATCAGATTCTGGACAGTAAGGTCATAAGATTTATTTTACTTCCAAGCTGCCTGCAGTCCATCCAACATGTGTAACTATTGTCTCACAGATAATAGTTTTCCAAGTATTTTTTTTTTTAATGGAGGGCAGTTCCAAACCTCAGTTATAATATAAATATATCCGGGGCTCTCATGTACAACCTTGAGACTGTAGTTAATAACAATGGATTATATACTTAAAATGTGTTTAGTAATTACATCTTAAGTGTTTCTGCCACATACAAAACAAAACATCTGGTAAGACAAGTGTATTAATTAACTTTATAATGAGTAGTCATTTTACAATGTAGCATACCCTAAGTATATACTTCTTATTTATCAATTGTACCTCAGAAAAGCTGAAATTTGTGGTGATGTAGAACCAGAGGAAAAATAGAAAAATTAGTAAGGAAAATAAATGGAAGGGAAAATTGAATTCCTGTTTGCCACCTCATCTTGAAGCATGATCTCTTCTTTAGAAAAAAGAGGAAGTAGTAAGAGACACCATTCATTGCACTTTCTATGTCACAAGTTCATAGCTAATTAAGGCCAAATTAAATCCACTTCAGGAACACAGATCCTTTTTAGGTTTATTCCATTTAAAAAGTCAAATATTTTGAACATTATTTTTAAATCATTATATTATGTCAGAAATATACTCACTTCCACAAACACTCTTCTAGTTTCCTAAACAGTTTCATCTATAAAAATATTATGTACCATTAGAAAATAAAAGTCAAGTATGGTGGTTCACATCTGTAATTCCAGCTACCTTGGAGGTAAATGAGCAAGAGGATCATGGTTTGAGTACAAGCTGGGGCAAAGTTAATGAGGACCCATCTTAACCAACAGCTGGTTAACATGATACCCCAGCATCATGGGAAGTATTCATAGGAGGATAGCTGCAATCCAGGCCAACATGAGAAAAAACTAGACTCTAAACCCAAACTAACTGAAGCAAAAAGTGCTAGGGTCCAGATCAAGTGGTAAGATTGCTTAACTGGCAGGTTTAAGGCCCTAGGTTTTAACTCCAGCACTGCAACAATAATTAATTTTAAATTTTAAAAAAAGCATTTTCTCTTTATCTTCTCTCTATATAGAAATGCCTGCTTTTTCTTTCTAATTTTTACTGTCACTCGTCTATTTCTAGGTTTAGATAATGAGGTAATGAGGATTAAACATTGGGTCTCACACTTGCTAGATAAAGTGTTATGCCTCAAAAGGTTAAGATCCACCTCAAAAATAACCAGAGCAGAAAAGGTCGTAAGGGTGTAGTCCTGAATTCAAACATTAGTACTCACCACCCCTCTCCCCCAAAGAACAAAAGCATTCAAGCCTTCCAGGAATATTAGTATTATTCACATGCTTCTTTAACACGTAAGTAATAAGAAATATAACTGAGGGGCTGGGAAGGTGGCTCAGTGGTAGAGCACTTGCCTTGCATGCATGAGGCCCTGGGTTCCATTCCTCAGCACCACATAAGCAAAAAGAAAAAAGCCGGAAGTGGCGCTGTGGCTCAAGTGGTAGAGCACTAGCCTTGAGCTGAAGAGCTGAGGGACAGAGTTCAGGCCCCACGAACGGACCCCAAAAAAAAAAAAAAAAAAAAAAATATATATATATATATATATATATATATAACTGAAACTTTCAGAGATAAAAATCCTAAAAACCTTAAAGTTCAATAACAAAAACCAACTTTTAACAATGCTAAAGCCTGAATGTAATGAAGGATTTTTTTCCCCCACATATACCAAGAAGATCTTAATCTAGTTACCAAATGTTTTTCTTCTTAGAAAAAAATTTTTAGTGTATGCCTACAATGCCAGCATTTGGGAGGCTGAAGTGGGAGGATTTTGGTTCAAAGGTAGCCTGGTTCTACAGCAAGATTCAACCTCAAAAAAAAAAAAAAAGGAAGAAAAAAATGACTTTAATTGGTATACCCCAGTGTACATAATGTGCACAAATTACTACAGATTTACAATTTCATAAATATTAGAAAAATTTTAACCTGTTATCAAAAGAGCAATTATTTTCTCTCACCATAAGAAGGAGATTCTCGCCCATCTTCTCTATCTGATTCTTTATCTTTTCTTTTCCGGTGATGATGCCTATGTCCCCGATGCCTGTGGCGCCGACGACTCTCTTTACTAAAGGGTACATGAACACCAATGTACACAGCTCGATGACCTATTAAAAATATAAGAATGGTTTTCCAAGAGGGAAAAAAAAAACCCTATGAAACATGAATGGTTTTCCAAGAAGGAAAAGCAGTGTTCTGAAATATAGCAAAATTTACTCTAACAAAATTATATATTAGTTCATGTAATTAACAATGGTGAACTCTAGTTTCTTATTTTACAGAGCCCTATACAGAGTTGGAGATGTGGTTCAGTGGTAGAGTATTTGCCTAGTATGTGTGAGGCCCTGGCTTCAATCCTCTGTACCACAGTGGTTATGCCGAGGTATCATATCATAACTGTTGATTATGATTATTAGATTACTGATATAAGTATTAGATTACCGATACTAGTTACTGATGTAAGTATTTGTATTTACTTCTAAAACACATTTTGAGCCAGGTGGTAGTGGCTCAGCTGAGAGCTGCGAATCATGGTTCCAAGCCAGCAGCCAGGAAGGAAATTCTGTTAGACTCTTATCTCCAATTAATCACCAGAAAACCAGAAGCTCAAAGTGGTACGGCGCTAACCTTGAACAAAAATGCTCAGGGACAATGCCCAGGCTCTGAATTCAAGCTCCACAACTGACAATAAATGAATGAATGAATGAATGAATGACATTTTGAAAAGAAAGACCCATTTAAAAACAATACTATACAGATATAACTTTATTTCATCTACATATTGGCCAATGCTAGTTACTAGACACCCAAAAGACATGCTTTAATGTCGACTGGCTACTTCACTTTATGTATGCCACATAATAATATATGTTTACTTACCATTTTTTTGAGTTTGAGTTTTTAGAACAAGGTCTAAACTATAAGGGTATTAAATGGGAATGATTCAAATATGCCAATTAGAAGGTAGAGAATTCAGAGTAGATAAAAAGGAATGCAGTAAGTATTGTATACTTTTAGAATAGACTTCTGGTATTACATTATCTTGACTGTATCTGCATAACAGCAACTGAAAATAGCAAAGGCATTTTAAATGAAAATGCATTTAAATGAAATGCCCATTTAAATGAAAATGCATCATGGAACTAGTTAGCAGTACTATGTCAACTACAGAGAAAAGAGAACTTGATTTCCTTAAGTGGTTTAAAATGCATCTCCTAATTGAGTTGTACTTAATAGAGATATATTACAAGTTCGATATATACAATACAAAATATATGCTACCAAATGTGTTTTTTGCCTTTATATACAAAATAAAAAGGCAATGTGAAGTTAATGATCCTTTTTTTCCTGTCTAATTTACTAAGACAGTCAGAAAAAAATACTTGCAGAAGCTCTTCCAGGCTGGCTTGGAATTCACAATCCTCTGCTTGCTGGGATTACATAAGCACACACTACTACATCTGGCCTCTTTAGAAGGGATTGGAAACTACATTCATCAGCATCATTCCCTGACTTCATCCGAAAACTTGTTGAGTCACTAAAAATCTCATTGTAGCTCCTAAGTCAATACTCAACACTCCTAAAGATTTTAAGGTCATCAGAAACTTGCAGAGAAGCAGAATTTTTTAGTTGCCTGTAGCTCATATTCCAGTTTAGAGGAAACAAGAAGTTACTGATGTCTTTTGGTCTCAAGTAGCTAATATATAAATATAGTAAATAAACAACTTTTAAAAGAGGTCTAGACTTATGGAAACTCACTTAACTAAAATTATTTGTTTAAATGTTTCCAACTACCTAGTACCCTCCCTAGCAAATATCAAGTGATTCATTAGGAAAAAATTTCACTAGAAAATCCAAGGATAAAAATGAATTGTACAGGGTTTCTTTGTGGGATAACAAAAATGTTTCTAAAATTAAGAGTACTGCTGGCCTCCTAACAGAATGTAGGTAAGCAATGTGTGCACTCTTTAAAATGGTGAATTATATTTCAATAAAGAGAACTATAATAAAACTCAAGTGATTTCACAACTTTCAGCACATCAAGAAAAGAAGAAATAAAGGGTCAAAATACTGAATTGTAAAGCTGTTACTCCAATTAGCACTAATGGGTCTTGGCACACAAGCCTCAATGAACGAAGACAAAAATAAATTTAATGCACTTGCATTTCAAAAAGGCTATATGTAGGAATATACTAGAATCCAAAGAACAGGGGAACAAGGCTTGTTTTCTCTGCTCTTATTTATTATGTCTTTATTATCCTTTATTATAACAGTCCTTTTTTCTAGAAGACCTAGTAAGCTCAGACTTAAAAAAGATTTTTAAAGTCAGTTAAAAAAATTTCAGCATCTGGGGCTGGGAAGGTGGCTCAGTGATAGAGCGCTTGCCTTGTGTGCCCCCGGGTTCCATTCCTCAGCACCACATACACAAAAAAAGCCAGAAGTGATGCTGTAGCTCAAGTGGTAGAATGCTCACCTTTGAGCTGAAGAGCTGAGGGCCAGCACCCAGGCCCAGAGTTCAAGCCCCATGACTAACAAAAAATAAAATAAAATAAAATTCATCATCTACATGAGAACTCCTATGTTCCCTCTATCTCCTTAAAAGCAACAAAGTAACAGCTTCCTATAGGTTTAGTTCTCACAGATGTTAATACAAGATGTGTTCCTAGAAAGACCTAAAAACGTCTATCAAAAACTTTGCCATCAACAACCACACCTCACAAAAGTGCTCAATATTAATCAATATTACATATTGCTACTCTATAGTATTATGTCACATCCACAGAGCCACATGTGAAGATGGGCACATTGTGTCTACTGTGTGTCCTGAACACTCAAGACAGATCAAAACAGACCTTCACTCAAGTTATCTTTCCACTACTCTTTAAGTGTCATGAAAAAACAAGCAAAGAATAAGAAACTTATGGATTAGAGGGGAACAGAAGATAAGATATAAATGTACTCTCAGAACTTGAACTGGGAAGTCCAGTTGTGTCTCAAGTAGTACAGTGTCAGTAGTATAGTGTCATCTTAAGCAAAAAAATGAACAGTACCAGAACCCAGAGTTCAAGCCACACTAAAAGCAAAATACATACTAACATACTTACTTACCTTAAAAAAAAAAGAAAAAGAAAAGCCACTTCTGAATTCCAAACAAAATTAGCAACTTAGTAAAACAATTAACCAACTGATAATTAATGTTAATTTCTGTATTTTTATAATTGTAAGTTGAATACAAAGCTAATAATGTTCTTCACATTAGGAGACTGAAAGTATATACAGAAATTTTTTGTACTATGTTTGCAGCCATTCTGTAAATACAGTATTAAAGGAAAAATGAAAAAAGAAATCAGCATTTCTTCTCACTTAGGGAAGATAAATGGAGAAATAACTAATTTGGCTACACAAAGCCTATGAGAACATTACTGTACCATTTTAAAAGGTCAATGTAACAGGCCCATGCATTTAGATAACAACTGGTTATAACTGTGGCACATTAGTCTGCTCATAAGAAAATTACCTCACCTGACTGAAATGAAAACAACAATTAACTGATACGTAACTAACTTTTCAGTTTGCCCAGTAATAGTAACTACCAGTGAGGTTTGAAAGGCTTTCTGAAATATATCTAATGCCAATATTTCAATGAAGTAAATAATCAGGGGTCATTCAATTCCTACATTAGATTGTCACATAGGTGTTTTACTGTACTATTATTGTTTAAACTGTACAAGAAAGTAATCAACAGTTTTCTAAATGACAGTTCTTTCTCAAACAATAAAAAATTCCAAAAAAAATGGTAATCCTTAAGAACTCTAACAAACATAAATTGATCACTTGTCTAGCTAAGAATGGTATTTCAAACAAACTTACTTTCTAGTTCTTCTTTTTCAAACTTGGTATTCACATTTGAGCTTGTTTTGCCAAGATCCACAACAGCTTCTTCATCAGGACCCTAAGAACAAATGATTCTCATTTACTCATGAAATCACACTGAAGATCTGTTATATACATTTGAAATGGCTCAAAATGTGAAACAGCTTGCTTTTTCTCAAAAAAAATAAACTCTTACAGTTAACTGCATTATTTTCAAGTATGTTTGTAGGCAATTTGCTGTTGCCATTGTGTGTGTGTGTGAGAGAGACAGAGAGACAGAGACCGAGAGAGACAGAGACAGAGAGAGAATCTAAATAAATAGGATTATTTCATCCTCAAAAGACAGACTTTTCCAAGAAAGAATGACATTGCCCCATTTGTTAGGAAATGGAAAGACTTGGAAAAAATTATATTAAGTAAGCCAGGCCCAAAGAAGCACAGGTCCCATGGTTTCCCTTTTTTATTTTTTTTTTGGGGGGGGGGGGGGGGGTAAGAGGGAGTCCGGTCGTGGGGCCTGAACTCTGGGCCTGGGCGCTGTCCCTCAGCTCTTCAGCTCAAGGCTAGCGCTCTACCACTTGAGCCACAGCGCCACTTCCAGCTTTTTTTTTTTTTTCTGCTTATGTGGTGCTGAGGAATCGAACCCAGGGCCTCATGCATGCAAGGCAAGTGCTCTACCACTGAGCCACCTTCCCAGCCCTGGTTTCCCTTTTTTGCAATAACTAGTATATGACTGGGACAAGCAGAAAAGGTCAAAGGCTATGTACATATGATCATATAAGATGATGTTAAGCGAAATGAACCCCAAGATAGGGATACAAGTGGTTTTTTTCTTTCTTGCTATTGTTTCTAACATATTTATAATGTACATGTGATTTTTTTTTGTTGTTTTGTATGTTACTCCCCACGGTATAAACCACTGTATGCGATGTCCATATAATATGGGGAGGGGAAGGGAAAAAACAAAAAGTTTAAATAGGGATACAGTTGACCCATTGTAACAATGAGATGTACAAGACACTATGTTGAAAAACAAACATTACAATTTGGGTGGGGTGTAGTTGTGGAGGTGGGAGGGAAGGGAGGGTAGGGGGAAAACAAAGGAGGAGGCAACAATGCTTGATAGGAAATGTACTCATTACCTTGCTCATGTAACTGTAACCCCTCTGTACAGCATTTTTACAATAAAAAAGCTTATTAAAAAAAAAAAGAAAGACTTTCCAGGACCAGGGATAAAAGAAAAATGAATGAAGGGGAAGTATCAACATAGAAAGTTTACTAATTGGAAAAACAGCTATATTTGATTGGATTACAGTTAAAAACAAAACTGTTCAAAAACAAAAAAAAAGATGGACTTAATATGCAGTACTCCTTTCTTTTATAAGTTACAACAAAAGAATGATGTTTGATATTCCCAAAGGAAAAACCATGTTATCTAGAGAAATTCCGATTTTCCATTGTGAAAACTCAGTTATATGAATCTTCTTTTCTATTTTGTTCCCTCCTCAAACGAAACAAACATACTAGTGGAAGGTAAACACATATGTTGAACTATTTATGCTTTTTAATTAACATACTGAAAGAGTAGAAATCAATTTACAAAAAGAGGTAACTTGAATACCCATGTTTGTTGCAGATTGACTATTATCAACTGTGGAACTGGTTTACATGCCCCAAAACCAATCAATGGATATACACAGACAGACATAAACGTTTATGTATGTGTATGTGTGTGTATTTCTTAATATGCACACACATATACGCATATATAGACACACATACACACCATGAAATCTTATCCAGCCATAAAGAAAAATAAAATTATATAAAAATTTGCAGGGAAATCAATCAATAGAACTGTAGATCATTATTTTAAGTAAGATCAGCCAAGCTCAAAACCCCAAATATAGCATATTTTCATTCACTTGTAGAATCTAAACCTAAAATGATGCTGCTGCTGCTGATGATGATGATAACAACAATGTAACACAAATGTAAAAGGGAGCTAGGAAAGAACAGCAAATAAAGGGAAACACTACCAAAGGGTGGAGGATGGAGATTTTATACACACACACACATATATATATATATATGAATGAACGAAAAAATGAAGACAGAGTATTAACAAGGATGGGATAAAAGGAAACTTTACATACAGACTTTTTTTTTTTGGTCGGTCATAGGGTTTGAACTCTGGGCCTGGGCTGTCCCTCAGCTCTTCAGCTCAAGGCTCTATTACTTGAGCCACAACTCCACTTCTGGTTTTCTGGTGGTTTACTGGAGATAAGAGCCTGTCAGACTTTCCTGGCAGGGCTGATTTTGAACCACAATCCTCAGATCTCAGCCTCCTGGGTAGCTAGGATTACAGGTATGAACCACCAGCACCCGGCTCATACAGACTTTTTTTTTTTTTGGTCGGTCAACGGGCCTGAACTCTGGGCCTGGTACTGTTCCTGAGCATTTCAGCTCAAGGCTAGCTCTCTACCACTTGAGCCACAGTACCACTTCTGGCTTTTTCTGCTAATGTGGTGCTGAGGAATCGAACCTAGGGCCTCATGCATGCAAGGCAAGCACTCTATCACTGAGCCACCTTCCCAGCCCCGACCATTTTTAAAGGAATAAAATTATAGTTTCAATTTCTAAACTTCTGGCAATCTTAAAAGGATAATCATCACTAAATATTATAAACTTCTTATGCATGATTCTATGTAACAGACAGAAACAGATGGACAAATCCTCTTCTCTCAAAGTGGAGCTGAGTTCAAGCTAGACCAGTTGCATCATGTTTTAGATGGTGCCCAGCCTAGGGCTAACCAGCGTTGTGACAATAAGCATTTGGTCTTTAACAGTGCTAGCCAGGGTCCTGGGAAGGTGGCTCAGTGGCAGAGCGCTTGCCTTGCATGCATGAGGCCCTGGGTTCCATTCCTCAGCACCACATAAGAAAAAAGAAAAAAGCCGGAAGTGGCGCTGTGGCTCAAGTGGTAGAGCGCTAGCCTTGAGCTGAAGAGCTGAGGGACAGTGCCCAGGCCCAGAGTTCAGGCTCCACAACCAGACCCCCCCCCCCAAAAAAAGTGCTAGCCAGCAACTCAAGGCTTTTCAGAATATAAAAGGTATATACAATTATTCCTTCCTAGCCAAACTCTACACCCATGTTCTTAACATCTAAACCTAGAAATTAAATCAATTTGCTTAATTTTTCAAGTAAATTCCTTGCTATCCAAACACAACTAGTTACCCCCAAATGAGAACTAATTATAGTTAAGGAAGGGTAGATCTTCTGACAGCTATACTTTCTGAAGGCAGATGTCCAAACAGTAGGAGCAAACAGATTTGGATATCAGAGATAACTTGTATGACTGAATGACTAGTGTTCAACTTAATAAAGGAAACTCAAAGTTAAATGACTTGTCAAATCTCCATATTTAAGAGAGTAAGTATAATTATGAGACAACTTCATATAATTGTCTAAGAGAGAGGACAAACAGTATGCTTTAATAACCAGACTGCCCCATAGCTCCTCACACTTCCTTAGTAATAAGAGGAAAGGGGAAAGAGGAAACCAAAACAAGCACCAAAAAAGCTCTAGGATGAGTAACTAATAATTACTAGCCATTAATTCTAGCCTTCTAAAATCTTTAGCTGTCCTTTAATGACTTCATATTACTTCATTCCCAAGCATGCAGTTACAAGACAACCTCATTCCTATCCAAAGGTACAATACTGTCTACTCGAAAAGGATTAACTGTTCCCCTAACAAACTGTCATTTCACTTGCACAAATGCCAGAATAAAGGAAAACAATACACTAAACTCTGGCCATCTAACAAAATAAAAACTTATTTTCATGTAGCTATAATTACATGTTTAAACTTTCCAAGTGAACATCTGAGTTCAAGCCCCAGAATCAGCCCCCCCAAAAAAAGTTTTTTTAAAAAAAATCTAAACAATTGCAGCACTCATACTTGAAAGGGAGAAGTGGCAAACATGCAGCTCCCCTTTCCCTTCAATACCTTTGGAGGGTTCTCAACTGTGAACATAAGAAAGGCAACATCTGCTACAAATGCCAATAGTGTGAGCCGTACAAACAAGGCCATGTTGTTAAGCTAAGTCACCGCACAAAGTATGCAGAGAGAACAAAAGCACTGGATATTGCAAGGAGTAATGCTTTTCTGAAACACACAGTAGTACTTAGTATCATATTTCTTAATTAATGGAGTAAATTTACTCCATTAAGACTACAATGTTTTATTTTTGTTAGTTTATGTAAAAATGCACATGCGTATCAAGTATTTGTAAAGCAAAACATAAAACTGGTAACATTGTCCCGTCAATGATAATCACTGAAGAGCAGATGAACAGAGGAACCACTAGTGTTTTATCTTGTTACAACTTCATTTAAAAAATTCAAATTTCAGGGCTGGGAATGTGGCCTAGCATGCATGAAGCCCTGGGTTCAATTTCTCAGTACCACATAAAAAGAAAAGGCTGGAAGTGGTGCTGTGACTCGTGGCAGTGTACCAGCCTTGAGCACAGAAAGGCTCAGGGACAGTACCCAAGCCTGAATTTCAAGCTCCAGTCAACCTATTAATGTCAGTTATTCTAAAATGTGTATCAAGGTTTTGCTTTCTCATTTTTAGCTCTGAAACTATAGTAGAAAACTAAAAATAGCAACAGTAAAAGAGCAGCCCCACATGCCAATGTTTCATTCTTAACCTCAGTCAAAATAACTTCTGTTTACACACCAACCCGAAGTGCCTACCTAAAGCCATGGCCCAGGAAAATTCAAAACGTCAAAAGGATATCAACATGGGCTGGATTCAATCTAATCTTTAGAGAATTCTTTAGCCTTGATGTGAAATTTATTCATAAAATATACTGTCACTATACCATAACATAAATATGACATTAATTATCCATAAGATATGTAGGTACCTTAGATCAGAGTTTAAGTTTTTCTGTATATGAAATAACACATGTGCAAGGCTATTTACTGCTCTATCACAAAAGAGCTAGTAATAATGCCTTATCAAAGGAATGGCTAAATGAACTATAATATAATACATAACCAAATGGAATATAAGCT